CCTGCCCAAAACCTTCCAGAAAGCTTCCGTTCTGGAATGGACATAGTACTCTATGGCAATGGAGGTGCGCCCCGATGACGCTGGTCGCCGCCATATTGGAAAAGGAAAGACTCTGAAGCAGACGACGACGTGCACTTCGTAGCTCCACCCTCGCAGTGGCCTTTGGAGACTGTGACATGCTTTGTAAAGCAGTTAAAGATTTTACAAGGCCATGAAACTTCTAGTACACTCTAGCCATGGTGACTTCGTGCGTCGCTATTGGCTGCACAATGCGCATCAAGAGGACTCCTGGGATCACTTTTAATGTGTAAGTGTTCTCGCTTCGTTCGCTGACGATCGCCTGTTTTTTCGCGTATTCTGTTAAATTATAAACAATATCAAAGGTGGACATGCGTGTAATGCATGCGGATAGCTGTATAAAAGGTAACTTGAAGCTTTAAATGCTCGCTGACACGACGTTGTCTATGAGTTTTAAGTTTATGGACGAAGCATTTGCGGTCTATGGCTGCACGTATCAAACATTGGAACGAGTAGGACGTCTGAATGCTCTTTGAAATCCAAGTTTTCTGGTGTTGTCTTACAAGACAAGGCTGGCAGTGTGCATGCATATTTTTTTGGCGAGTGAATATTGAATTTGGTGCATGTTTACCAAGGAATTCGCAAACGTAGAGGAATTCCATGCCGTGATTATCCGTGTTACAGGTTTCCGAAAGACGGTGCGCTGCGTTCTGCCTGCGAACGTGCTGTTCGAAGAAATAGTTGGAGTGCCACGGACGGTGACCACCTATGTTATACTCACTTCGAAGAGTGCGTCACAAAAATGAGCAATTGCGTCTAAAACAAGATGAGACACCTCTGAAATCTGTTTTATCTTGCCGACGAAACCGAAACCAAAACGCCGATAAACGAAGTTGCCAAAACGAGTGAGTGGCGTTGTATTAAACATCGAGCTACCTCGTTTCTAGGCTCTGAAGGCTGCGCTTGCCATGAGAACACACTTCGCCAACGGAAGTTGATAAATATTATGCATAACTAACGCCACCGCAATGTTCTTATAAACGGTTCATTTGGGGGTACGTCTCCTGGAGTTCGTCGGTCGCACGAGACATCGGTGCTTCAGTTTTGGTTCCACCTGTAAAATGATTAGAATTCGATAACTCTAGAAAAATTACTGGTGACTCCCAGTTTACTTAATTACCCCTTTTTTCTAACAATAGCTTTAATTATTTCAACTTCCTTATGTATATTCTCTGGTAATCTACCGACACACACACGAGCAGATATATGAAAGAGGCGAGCAAATGTCGCGTTACCCTTGGTCTTGAGTATCTGCAGGCGCATTTCTTAAAACACCCAATGTATACTACAACCCTTTTGCACCGCAATAGTGCGCCAGCAAGCTCGATATGCGAAGCATCCCTCGACAACAGATTGGTCTGAAAGCGTGCAGCTGCATGACAATGGGCGCATGAAATAATTTGTTTCGTAATCAAGAAGAGGCATTTATTCACTGGTGTAACCCACAAGTGGTTTCCATCTCATTTTTTTATCATGGATCTGCAAACCGACGCGCGCAACGCGCGTATTCAATTGCGGTCTATGGCGGTTTTGCCTTGTTTTTCTCCTAGCAATATGGCTGCCGCTAGCTTCACTTGCTCCCGTTGGCGGCGGCCGATCTGCCACTCCAGAGGTTTCATAGAACCTCCTTGCTTGCGACGAATTTAGACACCACCTTTTTATGTTCGCAAACGTATCAAAACTTCCACGGAGTTGTTGGGGCAAAAAAAAGTTAATGCTCAGAATTGTTTCAAGGCGCAACAAATCAAACGAAATATATATTTTCTGAGCTGCTGCACTACCGAACTGTCGTCTGCTCGAGTGCGGTTCAGTCAAGGCTTCTTCCAGCAATTAATCGCAGCATACTCGTGATGGTATGTTACGTTAAGGTGAGCAAACGTTTCGCTTTCTCCACTGGCAGATCAATTTCAATGAATAACTCCGAGCTTGTTACTAGAACCAACGATTGTAAACAAGCAAATACATTATGTGGAATGAGCGTCGTTTCACCCCGGATATAACACTTTTTTTTTTTTTTTGCAAAAACCTATCTGATGGTTGACCTTCGAGGCTCCATTCCAAGCCAGTACACTTGGAGACAGACCAGATTCTCTACCTATATTTCCACTTCCATGTTATTTAGCTTTTTTTTAACCCTCCACCCACCTACTTAAGTTCAGATTTCTCTGCCTCCACTTTCCTGGCACTGAGAAGCAGACTGGATATTAGTAGACCAGTTAAACTTCTTGGCTTCTGCACATTACTTTTCCGTCGCTCACTTACCTTAAAATAAAAAAGATTCAGTTGCATTAAAGTTGCTACTATATACAAATTCCATGTTGAGTGGTCTCTTTTGTGGACCAGCTTCTTCCCAAGCTCAGATGTAATTTGACAGACGCACAGTTGCAGCTTTTTATATATTAGTGGTTTGACAACGAAAACAGCATGTCTTGACCAGTTGATGTGTAGCAAGCACCAGCATGATGTAAAACATTCAACAGTACAAGATTTCTGGTTCGAACAAAGCTTTATAGGTGAGAAGAAATGGTACCCGCACGACTCATCTTTGCATACCTTTTACACTTTAAGTAGAAGAGGGGGAGGTAAGGATGATAAGAGTGGTAAGTATATGTGGGGTTTTGCATGGCAAAACCACAATATGATTATGAAGCACACTGTAGTGAAGTTTTTTGGAAATTTGAACCATCTAGCGTTTTTTTGATTTGCAATGATATCGCGCAGGACATGGGCCTCAACCACTTTAACTCCGTCTAAATGCGGCAACCATGGCTAGGACTCAATTCGTGACCTTCGAGTCAGCAGCCAATCACAGCGACCATGGTGCGGTTGTCCCTAACCTGCATTCTGTAGTGTCCCTCATCGACAACCTGTGGATGAACACGGTAAGGATATTTTACAGAGAAAGGTTACGACACCACAAGGGTCGTTCTTAGCACGGCAGCTTTACGCCGCCGTCGGTGTCGGTAACCACTATGGTGTGAAAGGGAAAAAAACTAAACAAATAAAAAAAACGGGACATGTAATGTGACTCAAACATGGGCCCTCTGCGTGGCAGCTCAGCATTTTATCAGTGAGCTACACTGGTGCTTGAAACTGCTATGCAAATTGACCCCAGACAGGCTTCATGTCGGACAAGGAATCGCTTTAATACACATAATAAAGCGCTCTGAAACAGCAAAGGAACAACCAGGCATTTTGCAATACAAACTGTGTAACAAATGGGTCATCAAATGGTCCAGCCCATTACACTAGCGCTAGGCATAATTCGTCATCATCAGTCGCATCATCAACACAGGACACATAAAGCCTTACAAGTGCATAGCAGGCACCACGCTTCTCTGAAGAATGAATAGTGGTATTGTGAACAGTTCTCTATTACACAAAAATTATGATTTATAGCATAGTGGGTGCCACGCAGGTGTGCTTGTGCTAGTTTCCCCATGAATGTTTAAAGGGACATTAAAGGTTGACTAAAGGTCGATGTTGATTGCTGAAATAGCGGTCCAGGATCCTCGTTGTGCTACTTTTGTGCCAAGGAAATGCTTATTTTGAAATAAAATCATGTTTTACTGTACAGTTTTGCATCGCACTAGTACACTTCAAATTGCCCGCCTCAAGTGGAAACATTCACATCACCGCTGTCATGCACAACGTTGCCCGTCTTTACCGCGCGGCCGCCGACAGTAGTAGCAGCAGAAGGAAAGTAGTGGCAGCAACAACGGCCATTGAACAACTTCTTGCCATGGCCTCTGAGATGGCACGACTTCTCCAGTTTAACCAGAGAAAAATTGAACTTTTGAACCACTTGTGCCATTCCCCAAAGTAACGTCCAGAGTTTCTTTTTTCAATGAATGAAACAGAAACAAACAAGCAGCATTCTATTGCATCTCTTGTTGCATGGAAGGTTCTTTATTTGGTGCAGCTAGTTCAATTACTAGAGATTACGTAATTGTAGGCGGCAACTCTGACGTCATCAAGATCATCTTGCGAATCAGAATGTCCTACTCTTGGCACATGTGCTCTCGTGCATTTACATTAGTTCCTGAGTAAATAAGGCACTGCTGTTGATAATATGTCGTTTTAGACGTTCATACATTGAGCTTACACTCTCGCATAAATTGTTAACTTCATTATGCCTTCAAAAAAAAATGCTCTAGAAAAGGCACTCTTCCAGCTTTCGCTGTGCTTGTGCTGCAAATTCCACACAGACCTCGCGTTTTTTCTTTCTTAATCAGAATTTATAAATATTAACCTGCAGTATTGCCGTCAATTGTGGCAAACTGATAATGAGCTTATATAATGCTACATGATGACTGCCAGTGTAAAATTTGGTGCACTGGTCTCAAAACCTTTAAAGTCAGCACAATGGTTGCCCAGTGAAAGTGTAGCAGTGGAGCCAAACTACACACGATTGACAATAAGAAAATACTACTATCCTTTTGGGCAATGATCATTGTCACAATTCTTAAAAATTCAGGAGTGCTTCTCTAGTTATGAGAAAGGAGAAAATCAAAACAGGGCATGAGTTACCTGGACATACTCAGCAACAGTAAAAAAATGTACTCGTCTGCGGAATTACCATGTTCAGTGCTAATCGCAAAAACACACATAAAGAATCTCTAGTGCATACCCTCAGTGATACACATAGGTGCATGGCAAATCAAGCATGTCTACTTGTAAACTGAGTAAAAAGTCAGCTGGGAATCAATATTTTGGCCCACGAAATTTGGGCGGAAACATAATGACAGCTTCTGGAGTTGTAGCCATATAAAATATTATATGGGCATGTGACTATAAGCTCCCCACATCTAAAATTAACGTTTTATGTGACTGTGTCTCATTATGAAATAACTGAGTATAAGCTGCTCTAGTAGCAAAACACAACCTGCAGCCAGAAAGAAAAAAAAAGAAGCAACAAAATGTTACAGCCTACAGGGTCACTCATTTATTTATTGAATAAAAATGAGAATGCAAAATTTATGTACATCACAAGCTCCATCTTCTTGTCTTCATCTTGCATCAAAAACAATCACTGTGAGGCAGGTTAAGGAAACAAGTCCACAACGAATATAAGACACTGGTATAGTGCATTACAGAATGCATTCAATAATCTTTAAATTTTGCATGAAGATCACATGTCCAGCCTTTCAATTTCAGGCAATAACAGTCAAAAGCTATAGGAAGGTAGCAGTGGCATTCCACTAAATACGTATATTACGACTTGCATGATGCTTCGCAAATAAGGGCTCCACTTTTCTCTCTCTCTCAATCACACACAGACATACAGACAAAACAGTCTAACTCATTCCCATCATGAACATAAGTTGCAACGGCTGATATTTACAGGGTTACACATACATAAGTACCCAACAAAGACGGAAGTAAAATGACTGCAGCCTTAAAATGTGCTTGGTTGGAGCATAAATCCATTTTTCCACGTAATGTGACTGCATATCTCTAAAATATTTCCAGCAGCCACAGAATTTTTGCCAAATAAATGGGCTTAGCAAACTCCTATGGGAGTATTGCAATCAGTGACATACAGTAAAACCTAGGTGGTACGATAAGAGCTTATACGAATTTTTCTGTAGTCTCGGCCCAGGCCCACTGGCTTGAACTACAATGGTGAGTGGTTTTGTGAACGATTTTGATCGCGCAACACCTTGATATGCATGCACGCTACAGCAAAGATACGGAATGGTGCTGCTCGCATTGTTGAGGAAGATGCAACGAGCATGAGCTAGCACGGGAACCCAAGCGTAGGCATGTGTGCCATGCTGTCAGTTTGTCAGAATAATCAGCGACGTGTCATATCCTCCGAAGTTGTGCGCACGCATGTTGGATGCCCTAATGCACCTTGACAATTAGATTACACACATCTTGCTCCTATATCACGACCAGAAATTCTGGGATACCATTTCGCCATCTTGGGGGACGAGCTGCAGCAGTGAAAGCATGAAAGCGTTCCTGCGATCAAGCATTACAACTACAGCAAAAGGAAGAATGGTTGGGAGTCTTTGAACTCAACCCTCTCCCACCTGCCAAAGGTCATCCTCAGTGCGACTGCGCAAGAACACTAAGCACAAAGCGGCGTAGTTTGTCACTGGCACATATCAGGCGCACGGATCTCCGAATCAACTGTGCTTACACCCGAGTTTCAGCGCCCACTTTATATCAAGTGAGCTCGAAAACCTTCCTTTAATAAACGAAAATGCGGGGACACCACGAAAAAATGGAACAAATTGCATTTGAGAGCAGGCCGTCTGTGAGACAAGACGAATCCCAATTGTGCACAGACTCTTCTGCTTGGATATGCCACATGGCACGACGACCGTGCGCAATACCACCACAGAAAATCCCAGTGCCTACTGAACGTTGGTTGATTCAATGGCGGCCGCAGTCGCGAGTCAAATGGCATAAAAAACGGCAACACAGTGGCAGGCCAGCTCCCGCGAGAAGATGATAGCCGCGCGAACTAAAACAATTCTGGCCAGCCCCCGCGAAAATATGGATGACGTATGGACGAAAATAAGCCTGGTTGTAGCCTTCTAGAAATTTCCTAAGCTTGTGACCATCATTAGTTTACTTTAAGTAGGCCGCTCCACTTGTCAAACAGAAGTAACGTGTTTGCAAGGCTTGTAAAATGCAGTATAATCTCGATGAGAAGATTACGGTTAATGCGAATTTCGCGATTATACGAATTTTAACGTTGCTTCGGATGGACTAAATTATATTATATAAGCCGTGATTCGGTGTTATAAGAACGGTTTCCCCAGCCGCCGTGGATGATACGAGCGTGTGATTGGCCACTGCTCGCGAACAGCGCAACACGGCTTGCCTATGGGAGGAAGGCCCGTTCACACTTGACCTCAAAGGGACCGACCAAGGCAAAACTCATGGGAATTTCCCTTGCTTCCTGCCTACATGGCCGGATAACCACGCCACGAGGCCGACACGAAAAAATCAGACCAATTTTTTCGTCACGTGTTGCAGATCACCCTTTTGCCTCACGACTTTGGCTACACCACAGAACCCCACACCGACTACACTAGCTTTCAAGCCACGTGACGTAAACAACGAGATGCGAATTCAAGATGGCGGCAAAGGCGTCGACGACGGCTCGCGTTGGCGCAATCGCAAAATATCCGAGCAGCACAACGAAGTTTACAGGCTTGAGAAAGACGCATTCATCGAGGACCTGGTTTGGATTACGATCGATGCGAACACCAGAATCGGCAGGTACAGCAGCAGCGAGTCTGCATGCCCTAACGTGCCTCGCTTTTGTACTGCCAGCAGAATCCCTCGTCACCGCTGCTGGGGCATCCGCTCGTGTTGTTTCTACTGGCATGTATCCCGAAAGAACCTTTGTACAGGTGTAAACTTGCATGCATAGTTAGAACTCGGTACTAATTTTATTGCTCAGGAAATGGGCCAGATAGAACGAATTCTCAAGCGGCGGCGGCGTGTATACGAAGGGCAGAACGAATTTGAACATATTCAATGCGTGCAGACGCGATTTTGCGTCTGCTCTGGCATTTTCGCTTGAATTCTCCCGTGTGAATTTTTCAGGGCTAATTTTTTTTTTTCTGTGTCGCCATCGCGGCTCGTTTTTCCGGCCGCTTAAAGGGGGGAAACGAGTGAATATCCAGTAATTTTTGCCGCTTTCGCTCCCTTTAATGGCAAGTGTGAACGCACCTTAAGCGCCAGCACCATGATTGAGGAAAAAAAAGCACATTATTTAGGGGCGGTGAAAGTAGGAAAGTTCGAAAGAGCATTATGAAATTTTTTTCAACAAGAAGTAGTTGACCCAAATGAAGTTCTTGTTCATCTTTATGATCAGCTTTAATTTGTTTTTGGTTGATACGAATTCAGGATGATATGAATATTTTTCGGGCTCCTTTTGAATTCGTATCATCGTGATTATACTGTAATTGTGTGCCTCAAAGGACTTGGCTTTCATTTCCTGAAGAGTCGCCAAGCTTGAGGAGTACACTAAGCAGTTCGTGATGTCCATATACATTGCTTCAAGCAGCGTGTTGATGTCCGTCGCCGTGTCGTCGTTTGGTTACAGCATGTTTGGATCGATGCCATCGCACATTCGCATCTTTTCTTCGTGACGAATGCCCAGCGATTCAATTAAGTCACTGCAATACAACAACTTAAGTGGCCGTTCGCTTGAAGCGATCGGAACTGCTTCATGAAAGTCTCTAGAACTCCCAAAAAACTTCAATTAGACAAATGCGCTGACAGTACGGTGCAGAGCGCGGCGACTAGAAGTCCCCCAAGACCCTAAGACGGTCGCCACTCCAACAGAAGAACTGTAGTGACTTCACGAGCAAGGCGTGTACAGATGGTGCTGGTGTCGCATTTTTATGTAATATTTTCGATAGCCCGTCGACACTTGCGGCCATTGTTGTACTCCTGTGTTGACACGTGTCTGCCAGAACAATGAAAACCGTGTACTCGCATTAAGATATCCTATGAAAGGTGTGCGAGAAACGAAAGAGGATGGTCTTGGTGAAGGAGCTAGGCCTTGCGACGTGAACATGCAAAATTGTTGAGAACACGCACACCTGTCAACTCTCCGAAATGCTCACAAAAATAGGAAGCTGTTCATGACATTGCTGCAGCAGTACAAAAAAATAAACGAAGTGGTATGCCAGCTTTCTCTTGTCACATGACAATTTTTTTTTCTGGTGCAATGAATTTCAGATAATACGAATACTTGTGATAACCCTGGCTAACTATGCATTCATATCTCTTGTCCAAGTAACCTACGCCTTTGAGCAACACGTAACAAGGAGTACAACTGTTCTATCAGCCACAGTCAAATTTTAAAAAGCTTGCTTCAAGGAAGTGTCCACTGTCCCACACTGTTTTTCTGTTTTGCGTCACAACAAAAAGCATACCATAAGAAGTAAAACCTTGCAGCAGTTTTCTGAAAAGTGTGTAGAAATTTTTAAAACAGAATTTTTCGTTCGGTCTCCTTCCATTGATAGGATGAATGCCAATACACTAGTCGGTGGAGGTGATGAAGATTGTACAACCAGTGAAAGTCGAAAACTGAAACAGCGTGCGATTTTTGCAGGCTCCATCAAGTTTTGTTTAATAATAAAACAAATACCTTAGTGGTCATTTAAAGCTTTGAAATTTTCCAAGTGGTAGACAGACCCTTCAGGATTAAAAGAAAACATTGCTGGTAAAATGTATGCACTTAACTAGGCCTAACGAATTAGGTGGCACAAGACAACTCTAACACAGCAACATTAATAGACTATCAGTTAATTGTGAAAGGTTGCGAAACCTTTGATCTTGCAGTTACTGCAGCCCCTTGCTCTCGATTGTGAATCAAGCAATTAGCTAATTAAATATATGAGTCCAACAAAAAGGCAACGATAATGAACAAGTCAGGTAAGGATACAACGCTTGGTACGTTTCTTGTACATGATCCTGTAGCCACACTCCCTGCAACGAATGGGATCTCTGGGACGAATTTCGTTTTCCTGGTGGCACTCTGCACCGAATCCAAAGAGTTGGTTTGAATAGAACAATATAAAATAAGCAAGATGGAAAACTGAACAAGCTGGTGCAGATTCATCTTGTCTAACAGCACGAAAAACAGGGACTAGGACAAAAAGTGGACACGACAAGCACTGTGCCGTGTCCACTTATAGCCTTTATCTGTGTTTCTTGCGCTGTTAGCCAAGACAATCCACAGGTGGCACTAAGTATTCTGGCGATTGGACAACTGAAAAGTGTTAGAACAATATCACTTGGTTCAACGGAAATAAAATATACTTGTTTTGGCTTACCAAAAGGCATCAAGCTCATTAATGCATCTTTGCTAAAGAAAAACAGAAACAAAGAGGTGAACTCCCACTACCACAGTCATCCGTGGAAAACCTAATGACATGGTCGGGATAAGTTAGACAATAGTGCAATGAGGTGACAAGAAAGGCAGAAAGAGCGCCAGTTCAATGTGTGAGCGCTACACCAAACCAAGCTTGCAATGCTGGCAAAGCTACACCATTGCAGTTAGACAATACTTCTCAGCCAACAGGGTACGTGTCAAAAGTAGGGCCAGCACTGCGAGGAAAATGGCAAACTAGGACGTCTTCACAAAGAGATTACTTGCCGAGGCTGGCAACATGATATAATGTTTTCCCCCTACATGCTTACAAGGAAAAAAAAGAAACATGGCTGAAAGGCACTTCTTAATGCAACGCGTGACATTACTCACTGCCACACGTGGTATCGCCTTGACAATGTGCCATCAGAACATAGAACTTGTTTTTGGGTGAGTTGGTGCCTTCGCTTGCTTAGCATTTCTTAACTGACGCAAAGCTGGGAACATGAAAAAGAGGCGAGCAAAAAGACAGATGAGTGCCGAACTACGAACTGTTTATTGCCGCTGCGGGCTGAAAAAGAAGTAAACTTCCAAACATGCGCAGAGGCATGGAAGAGTTACCACAGACCTCATGTGTCATCACCCCTCTTTTTAATGTTCTTAGATTTGCACCAGTTACGAATATTCAGCATCAGAACACAGCATAATCGCCCTTGCAGGTAGTGTTTACAATTACAACAGTTTTAGCCACAGTGGTTCTGGGGAGTAGTGATTTCATTTCGAAATGATGCAATGAGAGGGGAGGAAAGAAATAAGTAAAAGGATAGAGAGGTTAGCCGGTTCTCAGACCGGCTGGCTACTCTATGCTGGGGAAGCGGGGCAAGGGGAATAAAAGATGACAGAAAAGAGATGTTACAAAGAGAGAGAGAAGACAAATATAGCAAAAGAGGAAAAGTAAAATTAAGGAGAATACGACACTAAAGTGTTTCTCTCAGGCCACTTGTCAGAAAAAAAACGTAATAAAACTTTCAAAGCCTTTCGGGCTGGGAATGAACGTGCAATGCGTGCAGAATGTGACAAGTATGGTGAAAGTTATCACGGGATGACAGAGATTCTGCTGTACCCCGCACAGCTGCCATCAATCCAGCCTCCTCCATCAAGATGAATGCAGGATTTGTTGCTAATGAGCTCAACGATGAAAGGTTAATCCTGATGCTCATGTGGAAGTAGAAAGTATGTCTGGGATGAAGACACAGTTCTTGTTCCATGGCTGCACTGCTTAGTAAAGGCCCTTGCCACAGCAAGCACTGAATCGTTAACATGTGAAGGTTCAGCTTCCGAATCAATTTTGCATAATGTGAATGCCAGCAACGTTTCACCATAGTTCCCACAAACGATGAGCAGTGGCAGCATGATCTCGCATGGCGTGGCACATATTTCTGTGCACACTGCAAATTGGCAGCTCACGCGATGCTTCTTTCAATGCAGGACAAGTAGGAAATGAATAGTTAGTTTTGTTTCTAAATGCAGTAGTATGGTCCTTAATGCAAGGATGGTATGTATTCCCAATATTTTGGAGAAACGTAGCAGGGTTAGCATCTTGCATTAGAGCTTGACCTCATCCATTATTTGAAGTGCTGCTGCAGCATAGTTTCCAAGCAGCACACATTTTTTGTGGCCCTGTCATATGGGACGACAACAGCCACATGACGGGGCCACAAGAAATGTGTTACTGCCACTGTATTTCTTGCTTGTGCAGGTCCGATGTCCGTACGAAAGGCTTCCCCCTTCTTGCTTTTGTATGCTGGCAAGCTGCCTATTTCTGCATGCATGGTACGCTCATGATTGCCAATGAAGCTGCGCAACTTATCCCCCTCGTCGGAATTACGTGCTGCACTCCTGTAGTTTGTCAGGCCACCCACCAAACAACCTAAGCGGCAACAACCGTGCTTCACCATGGTGGTTCTTTCACAAGTACCCTTTTCAGAATGGGAAGAGACGGTAAACAGGGAATGTCGTAAGAAACAGCAGCCCATGCCTCACTTCGAAGCAATAGCGTCTCCGCTCCTGTTTTGACAAGCCAGACATCATGTTAGTTACTAGGACAGTGGCGTCAACAATATGCTGGACAGGCCAAGCAATAATGGTGCGCAACATTGCTAATGTATGAGCTTTCAGTACACTTTATTGGCAGCACATTGGAACAACATCACTGCAAGTGAACTGAGGTCACGTGTCCTAATGAAAATTGAGATGGGGGTAGGTATTGTTTTCCCTTGGATTTTGGATTTCTTCGACAACTTTATGCTGCGTGCTACTACTACAGCCGTTTCTGCTGCACTAACCTGCCTGTACTTCATCCACACAACTCACGCGTAAAAAATGGGAGGCTTAATAGTGTTGTTGGGGGAGGGGGGAACGTTTAAGATTGTTTCAACACTTCTTCAGTTGCTTCAATCTATACAGACACTCACCGCGACGTCTGTTGAACTCATCAGCAAGCTTCTCCCAGATTTCTTCGTTTGATATGTACAAACATAGCTTCTGTTTTCCCGTTCCAAAGCACCTCGCCGTAATTTTTCACGAGATTCTTGAGGATGTTAGGTTCTTCGATGGTGAGCTTACCTAGCGGCCACGGTAACTACGCAACTCATGATGCTTGAATCAGCCAATGACTGCCGATTCGGGTTGTTGTAACTCGGGGTGGAAGGTGTATCCCACCGCTGATCACCAGTTGTTGTGATCCCGGGGTGCTGTGGTAGCGTGGTGTAGCTTTCGGATTGAGGAAACGAGCGCTTACAAGATGGGGATACGAAAAACAAACAAGGTTTATGGCACTATTTACAAATATTTACAGCATGAGGTTAAGAGTTCACAAACCACGAGCGTGGTGGTTAAACCTTTTCTTGGTTCAGAGCGACGTCCTGCACTCTGCGGCGCCGTTATAAGCCCTGTCGGGCTCCTCCTTCTTCAGTGGAACACCAATCACACACACACACACAACAGGTGAGGGGTACGAGCATGCACGGCGCACGTGAACAGCCAATTTCGAGTCAAGATCACTGCACTTAAAGGTGGCGCCAGAGAGTCTCTTGCTCGTCGTGTATGTCGCTGGTCGAGGGGTTCCAAGCTTCGGACAGCAGACATCAAACGGTCCGCCAATCTGTCCGCTCAATTAGCAGGGCACTTTGTGGCGGCGGTCGCCGTTTCTTCAAAGGAATACGCTGTCTTTGTTCTCCCCTCTGGAACGGCGTACAGCTTTGTGGCGACATGACGTCTCATCCGCCGGCTAGCCGGGACAATACCTGGCGGGCATAAGCATTCGGCGAGTCGGCTACTTGTTTGAGGGTTAAAAGAGCGCCGCTCCTCCGTCAGCTCTCGACGTTGGTTCCAAGAAAACCTGGGTTCCAGGCGTGGGAACGCGGCCCGGCTACGCTTCTCAGCGACAGCATGGCGCCTACCGATGGCGGTCGTAACAGCTTCCCCCTCGCCAGATGAGTCACGAAGGGCAGCGGTCAACACTGCTGCTCGCAGGGACGACGAAAGGGTCAGTAGTTGAATGCCAAGAACTGGCCTTCACTTGTGGCATGGTCCGAGTGATCGCCGAATCTTTGACAGCATCTCTGATACTCGACCACATGTACAAGTAAGCACTCGGCCCCCTTCGAACAACCAAGCCAAAAGAGGGATGGCAAACCAATTTTCTTTACTAGCTTTAACAAAAAGCTCACACTCAAAACTCTCAGGATCCACTTGTGCTGAGAAATCAAACGTGCTATCTTAAACCTTCTCATAATAAGATGCACGACAAAAAAAAACTAAAATATCAATTTTGATACGTAAAGAGCACCCCAGAATGGCTTAGAAAGAGCGGCTGAGCGCGTCAGCGTTTCCATTCAAATTGCCCTTTTTTTTTCCTAATGTCAAAATGATATTTTTTTTTCTTAAGAATCAAGCTCCGCCTCACAAGGCGACTGTTCTTCGAGGTCATGGTTTGCAGCCAAGGGGACAATGGTCTGCATCTACTTTAAATTTAGCACCTCCGAGACAACGCTGCAACTGATCAATGGCCTACACAAGGCAAGCGCATTTATTTCCTGAAGCGCAGTAGGTTATCTCACGAGAGCCCAAATTCTGGCGCAAGCAACGCGCAGCTTTGCTTGATACCATTGTCGTCCTGATATAAAACGGCTGTCTCCTTCTTTTCGTCGCTGACTGCTTTCATCGGTTCTGTCCCGCTGAGAGCATCGGTTCGGTTCCGGATTCAGCGAGCGCTAAGATTGTCCTAATGTCCGTTTTTGTTTACGTGTACCAATAATTGTCTACTACTGATACAGTAAGCTATCTAGCTTTCCTGAAAGCTTAACCTAAGCCTTGACCTAACCGGCTACCTCAACGGTTGGAGAAAGCTTTGATAATCTGCTCATGATCACTAGATCAATCCTTCTTCAAAGAAGGCAACAACAAAAAAAGTAACAAACACTGCCTTCTAGCAGGTTAGTTCGGTTAGTTACCTGCCTTTGCCACACCTTTGATTAAAAAACAAAACACTGAGTTCTTCTGAGCGCTTTCAATTATTCTCATTCTTACGGCGCTGCAAAATTCATGGCACTACTAACAAACGCTTAGGCCTTCACACATGGTCTAAACGTTCATCCTTACATTACGTTGCAACACACCGTGTACAACACAAAAATAATGCTAAGTGCAATACTCATCAAATGCACCTCACAATAATTGCATAGGGTTTCGCTAAAACTGTGCACCAATGGCTCTCAATTCTCATAACGCGCAACGACAACTGCACTGTGTTGCGCCAAACTTAACCATTTTACGAAATCATCTTGTCTATGTTAACATCTTCTTCCTTAAATGCCAATTCACGCCACATCCACATGACAGTAAAGGCATACGATATTAAACTAAACCTTTGAAACACTAAAAAAAAACAGAACAATTTTTCCTTAGTTTTTACCTTCTCGGTATATTCGTACAAATGATTAATGGACTTCAATTTTCAGCCTTTAGTTCTGCGGTTTTCCCTTTCAAAAATTTACACCGCTTTACATTACTTACAAAATTAAAAGGCTCAAATCTGCATTTCCAATGCAACACTGAGTAACAATATTTGACACGCCCGTGCAAAAGTTACTCGAACTGACCGTTCCCCCTTTTCTCGTGGTTCCTTTAATCGTACACGATGGGGTCGCGGTCCCGGCGGTTTTCCTGCACGTCTGAGGCTACTAAACAAACGAACGTTAGGCTGTGTCCTGCCGTCACGCCTCATTCTACACTTCGGCTTAATCCCCGTAGGAATTTGAAAGTGACGCCAGTAGCTCGGAGGGAGCCTGTGCCATTTTCTCTTTGTATTCAACCCTGCGCGGTATTTAGCCACTCTGCCCTTTCGACTTTGACCCTTCGGGCAAGGCCGCTTTTCCGAAGTCGTTGAGCTGAACCACGCGCTTCGTTGGGGTGACGCACCTCCCTTTCTCCCTCCACACCTGACTCGCCGCTTGTGCCTCCATGAACAGCCCCATTGACGTTTCCTTAAACGGATTAGTGGCCTACCCTTTCGTCTTTCCCGGGGCGGTGTGGGACTAGTCCTATGCTTAGGCAGTGCCGAACGCTTTCGCTTCTTCCTTTTTCTGCGATGTTTGCAAACCTGCTCGGTGGTATCGCTGCACTGCTGAAGCGTGGCGTTCTTGCCCTCATCAGCCACTGCGCTAACCATGCCTAAATTTGACAATGACGAAAGGTCCCCCTGAGGCACGAAGAAGGTTTCCAGCCTCTTACTGGGCCCATTAGGGCTGCTGGCACCCTCTTCATCCACGCAAGGAGCGTCTTTCGACATCGTCCCCACCTGCAGACCGGCCACGGCCTCGTTCTCTACATCATTTACATGGATGCATTCGAGAATTTGCGGGCCATTTTCTGGCGCGATCACTGTTTCTTGCGCTTGATGACGCGCCTCAATTTCTGGCGCTTTGCGACGCGCCTCGCTTTCAGACTCCGGTGCGAGTCTTTCTTTCTTTTTGCTAATAGAAGTTCCAAATCTTCTGATTAGCTCTGCTTTCACAACTTCGTAGTTGTTCGCGTGCTGCTCACTGAGTCGCGCAACAACATCCGCTGCCTCGCAGGGCAGAACCGTGCGTAGCTTCTGAGACCAGGTGTCTCGCTCACACTTAAGTTGACTACACTTTCGTTCAAAGAGTCTAAGATACAGGCCCATATCCCATGATACCTCATATGGCTGCATGTACCTAGACATCTCGAACTCTGCCTCATTTTCGAGTACTCCTTGCTGGCGTCCCAACCTCATACTCAACTCATAGTCTTGTTTGAAAAACTTTCTCTTGAGGCTTTCTTTCTCGTCTCCACTCTTTCCTTCCATCTGAGCTGCTCTTAGTTTTCTTTCGATGATGAGGTCCCATTCTTCACTTAGTTCCTCATCATCAGCCCCCAAATCATTAATCGCTTGAATGATTATGGGTTTTCGTGCCAAACCCTTTGTATCGATCCCCAATTCCTCACACAACAGCAACAAGTCTGACTTCTGCAGCTCCCGTAAGTCCATGATCGTACTGAGTGCTCGCTACTTCCAAAAATAACTTTCCGAAACGGCGAAACTGAGTCTTTCGGCAAAGTTAACTACCAGATCTAAAATTTACCCTCTTTTAGAACCTGGTTCACTCAAAGGAAAAGCCAAGCACTCACCCATACGTGATCCATGTCTCGAGCCAGCTGCTTCTCCTGGGCCGACTGTTGTTGTCACTTGTAGCTTCGAATCCCTCCGATGCCAACCAGTTGTCGTGGCTCGGGGTGCTGAGTCGTATCCCCCCGCTGCCGACCAGTTGTTGTAACTCGGGGTGGAAGGTGTATCCCACCGCTGATCACCAGTTGTTGTGATCCCGGGGTGCTGTGGTAGCGTGGTGTAGCTTCGGATTGAGGAAACGAGCGCTTACAAGATGGGGATACGAAAAACAAACAAGGTTTATGGCACTATTTACAAATATTTACAGCATGAGGTTAAGAGTTCACAAACCACGAGCGTGGTGGTTAAACCTTTTCTTGGTTCAGAGCGACGTCCTGCACTCTGCGGCGCCGTTATAAGCCCTGTCGGGCTCCTCCTTCTTCAGTGGAACACCAATCACACACAACAGGTGAGGGGTACGAGCATGCACGGCGCACGTGAACAGCCAATTTCGAGTCAAGATCACTGCACTTAAAGGTGGCGCCAGAGAGTCTCTTGCTCGTCGTGTATGTCGCTGGTCGAGGGGTTCCAAGCTTCGGACAGCAGACATCAAACGGTCCGCCAATCTGTCCGCTCAATTAGCAGGGCACTTTGTGGCGGCGGTCGCCGTTTCTTCAAAGGAAATACGCTGTCTTTGTTCTCCCCTCTGGAACGGCGTACAGCTTTGTGGCGACATGACGTCTCATCCGCCGGCTAGCCGGGACAATACCTGGCGGGCATAAGCATTCGGCGAGTCGGCTACTTGTTTGAGGGTTAAAAGAGCGCCGCTCCTCCGTCAGCTCTCGACGTTGGTTCCAAGAAAACCTGGGTTCCAGGCGTGGGAACGCGGCCCGGCTACGCTTCTCAGCGACAGCATGGCGCCTACCGATGGCGGTCGTAACAGGGTGTATAGAGCAATCACTAAGGTATGGGGCATGATTTGTAGGAAGAGGAAGGGACAATTTCTAGCTGAATTTGAGAATCACTTGCGAATTCCCAGTTGCGTGCAGCGCTCAGCTTGCGTGCTCTCGGGAGCCTCTGCTACCGATTGGCATTTTCTTAGCGCGTGAGAATGCGTTGCAGAGCCGCTTAAAAATAATATGTGAAGATGTAGCAGCTTAAGTATTTTACATCTATTTGAGTAGCTACAGTGGCTTTTTGGTTTCTAAAGAATTTGCACAATCAAGATGCAGTCCCACAAGCTGATCTGTAGAGCCTTTCCAGAGCAAAGATAAAAATTACTGAAATGCCTTTCGCGGCTTCAGCTGCATCTCTCAGCTTGTTCGCACGATGAAGAAAAGCATCAATCAGCATTTCATAAACTACACGCGTGTTCGCAGATTACATCCCCTTTGCACGTACCACCACATATGTAGATCATTGGCACCTTCACAGGCTGAGCTGGATCTTTTGGTGCACCCTCCATGGCCCAAACAGCCGGAGTTCCTCCACTGCACAGAAATGTCAAAAGTAAGGAACACACAAAATTGTGATCACTAATCAATGTTTATTATATTTTGATTTTTTTTTTTTTCACATTCCCCGACTCTTCCCGGTTTTCCATGATGATTAAAAGCAAATTCCGTGACCGCCCCTGTCCGCTTGGAAAACTCTGCGCAGTAAACAAACCCTTGTGTGAAAAAACAACAACATAAATTTAAAGATCAGGCGCTCATATAAAATGAGTAAACATATTCACCGCACGCGCTCAGAATGTTCCAAGCACGTGCGATAAAAATATGAAAAAGTACATCAGGTCAAAATAAAACATCTGAGCTAAGCAGAGAGCAATCTGGCTGTTTGATGTTGGGAAGAACCAGGAAGCAAACTCACGAGGTAAAATTAGCCGCAGCTGACAGTTTGAAGGAGCCCGCAATAGTTTGACAACACAGTCAAAACTGCTACGAAATGTGGAAGTGGCACCCTCTTGCGGCATCCGTGTAAAAGGACGCAAGAACCCGGCCAGTTTCCGCCACTGGAGTATATTCTAGTTCAATATAATGGCCACAGCCCAGGCCGCTCAGGATGTGGATTGACATGGGCTACTGTATTCACTACTGATTTGCATCTCTGCCTAATTTGCACACCAATAAAATATACTTTTCAGCCAAAAATAATTACTGCTGATGTATTCTGTGCCCCTTGCCTTGACAACGACTTATAACAATGTCGCAAGAAGAGAGCCGTTTTTCAAAATTTTCTTTTTATTTTTTTTGCACGATGAGCACATGCATGTTGGTGTTTTAATTCTGTTGACTTTGATGCCTGAAGCACGATGGAAGTTCTCAGATGCCTGCAATGAAAACTAAGGGTGGCATTTAAGGAACTGACATTTAAAAATATGATGGCAAGAAGGAATCTGTCAGGTCGGAACAGCTACCTCGATTTTATAAATGAATCATGAATGCCAGCGTGTAACTTTCGTTCACATTCTTTCATATGAACGTGATTCTAAAAAATAATCACAGATTTAAGAACACAATCTCAAGAAACTGAAATGAGAAATTTAGCTGAGGTTACCCTATGCTAACCTTGAAATACGAGCTACCAGGAATAAGTGCATTAGCTGAGGACGTTTTCCGTTGCATTGCCAATAATAAAAATAGTAATATTAAAGCCACGGCATACACCAGCTCGCTAATGCTGATGGCAGTTCTGGCCTAACCAGAAGGCCATCAAGCCAAGTCGAAGCCTAGGCCAAAACAAACATGCACAAATTTACTTACATGAGTAATGTGGTTCGAAAGTCAGTTATGCTGTGTGATATGTACAAGCAACAGACATTTAATAGTTCATGTACCAATATGGAAGCTAAGAAATGGTACAGTGAACGACAAGTTGCCAAGCGGAAATGTCCCCAGTCTTGTCTACAGTATAGGCTCCCACGATTGTGACAACCAGTAGAACAGTGAAACTGGTGATTTCAGGAAGAGTTATACAACATGAACAAGGTTTCACAAAAGGATGCGTGGCCTCGCATGCCCTTAGCTGAATATCTGGAATCTGCAAGCCATCAAATTGACTGGTCAAGTGCACATGTTCCGGCAAAAAAAGGAAGCTAGCATCACACCTGCACGTGGAATCCCTGTACCTCTAACTTGATTGCTCCATTGCGTAGCCTCGGGTCGCGTGGACTGAGGTCAACGCCACCAAGCGTTGAAAATTATATGCTTGCTGCAGACAAGGATAGATGTAGCACAGGTCGATTTCACTAGAAAATTTCTTTTTCCACCCTGCCTGACGGGCAGGTCGAATGCACTCACTTCGCATACCATTTTCACCACGTTTTGCTCGTGGCTACGTTATCGCGCGCCCATGGCGTTCGTTCAAGAGCTGTCGCACGCAGTGGTTCATTCTCGAGATAGGTATCAAACAACGAATGCCATATGCTGAACAGGAGTGATGGGACGCTTCCGACAATTTACTCTCGTGGCTTATGTCACGTACTTAAGGCTACTTGAAGGGACACTAAAGAGAAACAGTGACTTGGTTTAGATTGACAAACTGCACTCTGAAAACTCTAATGCCTTATTTTTAACTATCATAAGGAGAAAACAAAGGTTCAAGTTTCATTTTAAAATTTTGCACTGAAATCTCCGCACGTGATGATATAGTATTTCAAAATGTATTTTTTTTGTATTTTCGTGACGTTGGCTTGAGCAAATTTTCTGAACCTTCGTATGCTAGATCTATGGCACCTACAGATGACAATGTACTTCATTTTTATTGCGTAGAAGTTATGTACGACCCTGTAGACGCCTTCAAATTTATGACATCACGGCGTTTGGTACAGGAATCTGAAGGTGGTGTCTCCACAAGCATTTTATTTTTGCACGCTTTCTCACTTACCAAACGTTGTGTCGCGGCAAGAGTGGTGTTTTAGGGATTGTGAAATTGTATTTAACTAATACATGAAAAACAGCTTCACTCTTTAGTGTCTCTCTAAATACGCTGTGCGTTTCTTATTGCTTTTATTTTGAACAAGGCTCCCGCATGAGGTGCTGAAATCTCAGTAAATGTGTTCTATTGGTTGGTGTATCCTTTCGCGTTTGCACTGAGAAGTGACAGTTATGCACTGCCTTTTTTCCCACCTCTTCTAGCTGTTCATTATAGTCAGCGAAAGGAGTGACTTTTCTTAGATCAATGGTAATGCTTGTTTTTGTGACAGACGCATAGACTGTCGTCAGTTTCCATGACCTGGCCAGGTTTTTCAGGAATTCCCTAACTTTTCCAGGTTGGTAGACACCCTGCTAATGCTATAAAAATGTGACTGTTGGCGATTCAACAATACCAATGATAGTAATGCAATTACTAACCCTATGAGATAAGGCAAAGAGCACACACAGCTAGCGTGTTGGCCATTAAACAATACCGATGACCATTAATTTGGATTTTCACATTAAAATATGTGAACATTTCCATGGTATTTGCCTGTGACACCAACCAGGTATCAATCATACTGAGCAAGCTATCGTTCACAGGGCATCCAACTTTCTGCACGGTCGTGATTACATCGTAACATTAGACTAGCGTGACAACTACAGGAGCCCGAGCGGGCCGTGTCTATCCCTATGGAGCATACCGCAGAAATGCCTGCGGAAAAACAGCATCATTTGTTCACTAACAGGCTTGCGGAACTGCCGCAATTACTACTTTGACTTATGGCTATTCTATTGGAGTTCATTGTACACTGTCGTTCTTTATGAAAGGAACATGCGATTGCGTGACCTGCTCTCTACAACGGCTGCCTACAGTATCTTGCAGCGCTTGTCCAGCCACCCATGGCCTCCGAGATTGCGGGCGCGCGGCAGGTTTCTCTCCAGCCATCCCAATTGCATGGAGAGCGCATGTTTCCAGAGGTGGGCATGGCCCGCTCTTTTATCCATACCGCGGCGCTCTTTCTTTCAGTCAAAAAGGCTGCCGCGCTGTTGGCGAAGCTTTTATGTGGCGAGAAAAAAATGGTTTTGCGCTTCTATATAGCTTTGTGTTCGTTTGGAAATGTCGGGTCAAGGAGTGCGAGAGGCAAAGTCAACGCTGGGGCATTTTATTTTGAAATGGGGTTTTTATTTTGCTGTAGATTGGCGCCGACCATATTATAGCAGTTAGAATTTTGATGCCTCTGCAAGAGATCCGCATGTGCTCGAAACTATACTTCGAAGTTCGCAGGCTGCATAGAAGGGGGGCACCGGCGAAGAAAGAAAAATGGCAGCCCGATCCGCAAGCGAGGTGAGACGACTGCAGCTTTCTACGTCCATGGATTACTTTTTACACTCGATTGAATGGATTCTTCTTGCTCTCATTGAACTAGCACTGCTTTTCATTGTAACATTGTTTCAAGAATTCTAGCAGATGCCCTAATGTGATCACAGCTGCATCACGACGTGGTTTTATTGCTTTTTAGGCTAACACTCCGGCCGTCCAGCCGTGCTTGCCACAATATGAGGAACGTTCAGTGGGACTTGACAACAACAAGCAAAACGTTGTTCGGCACGCGAGGGATAAATAATCAAAATTACAGCATATGCCAGGAGAGAATGATTAGTGCAGTGAAGCGTCCGTCCATGCAACCCGTTGACTCCTGTCACACGACAGCACGCATCAGACTGAAGGAGGCTTCGCCTTACTCATCATATCATTCACTCCGTGCATATGCCGACAACACTGGATAGTAGTCAACGACCGATCAAGTGATACCAGAAAAAGCTTCATTTAAAAGCAATAAAACCACATCACACTACGTATCGCAGCTGTGATTACGTCAGCAAGCCTCTTATAACCGGGGTCCCTACGCAGCGTGTTGGGAGTATCCAGGCAGAGTAAGCTTCACCACTGGGGCGACGCGTCACAGCCCCTCGAAGCCCGCCTGTACCCTGTTTAGCTACCGGTGGGTGGCCGGCCGGCACTGGGGATCGAACCCCACACCTCCCGTAGCTGAAGCGGACGCGTACGTGCAATGCCACAGCTACGGTAAGCCTCTTATAATTCTCTTAACAGCATTACAATCTAAATCAGGGGCAGTTCCACGAAAGGAACAAGAAAGTAACCCATCTTTTTGCGTGTAACCCGTGAGCACAGAATGCGGCTTTCAGATTTAGCTTGTAGATTGGGCTGTCTCTCTTTATTAAATGTGGAGCGTTGTATAATCGAACCTACTCGCAAATCAGGCGTCGGCAGCACCGTGGACGCCGCCACTGCGCATGCTGGTGTCTCGTTCCCAAGCTTTTTTACCAATATAATGTGCAGAAATGCACGCATCAGTATGACATATTCTTGAAATTTAACGGAAGAAACAAGACCAGGCGTCCCTTTCTCTAACGGGTGAAAACTACAGCATTGACATATCATCTATTATAAACCGTAACCAGTCGGCAACTTATTAATTTGCTTCAATTCAATCAATCATTTTGACTTCTTCTCCAAAAGTTCCTCTCCTCTATGCAGAATGCCAGCGACGCATGCACGCAAGGTAACCACGCGAACGCCGCAGCATGAGCGCGTAACGAAGAAATAGCACCCGCTGGAGATGATGATGAAAAACATTTATTATAAAAGAGAGAGGTACGGGGCCAAAGCATGACCCCGCTACATGGTCGGCGTCCTTAGTCCGGGACACCGCATGACGAGGCCCCTACTCGCGCCCGTCTCACCAGAGCTCGTTGAGACTCTAGTGATGAGCAGTTGAGGAGGGCAGTCTCCCATGCCTCTCGGGAAGGGGTAGGGGAAGGTGGTAGGTGGGGATTTTTCGGACATGCCCATACCATGTGGAAGATTTCACACGTCTCCCCACAGTGTGGGCACCGCCCATCTGTGTTCGCATCGAAATGTTTTAGGATTGCAGGACAGAGTAGAGTACCTGTCTGCAGGCGCCTTAGAGTTCGCTCTTCCGCCTTACTCAGCCCCTTTGCAGGAGCCGGGTAAAGGCGGTGAGTGTCGCGATAATAGATCAGAATTTCTTTGAACCGCAGCAGCGGTGTATTGGCCTCCGAGTCATAAGAGCCAAGGTGAGGAGCCCGGTGGGTAAGCGCTCGTGCGGCCGCGTCAGCGGCCTCATTACCTCGTAAGCCCTGATGGCCAGGAGCCCATACGATGCGTTTCGGGGCTGGATCAGCGAGAGCCCCTTTTAGAATTTGGCTGGCTAGGGGGGATATCTCTCCTACCAAGTAATGAGCACATGCTTTCCGGGAGTCCGTGATGATAACTTTCGAGTTGGGGTCCGCAGCAGCAAGCGCTATCGCGACTTCCTCAGCGCGCTCTGGATTTTGTGCTCGGAACGAGAGCCCATTGACATGCTTTTTCGGGTGAACTACACAGGCCGTGTAAAATCCCGTGGGCGAAGGCCCTGCTATATCTACGTAGAATACACCAGGTCGGGAGCCGTGTTGCCTCTCAAGCGTCCGAGCCCGCGCCTGTCTTCTGCTTTCGTGCATGTGCTTATCCACGTTACTGGGGAGTGGAGAGACCGAGAGCATATGCCGCCACAGTTCCGGAATACCCTCCGCCTCCTCTGCAGTGCAAGTGTGCTGTATATGTAAGCGGTTTAGCAGGCGGCGCCAGGGAGCCGTCTGCACCACGACCGGCTTTATAAATAGCGACCTGCGCATCCGCCACCAGCGCCGTGTCCGTGATTTTTTTTTGCTTGGTGTGTTATTTATAGTTTCCGTGAGCGCCGCTGCAAGCCGTGGCGCTGCTTTTAATCCTCACGTCTCCCATCCTCGCGACTGCGTATGCTGCCGGGCGAGGGTGATCGGCGCGTTTGCTTGTGCATTTGCATGCACGTCTCTTGGTATTACCTCAACTATTAGCTATGGTTGAAAGAAGTTGGGCGAAGTAGTTACACGGTGCAACTTGCGCAATGGTTTATTGCTGCGTACCGCTCTGCAAATCAAGCGGGCGCACGGCCGCATCACGAGGAATATCGTTCCACGAGTTCCCGATCACGGATGTGCGGAACCTGTGGCTGAAGAACATTCATCTTGCTCTTAATGTGATGCAGTCTGTTGAAGATGCTGGCTTTCGAGTGGTTCGTCTTGTTGGAGACAATCACAAGTCGAACACGAAGTTTTTTTCAAGCTTGTCAGGGGGGCAGATACAGCCTGTTGTAGAGTAAGTGCAGGGATCTTATGAAGTCACATCTGATTGGGTGAAGTGCCAGCCTTGCCTGTCGAGCCTGTCAAGCAAGCTGCTACTGGCACGGACATCCGGAAGCTCCTGCTGCCTCACCTAGCTACACTGGAACGCTACCCATGTATGTGCACAATCATTACGCAGCTTGAACTGAAACATAAGATTAAGTGAACAGTTACAGATAGAAAAAAGACAACACAAGAAAACAAAGCGACACCGTGATATAATTGTTTTCTAAACTGCTGTGCTGGAGGGAGCACCCACTTCACTTTCTTGCTCCCCACGGCGGACACCTTAGGCTATTAAATCTACTTATTCACCTTGTTCTTTTTCATAATTTTCGTAGGTCCTCCACAGCAGAGTCTGCGGTCCAGTACGTTGGCACTGATAGCCGGTTTCCTCGTCCGGGCCATTCAGGATAACATTGAATGCGAGGGCTGCCTGGTGAAGCTACAAGCTCCATCTTCCAGCTCCCCAACCACAGCCCTCATTGCTGGCATCGACAGGGGAGGCCTCTCCTATCCCACCTTACCATTTGTGGGATTTGTCCACCGCATGGAGCAAGCTGCCTCCCGAGTGGATTCCGTGCTTGTAAAGGGACCTCAGCCGCTCAAGAAGTTCTCGGCCGTCGTGTTACCTTCACTTCTGAAGAGCCCACTTTTTGATTGTGCCGAGGACAAAAGTGTGCCACACAAAACAAAGCTGGCCAGCGTAATTCTGCAGAAATTCATGAGGCCATTTTTGTCTAACACCGCCAATGGCCTCACAGTGTCCAACGCCAAGAAAAAGGCACTCAAAACGAAACCCACCTCGCGAAAGGTGCTGAAGGTCTAATTCTGAAGGCCAGACTGTCTCTAAATGTGCTCGTGATTCAGTGTGTCATTTAACGAATAAAACATTTGGCAAGTTGTGATCTATTGTTGCTCTAAGCTTGAATGCATGGATTAGATGAGTTGGGTGTGTCCTCATTTCGTCACACGTTCAAGTTTCCTTGAACTAATTCCGTAGTCCTTACGGTGCGCCTCGAAGCCCAAATGCAAGCACAGCGCGTAAAACCCAGAAAAAAAAAAAGCGTGTAATATTTGTTGGCGCTCCCGTCACCTGCATAAAACGCGATAAATCTGACGAGACGGCCAATGCAGGTACAACTACCGTAATACAGTTTAAAAGTTAGCGAGCTCATTGCACCAATCTGTGTGACCTGCGTATCAAACAAGCCACAATTGAAGGTGAAGTTGCGCAAGAACTCTCGAAAGGATAAAGTGACAAGTACGTACGCGCACAAAATGTAACAGCCGACCTAGCCTACTTGTTTTCCTGCACTTCGGAGTGCACCTCGCGGACCAGCTAAATATACCTCATTAGACAGAACCAGCATGGCACTGCATAACATTCTTTGACAATGTTGTCTAGGCTGCCAGGAAAAGCTAGCCCAGGTTGCGGGCCCGTGCAACAAGCCACCGTTACGAGTGCTGACGTTTCTACGTTTCCTCGAAGTTGGTTGGTTGGAAGTTGGTATATACTGCCTTGTTTCACGTCATGGTAGGCAGAACAAAAAACAAAACAGCTGATGTTTGCAAAGGCACGGGGTTTACACGATCTCGCGCGTTCCGCTGTCGTAGTAGCTGTAGCAGCCGACACGAAGTTGAGGATTAAACCCAGTGCCCCCTGGTGAGACGCGCCGTCAACATCGCGGCTTTTCTTGGACCGCGTAGCCCCGTAGGAGAAGGGCGCGTGCGCAGGTCGCTATTTATAAAGCCGGTCGTGGTCTGCACGAGCCGCGTATATTGATTCATAAGGTGGGCCTCCCGCAACTCCTGGTAGGAGTTGAGCACACCTAACGCCCCCCGCTGGAGAGGAACGGTCGCTGGGTCAACCAAACTCGGCGCTCAGCATCATTAACTGTCTTTCTCTCTCTTTGAAATGTGCCGACGCCGTCAAGTCTGGAGCGAAATCCGCGCTCTCAAAGCGTACAGCGCTTCGCACTCCCCCACGGCGCGAGGCTTCCCCAGTTTCTCTTTCCAACTACCTCCCGTCACGCCGCAGAGGCAGGAGACAGGAATTTGGTCACTTACGGTCGCCCATTCGCACTATGAATTCTACGGTGTTCAGTGTTAGAATAGCGTCTACCCTGCTGCAAACCACAACACACGATCGCAGCGACACCGTAGCTTCAAAACCAGCGCTTGCGGGCCGCGATCGCCGCACGCAATTTCGGACTTTCTGCGTGCGGTCCCTGATAAGTTCCCTTACCACATCGAGAGTGCGGTCAGAGAAGTCTACAACGAATGCTTAACGCGCACACGGCAGACAAAAAACACAACGTTCGCGTTGTACGTTTATGCAACAGCCCTTCACAGAGCAATCGATGCTGCCGTCAACGTGAAAACGAGCTTTAGAATAAGAGAGTTAAGTTAGAAGACAGCACAACACGAGCACGGACAAGACCTCTTATGTGTCCATGTTTGCATGCTCGGCTTTTTAACGCGTAAACAAGACACTACTACGCTCAATTGCAGGCACGTACAGCATAAGCAAGCAGCGGCATCTTGGTAAGATGTTAGAAAACGTCAACAGTTCAAAAAGAACGTAAACCAAACGCGTACGATAACGGGCCGTACGAAAGAAACGACGTGCACTGACGGGTGTCATGCGGGTTTCAAATAATGTGGCCTCGCTTCTTATCTGCTGAACAAACGAAAAAGATGGCTATTCCCCACACTTACCAGTTTTGTTGAAAACAAGAGGTCAAATGCAATCAAGCGACGCGACGAAGATTCAGGGCCGTTTGCAGTGTGTGCAGGGGTCTTGTGGCATGACCTACTACACTCCTGACCTGCCCAGAGAGCACCTCTTCCAGCGCCCACGTTCTAGTTCATACCTTCTGCCGCTAGGGCCGTCACCTACGAGCGGCGTGGCGCTAGGCAGCACCTGTTCGCTGACGTCACCTTCACTCTTTGTAGTCAAATTTTAACCAACAAAGCACTCGTAGTGCGAATTTATGATCCACAATTTAGAAATATCCAGAAATAATAATACTAAAAGACATTCAGAATTTTTTTTGCAATAAAATGCACGCGACAACGCATAGGCTGTCCAAAATCATGTAAATCCACGGGTTTCCACGTTTGTCAACCAGTGTGCTATAAATTCTTAAGCGCACTGAACAGCTTACTTGACCAGCAATGTATGGGAAGAAATAGTCACATATATGCCGACAGTTCACCACAGAAAGCAGGCATTCTTATACCAGCGCCTACAAAACAACCGTAAAGAAGCAGACGAACAGGTTATAGGTAGCGCCACCTACGGCGAGCGATTGAACGAGAGCGGGGACACGCGCTCCCATAGGAACCCCGCTATCTGAACAGGTCAGGAGTGTAGTAGGTCATGTCTTGTGGTGTGCGCAAACACAACTTTAGGTGGTCGCCATATTGGTTGGATATTGTCGCTCAAAAAAGCGAAACGGCACAGTAATTACAATTCTGGCTGTGAAAAAAAGGGTAGTAAAACATAACATTGTATTTACTAACTTCAATCAAATATGAAATCGTTACCTGAAGAAAACTTAAATCAGGCATTTTATTTAACTAAACAAAAATAACGTTTACTTGCTTTGTGCCGGGTTTTTTAGTACTCCCTCAACGCCGATTGGTCGCAGCTGGTTTCAAATCAAATGTCCCGCGTGTGTTTGAAATCAGTAGGCCAGATTTTACACATGACAGCCGTTGCGATGTGTTCAACGTACTCGCCTTGTTAGTCGCTTGGATCGTGTTGCATCGCTCGTTCGACATCGGCTCCGAAGGTGAGAATGAACGTCGACATTTTTCGCAGCGACAGCCGAATTTGCGTTAACGGAGGAGTGGCGGAACAAAAAAAAGGGCGCCAGGCCGGGCCGGTGTTAGCGCGCTGTGCACCTGTGTGTGACGTTAGGTTGGCGCGGGCTACCGGCATGACGTATATTTTTGCGGGAAACAAGGGGATATCGGAGACATCGTTCGGCGAGTCCGAAGGTGCCTCATTAACGGATATCGAAGGCTGAATGCCGACGATTCGGTTTTTTTTTTTTTTTCATCTTTTAACCCCGCGAGAGTTCCAAATGAGCTGGCAGTCGCAGCGCGTGACGAACGTGCAGTATGCATGAGGAGGTGGTTGTGGTGTGCCGATGAATCTGAACGATCGCTGGTAGTGGAGACTTCGCGAGGCCTACAGTACCTCGTGCTATTGCCGGCTCGTGCAAAACACGAGCTACACTTCTATGTTCAGTTTTGGTCCAACCGGTTGAGGCCCGAACCCATTCGAGTACGCCGAGTGGCCGCCCTTTCGACTTGACACTTCGACGGTTTGGCTTCCATTTGAAGATCCCGTGCATTCGAAAACAGGTTTGTTGTATCAACTGACGTCTGATGAGTTGGTGCGTGTGCGTTTAAACCGCTGGAAATTATGCATTCTTTAGGCATGATTTCGTCTGCCTCATTTGCTTGCACGCTTGCTACAACCGTTGCCAAACGTTGCTCGTTGTAATCGGCGCGGCCTATCGGAAGCCGTTATCTTTGTTCAGACCGCGGGCAGTTTTTACAGATCGCATGTTTTTCCTCGCGGGAACGGCGTGCGTGTAAAAATCGCGCGCTATGTCTGGCAGATCCATTCGTGCACCGTTCCGCGGAATTTTTTTTTTTCGTTGTTATTACTGGCGACAGACGTCTTCTGATAAAATGCCGGTTGAGGCAGTGCGATGACAAAAAATTAATCCCATCTGCACCGCTAAGACTTCAAAGTTGCACGGACGCGGTATTATTTCATAATTGGGGAGTTTCTGCACTACACCATGCATTGAAGCATCTTAAATTTAAGTGCGCGCCTGATTCCTCTGGATGGCGCCGCACGTTTTCGACTAAGTGTGTGTGTGATTTGGTTAGCATGCATACAATTGCTGTACTCCAGAAAACAGCTTGTTTCTTAACATCCATATATAATAGTTCACCCCTAATTCTCCATGATTGACTACCCTGCAGAAAAAGTGTTCACCTTAGCTTGCAAATTTGAGTGTCATTGCAATGTTAACGTCAATGTGTGTCTGCGTCTCAAGCAACAGTGTTCAAACGTGCATTTGAGTTACCACTGTCGCATCGCTAAGCTTGCCATCTGCTCATGCTCACAGCCATGCCAGTCTACCACTTTTGCATCAACTCCAGATGTCTAGATACAAGTCGTCAACAAGAGCTGAAAAACTCGTAATAATCTGAAAACATACTCCGCGTTCAGTCGTAAATGCATTGAAACCTCTCGGTGTCATATTTTAATTGGCTTGGACAGGGGACCCAACACTAAATACATGTAAATGTTGCTGCGGATCTTCCAGTGCTGCATTTCAGGTTCCAGCAGAAGGCAATAAAACGTGCACATGTCAGTTGCTGTCCAGAAAAATGTCTCGTTTCAGTCTCGTCCCAAGTGACTGGTATCGACAGCTCTTGTGGGAAGCTGAGATTGTTACTCAGACTGGCCAGGGCTCGTAACAAACTTGCATCAGCGGAACTGAACATGCCAACACTTGTTGCTTAGATAGTTGAATCTCCTCAATATCGCCAACGCTGAGTTGCGTTCATAAATAACTATGTTAGCTTCATTCACCTACACTCACTCCTGCTGATGCTTGAATCCATGTTGCCGCTCTCCAGCGCTTAATCTCATGCTTGTCATATAAATGTGGAGTGTGATCGCAAACTTGGCATTCTCATGAACAATCATGTTGACACACGTTTGGAGTTTTTGGCAGTGTGCAACTTTTTGTTGCCACTGCAAGATGAGTCCTGGAGGTTAAGATTGATGTATTTACCACTGCTCTACAAGGCTATCACTGACCGTAACATTCTCTTGCATTTCACTTTTAAAATAATTCCATTGAACTTGCACTCCTTGTTTCTAATCTTCTCAACTGGCTTCTTTCATTTTTGTCTCGAAAAAAGATGGCACGCACACCGGCAAGGACACCGTCTTTCCTCACGGTGAACGCGACTCCCTGCGTGCTCCAGTCCACTCCTATCTCCGTGGAATCCCCGGAGAGCGGGTACTACGAAGGTTATTCGACAAACCCCAGCTCCAATTCTAGCCCCTCATTGGCCCTCCTAAGCGAAGACGAGAGTCGTCGTGCCTCTTACGTAGTGCCATACAGGTAAGCAGAGGAGCAGCAACATGGCTCCTGGTCATTTTAACGCAACCATGAGCAGCTGTTTACTGCATTCTGTGGTTCCCGACCAGTCAGAGGCATTAAATAGCCTGGTAAAAGTTATACAAGGCAGTGACTTTTACACACCAAAGGCAGACGCATGCAAGCCTGCTCCAACGTCCGCGCTGTATAGACTCTTGGTGGGAATCTGACGGCCACTGATACCGCCGCCAGACGACATGAAGCATAGCAGACGACATGAAGCATTGTACACGGCACAGAGCTATTTCGCTCTCTCAAATTGGCATACGCTGAAACATTCCCATATTGGGAACCCGGAAAAGCCAGTCATCAAGGTATAAAGCATATGAAATCTCATTTCTGCATAAATATACGTGTCTTGTAAGCACTCCTTTTATATATATATATATATATATATATATATATATATATATATATATATATATATATATATATATATATATATATATATATATTTAGTGAACCTACTACTTTTGTCGCACAGGTAGTCGGCTGCCGTGCAGTCATGTGGGCGGTTCTCTCCTGCCTTTTCAAGTTGTGCCCAACTGTAGTTACTAATAACGATTTACCTGTGACTAGTTGCTCTTCTACAGATAACATATAACTGCTTTTTATTAGTTTTTTAACATACAGCCAAGCGGCTGAGTCTCCTACATAATTCCAAGCACAAGTGTAACTAGCAGAAACATGTACAGCACTTTGATTCGCCTTTTTTTTTTTTTTACGGAAACCATCACACTTAACCTCGCTGCTAGCTGTCGGCTAATTTTTTTATGCCCTGATGCCACCATAATGTTCGGTAGCTTATGGCACGCATAAAGCATGTCCGAACTTCTTCAAAGGGCCTCTCTTCTTGCCACACTGCAAATTTTCGTTAATTACTCGAATATATGAAGTGCTCTTCGAAGAGTGTATCGCCAAAATAAATGCATTCAAATTAGTTCGATATTGGACTTGTTGGAAGATATCGAACTGCCCATTATAGTGTTTTGGGAAGCGATGTTCGTTGCCAGAGCAAACACTATCCTCAGTTGCTTCGGCTAACATCAACAGGCGGGCTAGCTCTTGTGCATTCACACAATTGCTGGAGAAGATGAAGTATGTTGCACTAGTGTGGCAACCCCATCTCCTTTTAAAAACCAGCTGCGGACGTTTTAACAAACGTTTCTTATATAGGTGTACCTACATGTGAGCTTTCACTCTTTGGTAATGTGGCTTCCGTGAAAAATAAGAGTGCGCAACGCCCAGTTTTACGTTTGGGGAATTTCAGGACTACAAGGGCATCTCATAAATTTGACAACACCATTGCTACTGAGTGCTGCACTTGTTTGTTTGAAATGCCCAGACCTGGCGACACACCCTCTGCATTCCATATTTGTCTGTACTTTGCTAGAAGGCTTCTCATGCACGCGTTCGACTTTGCAGCGGGGACCCCGTGGCACAGTTGCTGCGCCTTCCAGAGCCCATGCCGAGTCGTCCTCATGTGAACATCCTCAAGGAGCTCCAGAGTTGCAGGCCGGTCGTATGCAGGATACTGAGCTATCTGGCCACACCAGATCTGGTGCGCGCCTGTCACGTCAGCTCGGAGTGGCGCAGGCTGTGCCTCTCCATACAAGAACAGTCGGATCGCTTCAAAACGTACATCAAGGAGAGAAAGGAGCACTTCGAGTCATCCAGGGTCAGTAACGAGCAGCTCATTCTACTTCATTTCCTGTGTGCTAACGAGATGGATTTATAGAAAGGTGGGGGCCTGAAACGACCACAACTTGTTGAACGAGGATTGTCAGCGGAGCCTAGGTTCCGACGCCGTCACTTGTCGCCTCGGCCACGTAGCCTCACCACTAGAGAGAAATCTGGCACTAATCTGAAGCGAGAGCTGCAACTCGTAACACTTCGACCAGCACGGAAATCATGGGTACCATATAGATTTGCCTATGCTCCATTCTCTGGACTGAAGGAAATAAGTGTAAGCTCGAGGGCTTGTTTTTTTAATCGTTTGACTTTACAGTTATATTAAATATTAATATTATGCACTCTACAGTCCCGATGGAAAAGCTGGCTCCCGCACTGTGCCTCGTCGGGCAACTGCTAATCGCTTCAAGCTCTGCATGCACAGTTTAAAAAAAGATGTACTTAGTACTACACTGCCAGCTATCAGAGGAGCTATGCTAGAAGATTCATTTTAAAATGTAAATAATAGAAGATCTTTATCGGGTAGGAAGCGTGGAGTTTGCAAAAGAGAGACAACTGCCAATGCTATCTCTAAATAGATGAATGTTCAATAGATACAGACCTTAAAGGGACTGTCTATCGCTTGGAAAAATTTTTTCAATTGTGGCGCAAATGAGATTGTTCATCATATTGGCAGTAACGAGTAGGCCTTAGTCCCAGAAAAAAAAAAATTAATTTGATGTTGAAAATCTACAAAGAATGACCGCGAGCATCGCCCCACAGTGATGTTCTCAATCTACGGGCAGGACAAAAAACCTCGCAGGTAAGCTCGTATTGCTTATTAAAAACAAAAATGTATAACTTGAAATTGTATTTTACGCAGGCTTAGGTTGCTCCAGAGAGCAATTTCTGCTTTTTGTCTCGTGTTCAGAGAGGTGCCAGGAGGCGCTGCGGGCGGCGTGTTCGCTTGCCTGCCTGCAGCGAAGAAAAATGCGAGCACTGCTTCTGGCAGTGCTCATAAGAACAAACAAAAAGAAAATGTTTTCAGCTAAAAGCGGCGCGACTGACTTCAGGGAATTTTTTAACCATGCCCATGAATACAACGTAGTCTAGTTACTTTGCACGAGTCTTCACGCACAACCGAGGCTCTGCATTGAAAATTTTTCCCTCGTGTTGCGCTTCACTAAAGCATCCATGATGGCTCTCGTATCGCGTATGCAATACGGAATGCCTAAAGATAACTGAAAGGCAGCAAGGACATCTGTTGTTTTCTGAAGCACATCTCGTGTTTGCTTTATTTTAGTAGCACGTCAGGCATAAGTGGCATCGCTACAATGTGTTTTGCAACAACGCCGTGCCAGTGTTGCAAAAACACACCAACTTTCCGTTCTACTGCGGTGTTTTTTCAGGCTGACTAAACAGAGGTAGAGAAACTGGGGTAATAATACTGTATATGACAATTTGCGTGCTTTAGACAACCACTACGGTATTTGTTTTACTGTAAAACAAAACTTTATGAAGCCTACAAAAACTGCTCACGCTTTCAGTTTTCGACTTTCACGGATGCTACAATCGCCATCGACCCCACGAAACTGTTGATGACATTCATCACACCATTGGAAGAAGAGTGAAAGCAGATTAAGAAAACATTTGTTTTAAAATATTCTACTCGCTTTCCAGAGAAACCGCTGCAGGGTTAGACATTTCAAACGGTACGCTTTCTTTTGGGATACTTAACAAACACCAATGAAGGATGGCAGACAGTCCTATCAAAGAGGGTTGTCTTTCAAGACTTTCTTAGTTAATTGACCAATATTAGGCTGATTAGTAGACTAACAGTAAAGCCTACTTCTGTAACCAGCACCGATATGCAGTGCACACATTGCAATCAATGCAGTAAATTTTGGATTTACCTTTCAACTATGTACACTTAATACTTCATTCTATTCATCTACTAGTGCTCCTCTAGGATTGTCAACACAGTACATTTTCTTTGGGTGGAACGACATAGACTGGCACAACGTTTTGTTTACTGACAAAAGAAAATTATATATATACGGCATACACACACACATATAGGCATACAGAACGATCCAACGCAGAGGCAGTTGTAGTGTTTTATCAGCTCGCAAATGCATTTAATTTATATATTTACTCCGATTCATCTCTACATTAGGGCTAATATAACAAATTTCACTCTCGAATTGGGGACAGTCTTTGCAAGGGTCTCTCCATTTGCAGATCCAGCTGCAGTATACACAGTTACATGTAGACGGCTGGGCTAGGTTTTTTTTTTTTTTTTTTTTTTTTGCTACCTAACCTGATAGTGACGAACAAAAAGACTGGCAAGTAGAAAGTTCTATTTGTTTTCATAAAAGTTCGGCTTTCTGGGTGCCTTTCTATTTGCGTCCTTGTTTAGCTGTAGCATGTTGCGTAGCAGTATATCTAGTCGTTATGACCGTTGAAGGAGCACAGACATGAAAATTTTGCATCTTGCTCTTTCTATTGCAATAAGTAGCTAACGACCCTCCTATTACGGCTCGAAAGCTCGTTTTCTCAGTTCATTAGACGCAAAGGGTTTTATACTGCCAAGTCGCAGTTACGGAGAGTGCAGGGTGAGGCGGTACCCACACTGTTTTTTGTTAAACATGTATTTGTCTAAGTGCTTGCTAAAAACCTGTGCATGTGAACACTGCGAGACAGCTCTCTTCAATGAAGGCTCCCTCCAGTACATTGTAAGTATGTAAGACCCTCCGAAAATGCACAGCAGAGGCAAGGACATCGGCGTTTGTACTCCCGCACAAGCCTGGCCCCTCTTTCTGTTGAAAAGGTCTGCTAGAAGAGAGTGCTCGCGGCAGCGAACTCGAACTCTAGAAGTAAGTGGTGGTTGTTCGTTTACAAGGAAACCAGAGGAGCGTTTCGCGTGCTGTGTCGCAAAACTCGCATTGAAACAGAATTTAATTATATTCTAAGCTGATATTTCGTGGCTGATGCACTATCCCTCAAGTTATCTCTCCTTGCAGTTGTGCAGCTGTGTGGTATACATTCTACCATCTTCCACTTGTGCAGGAAAACATCCACGAGCGCAGGCCACCCAAGAGGGAGGCATCCAGTGCTCCTCCCCTGGCGAATCACAATGCCAACACAGAGCAAAATTCAAACGAGCAAGCCGGAAAGAACGAGGAAACAAAGACAAGGCTAGACTTGTTCAGAGAGGTGAGCAATGCACAGCCATTATGTCAAACATAACACGCTGTGGCACCTCGGCAGGTGTTGTTCAGCGAAGCTCTGGGATGTGAGTGACTATCAGCCGAAGAGCCTGCAATATGCGAGAACACCTGTGTGTGCTTGCTCTTTTTCAACTAGCATAGAGGCTTTGTACCATGGTTGAGCATCAACATGTTTATTTATACTCTATTCGATGCTTGTAACTTCATCTGCTACAGACGTTAAACAAAGGCTAAAGGGATATTGGTGTTCCTGTTCAAATAATCTAGTAATCAATCTGCATCCAATGGATATATACTTTAGCATTCAGTTTTCAGGTGGTCTCAAGTGAAGCTTTGACCCGCGCTATCGCAGGAGTCTGCTGCGCCATCCCGTCCCTTCACGTGTGTCCCAGGAAGACGTACGAGAGTTCTTTTGACAAATAGACTTTTCTAGTTGTTTTGATGATGCGAAATTTCGGAACATATGCATATCTGCACACCCGCTTTGACACTTCCACCTTGTACTGTAATTCGGAAACTTTACCATTCTCCGTGGAGCGAAGCCTACGGAGACAGGGCTTTTGCACATTTGTGTTGCCAGGCTTGTAGCACAGCAGCTCGCAGCTGATTTCAGTGTTGCTCACTCGCATCGTTAATGCATTTAGAAAATTATATACACGAAAATGTGAATGGGAGAAACATTGCGATAGTCCGGTTAACATTTAAGACATACTGCCATATTGCGAGAAAACTGTTGTCCTGACAAAAGCTTTCCACTTCTATACATGACATGGAGAGAAAAGTGAACAATAACTCTATTTTACCCATGACTTCCTACAACTGTTTAAGCCTCGTAATAGTTAAAGCGTCATTGATTTCGGCAAGGTAAAATGAGAAAATTTCTTGGCGTGGTAGCAATGCACTTCGGTTCTGTAACTTCCATAGTGCTGTCAAGAAAAGTTGTTGCTGAGCACAGCCATTCCATTGAAGCAGCAGTTCCATTTAAAAGACTTCACCAGACTTTCGGTAAATGGATGTCTCTCTCATGCATCCAGTGGTGTTCTCCTAAGGCTTAGTTTTGAAGGCACATGTGAAGCCAGCACATGTGGATTGGAAAATGAAACTACCGCTGGCTGCAACTGCCGCGCACAAAACCGTGCTCGTGACGACGCATAGGGACTATGAGCTACAAGGGCACGCAGCCCTCGACAAGTCACGCTGATAGAGCGGCTTGTAGCATCGGCCTTTGAAGTGAAAACGCTGCTCTGTGCGTGATAAATTCTCGTACCTGTGGTACAGTTTTTGCAATTTCATGCGATGTGGTAAGCATTGGCTTCTTCAAAGGGAGCACAGCAGATCCATAAAGGTAGCCCCACCAGGGAAACGGGACAAAATAGGACTGCGTCCAGGAAATCAAACTGACAACTCTTCAACCATTTCAGGAGGCCAAGCACATTCGGCCAGATGAATCGCTGTGGCCCTGTCCCAACTGCCAGTATCCGAGCCGGGTGACTGACAACGGTACGACTGGCACTTGCAAGTGCGGCTACCGGTACTGCCCCATATGTCGCCGGGACTACCACCTGCCCAAGCCGTGCGTCACCATCTCCGGGCAAGTCTCCTCCCGGTCCAAAAAGAACATCATCGGCAGCAAGCACTCGAAGCGTCAGCTGCGCCGCCTATGACCACGCGCACACCTGCAATCATGGTTGCATCCCGCTGTGCAGTCTTCAACGTGGGGCCAGCTGCAAAAGACTCAACGGGGTTGCTGCACAGTGACTCGTGCGTGATCGGGTGCATGTGGCAAACTTCCCGGTTGAGTGTCTTAAGTTTTATTTTTTTATATACAGTTGACTATTTTTGTTCTTACATGCTTTTACGGGTGATGAGTGGACAAAAGTGAGCCCTCATTTTAATGCCTTTATGTGTGACGTGCAGGGAGTCTGCTAGTATTCTTTTGCATCGTCGCCAAACTGCATGCTATGTAGTGGGTAAATTTGTATTCTTGCGCCAGTCACATTGCCATAAGTCCTGGCAGTGGCATTTCCAAAACTCTTATTACATTCGCATTCAGTAAGGCGGGGACCGTCGCCAACTGCGGTCGCAAGGCCTTGCATTCGTCTGCCCATTGCGAGCTTGGCCACTCAATGGGCTGATGTATGTGGCCTTTGGCATAAGTTAACGACCGTTCTCAAAAACAATTGCTGAGCCCACCCTCCCAACATCTCTGGAGGTCTGCACATTCCGTTATGCAGTTCGCGTGCTGGCAGGCTCTCTGCAACACTTCCTGCCTTCACTCGCATGGCTTCTGTGAAGCCCAGCTGCCATCACTGTACAAAACATCTCATCACCGCATTCAACAGTCGGGAAGCTTTCTGTACAGCCCCGAGCATCCCATGTACATAGTGTACATAGAGTGAATGGGAACCGGTGTGTATATACTGTACACTGTACCTGATGCGATCTCTGTGTACTTGAGAGGTGGGGCTTCAGGACTGACCAACTGTGCCAAGTGACTCTTCCTACTCCCTTTTGCAGTGGGAGAATTAAAAGTTGTGTACCTCTATGAACATGATTGGATCGCAGTGCCTCTCTCAAAACTGGTATTTTTCTCTCTCGATCAGTATTATGTTGCCACTCGCTGAAACACTAGAAATTGTTTTCAAAAACTTCCAGTATTCCCTGACGCTCTTCTGTTTTTTCTTTGTCTTTAACTCTAATTGGTACAAACTTAAGAGCATGTGATATTGTAACATCCATGCATTTTCGTTTCATTGTTTCACTCTCAGTATTTTAAGTGTTTATGAAAAGTGAATACCATGTATGAAGGGCACTACGTGTCTCAACGAATTGTGCCACGTACATGGAGGTATCCACTCTACCGCATTTATCTTGCCCTTGCATGGAGAAATGCCGCTACTGTAGCACAATTTCAAGGATTGTCTTGATGTGACAATTGTGCTCAATGTGATATGTACAGTGTCACAACACAAAGCCAAAGTAAAATGAGATTTTTTTCGTATCAACACTGATCTAAACTGTGTCTTTAATTTCCCTTTCTCGCGTGTCTTTTTTTATGCATGCTCAAAGTTAGAATTGTGAATACAGTGCACCCTGCCCCGCCGCGATGGTCTAGTGGCTAAGGTACTCGGCTGCTGACCAGAAGGTCACGGGATCCAATCCCGGCTGTGGTGGCTGCATTTCCGATAGAGGCGGTAATGTTGTAGGCCCGTGTGCTCATACTTGGGTGCACGTTAAAGAACCCCAGGTGGTCGAAATTTCTGGAGCCCTACACTACGGCGTCTCATAATCATATGGTGGTTTTGGGACGTTAAGCCCCACATATCAATCAACCAATCGGTGCACCCTCAATGAAATGGTGAGTGTGTACGACTGTTAGTTCTTACGCGCTCATTCACAGTTCAGTAGGATATGCAGTGTAGCCTGTGTCAGTGTGAGGTTAGTTTTCTCATATTTTTCTGAGCCTTGAAACTGTATGTGGGAGAGGCTGTTTCCATAATAGGTGTGTGTGTGTCGGTATTTACATGCCGTATTTACTCGCATAATAGGTGCGCACCCCTGAAGTATCAGTAGTTCTGTACCGTATTTGCATGGTTGCAATTCAGCGCCCTCTTAACTGGAGTGGAAAAAAAAAAAATGTTGCAACGTCGCGCGGTCTCGCCGAGTGAGGAATAAGGGCGGTCTGGCGTTGGAGTAATCTTTGCGCCGGCGTGGCTCTGGTTGCGCATGTTCAGTTTGGAACCTGTGATCGCGTTTTCATCAAGGGCACTTCGAGTTTCCTGTGAGAAAAAGTGTCATCGTGTTCGCTACCTAGCCCGTAAACTTGGAAGCTTTTAAGCTTTTCTACACAAGCTTTCGTTTTAGCTGCGACTACGCGGGCTTGCAGAAGGTCGGCAGACTTTTGTCGCCATTGATTTCCCGACCGCAAACCTAAACATCACATCACATGCACTGCTCTTGGATTGGCGCTAGAGTACCATCTTTTCGACGCTCAAGCTTCATGACGGTTTACTGTCATGTCATACCAACTAGCACAAACCGCCACACTTCAATCTTCATGTTGTCTTATGCAAGCTTCCCACGGACAATACCGTATGTCGAACCGTTGACTAAGCCTAATCGGCATTGTTGCTTTTTGGTAGAGGTTGTGGCCAATCAAAGTCGCGGTTTGGTGTGGAATTAATGTCGCTCTTTACGGTGGCTCTACTTGAAGGAAAGATGACATGGGTGGCACTTGGAACACTCGAATGGTGGTTCGAGGTTCAATTGCAATGTCTCATGATATAGGGTGTGAAGCCATGAAATGAACATTCGCCACCGTTCAGTGCACAACATTTCAGCCGTGACGATTCGCATAATCTAGGTGGCCTCAAACGCAATTGAAAAATTTCCGCGATGGCGCTTTCTTTTTGTAGGTCTCTTTCCCCGCGTTCATTCTGTCGGCAACGTGGTTCTGTCAATGTTTTAGTTAACTTTCAGGAAATTTGATTGCTTCTAAGCACACCGCATTGCATGCCTCAGTTCTAGGACATGCGAGACTGCATGCTCAACACGTTTTGCGCTAGTGTATCCTATACAGAAAGTTGCTTCGTATGCAGTACGGGTTTTGTGACTTCGGCCACTTACGTTATCAGTGGTCTATGCTGGCAGTCGTAAATAAAAGTAATCTGAAAGTATTACGCGAAATTTTATCATAAACTTGTCACCGCATATTCTGGGAAAAATTGCGCCTAAATGCGAGTAAATACGGTAGGTCAAATCAATCCAAGTCCCCAACTTAAGAGTACTCATAGCTTACAAGTTTCCTGAGAAGAATGAGCAAGTGACAACACAAGATTTAAATGACACAGATAAGATCGCTGTACAAGTGCTTGCGACATAAAGCGTGGCAGGTCAGGGTTCAGCAAGGTGCATATTTTGGCATGCGCGGCCTCCAGTTTGTATTTCATCGATGCAACATTATCTCTTACACCTTGCCTCAGAGCCAACCTTGCCTTTCAGTGACTGGATTTGCGGTGGCACGATGTGTTTGTCACAAATTCACGAGCTGCAAGCAGTGATCTTGACAGTTGCTGCCGAGAGCGCATGCTATTTACAAATGCCTAAATGGCTGAAAGCTGTGCTAGTGACGCGAATGCCTACTCTTTTTCAAAGCCCTGCCTTGCGCAGCAGATGGATGGATGCAGTTCGCGCTTTTTTCATAACGCCGCGAGGACAGTTCAGTTTTGTCAGCTGTACCCAGTGTGTTAGTTTTCTTTGACATCAGGTCTCGCACTAAGCATGCACAATATTGAGCAAAGAGGAGATCGATTCATAAGATGCATATTAAGAGCCGGTGGGTTGAAATCAAAAGGAGATGCTTCTATGCTCAGATAGTAGCTCTAATAATCACAGAACTTGTCACTGGTAAGTTCAGACAAGCTGGTGCAGATGACATCACCGAGTTAATGCTTTTCGCACACGTCAGAAGAGGCACGTGAGCTGTGTTTACACCCTGGCCAGCTGTGGCGGTGTGTAACGGATTTCTTGACGTCATCCGGTACCCGCCATGGAGGACTAAGCAGCTCCCTGCTTCGGTTTCCATTTTGACTCATCCTTCACTGCTTAATTAAGATTATTCATGGGTTTCTGGGCAAAATAAACTACTCAAGCTATTGCAGGACTATCAATACTATTTGAAACCGGCATGATCTCAGTAAGGTCGAAAATGCACCGGAGTTTCTCTTTAATTTTGCACCTGCCGTTGTGTATGTTGTTGCTCCTTGCATTTAGTTTTATTTTTTTAAGTTTCTTTCAACTCCAACACTTGAAACCCTTACAAGAGTTGTTCAGAAGCTTATGACCTTATGTGAAGCATCCTAGCTGTGCAAGCAGAAACATTACAGAGACACAAATTGATACACTCCATTTGCGTATCACCCTGTAAACTTATCAAAATAAACTGAGACTCATTCAATTATACTCATGCACACATTGCTGCTTGAACTGCTATAGTCAGATACAACTTTAGAAGTGTGCAGTATTTCCTCCTCAAAGGTACATGCACACAAGCCTGTACCAATGGACATGAACTCGAAACTGGCGTCGTGAACTCGACAGGGAGTGACCCTGCCTTTCAAGAATATTGCAGAGTGTGTGAGCCGGACTATTTATTTATTTGCAGAGACCATCCGTTGCTGAGCTTCAGTAATCTAGGCGGGGCCTTCTCAGACTTAAATTTAGTCATACTGTAGAGCAATGCATATCAGCCTAAACTGCAGTCCAGAACAAAAGCTTCGTGCCTATAGCTCGAACCATAAGCTGTATGAATCACAAACCTTTATGATTAAAAAAAAAATGACAATGTCATTCCCACCAATGAGCTGCAAGTATAGTCCGTAGGTCACAATTCACCACTCCAGCGCAGCGAGATGTAATGCACTTGATTGTCTCGAAGCGTGGCCAGGATGATAGTCTTATGCACTGCGTTCCCCAGGCGGCCCCACATGACGATGTCGCGGCCGGCCACTTTGTGGTCCCTGCCTAGACACACCACCACACCGAAAGCATGGAACAGAAGCGGATCACCTGCAAGCAAGGCAAAAATAGGTGTCATAGCGTCCCATATAGCAGTTTTGAGTGTACCATGATAACGAGATTAATTTGTACACCTTTTGTATTAACATGCACTCTGTTCTGTGCTTGGCTGACCTAACTTGAGGTGCCCTGTTACAAAGTCTGAATGTGCCTTTCCAGCATGCTCCATTTGTTTCTTTGTTTCCTCTCTTAATTCCAACAATGAACTTCACCAAAGGCTGTACATTTCTTTATTATTTAATTTCAAATGGCAAAATGTGAAAGGCATACAGAGGGTCAGTTGAGCGGGATAAGATACACGCGTAAGATCGCGAGTCTGCATGTTCGCACTTTCAAAATAAAAGTTGTTTTCAGACGATGATACACAAGAAATTTCTTCGTCTATGCATATTTATTGTCTAATAATTGCAAATGCAAGATACATGTTTCACTTCTTAAAATACAAATTCTTTAGGGACCACCACTCCAAACTCCCAATTCATCAGCCTTTTTGTGCATCCCAATTACACCTAAGTACGCTTAGTCTGCGTAAACGCAAGTTCATTGGCAGCGTCTCCTTCGCCGCGCGGTGCAGCAGCCAGCCCCACACAGAAGTGGCTCCTGCGCCGCACGAAAGTGACGTCACTTTAAAATTTATAACCTAAAGCTAGTTAAATGTGTAAATTATTCATGTGTAATGCATTAAACCTATAAAAATTTTACATAGCAGGTGTTTAACGAGTCAATTAGCCTAGGTTTGTTATTTAAGTACATAATACAAATCTTAAATACAGGGGCGCTATAGGCACTGCGGCTGCGAGATGGTAGCCACCTGCGATGCGTGTAGGTGGTGAAAATTCCGATGAAATCGTGGCCATGGCCTAGGCCACTCCCAAGGAGGACTGGAGTGTCGTCGCTGCTTCATGTGATTGCTGGATGCTTGGAGCTAGCGCGGCCGTCCACCGCGCCGCAGCTTCACCTGGTGGTTGGAGCTAACGCGGCCGTTCACTGCGCCGCAGCTTCATCTGAGTGTGTGCGCCATAAAGTTTCTCAGTATGAAGTGCGGATTAGAGTTGTTGGACGTACTGCATTTTCTAGATTGCAATGCCAAGCGTAGTGTTGTCAAAGGTGAAAGTGTTCTTGCTGCCGAGTTTTGCTTGTCGCGAAGGACAAGGTCAACGATGAAATAAATGCTTTCGCACAGTTCACGTGTGACTGACCGGACGCACATGCATGAAACCCCAGTGCATCGGTGAAGTGTTCATACGATGGATAGAAACAACTTTATTGTAATGTTCTTACAAAGCCTGTGATATCCGAAGGCCAGAGCTACTGCATTGCCGGCTGTTTTGTCAAGTGCAAACACGTACGGCCGTTCTCATCCGTTGCTACGTGAATGCTCCTGTGCTGTCACAGGCCGTGCGTGTTATTCAGCAAGGCGGACAACTGTTTTGTAGTTAGATGGGCTAACGCCGTCGGCACTTGCCCTTGGGCATCGTTTATCAAGTGCTGATCGCCTATAACATTGCAGTGACACGTCAGTATTTTTAAAAAAAGCGGCCTGCCGGTTACCTTGCCAGGTGATGGTACACTGAGCGACATAAAAAAAGTTGCCTGAGACTACATTGCAGTGCACCTTTCTGTCATCAAAACTTTGATAAACCGTGGAAAACAACATTCCTGATACCTGTGCCGAAGAAACCAATTCAGCCAGCTGCATTCGAGTTTTTTGTGTCTTTTTGCGTCTCGCCGATTAAGAACACTAATTCGCAAAAAACTTTATCATAATAAATATAGTCAATCCTGCAAGAGTCATCGAAGATCCAATATTAAAGGGCCAGTGGACGGGACCACCACCAGCAGCAAGTCGGGCTGATGAGGAGGCGCAAATGTTAAAACAATACATGCATGAACAAAAAAAAAAGAGAAAGTATCGATAACAGCAATGGGACTTGAACCACCGACCTCACCAGCTGATGTGTTGCTTTAACTAAGTACGCCACAGCTGCCGACCAGTTTGAGATGGCAAACAGGCCAATTTTGTATTGTTGTCACTGTAAACCTAACTAAAATTTTTTGTTCACTTTTTTCGTTTGGACGTAATTTTAACGGCTTTTATCGTTATGTCTAGACGTACCGCTAGGCACTCCCGACTATTCAAACAAAGCGCCTAACCAAAAAAAAATGCATGACGTCACTTCCGTGCGGCGCAGCAGCCGTTTCTGCGTGCGGGCAAAAGTCCCTGAAAAATAAACTAAAATATTTTTCAGGGACTTTACGTGGGGGTGGCTCGTGCGCCGCAGTCTCTGCCAAGTTCATTTCACAGTAACATTGCTTTTTGCCGACTCCAAGGGGTCAGTGACAGCAAAGCCAAAAGCAGCATTGCGAAAACATCACGCGAATGTTATCATCATCAGCAAACAGCTTGCTGGTCAACATAGCGGCGTAGCGAGTGTCTGCGTTTGCTCTTCGAAAAGCGCGAGCGCCTGCAGATTCGCTTAACGTTTAGGCAGTGCAAAAAAAGTCTTCCGAGCGGCGTCCTCCCAAGGGTTCGCGGGATTTCGCTTCGTTACAGGACAACCGGCAGTGTAATCGAAACGTTTCGCATCAAAATAGCGACGTGCCGGTATTCTAGACGCCGTAGTCGTGCTTCAGCGCGTCGTCGCTATTAGACTAAGCTAGGTCGATCATTTAAACCGCCATGCCGTACGCCAACCAGCCGTCGGTGCACATCAGCGAGCTGACGGACGAGAACGTCAAGTTCTTCATCGAGGACACCGACCTGAGCGTGGCGAACAGCCTGCGTCGAGTCTTCATCGCCGAGACGCCGACGCTGGCGATCGACTGGGTCCAGCTGGAGGCCAACTCGACCGTGCTGCACGACGAGTTCATAGCGCACCGGCTCGGCCTGATCCCGCTCACGAGCGACGAGATCGTCGACAAGATGCAGTACTCGCGGGACTGCACGTGCGCCGACTTCTGCACCGAGTGCTCGGTCGAGTTCACGCTCGACGTCAAGTGTCTGGACGAGCAGACGCGCCACGTGACCACGGCCGACCTCAAGTCGAGCGACCCGCGCGTCGTGCCCGTCACGTCGCGCCACAAGGACGACACCAACGAGTACGGCGAGACGGAGGACATCCTCATCGTCAAGCTGCGCAAAGGTCAGGAGGTCAAGGCCCGCGCCTACGCCAAGAAAGGGTTCGGCAAGGAGCACGCCAAGTGGAACCCCACGTGCGGCGTGGCGTTCGAGTACGACCCGGACAACGCGTTCCGACACACCACCTACCCGCGGCCCGAGGAGTGGCCCAAGAGCGAGTACACCGAGCTGGACGAGGACCGCGCCGAGGCCGAGTTCCAGAGCGAGGGCAAGCCCAACAAGTTCTACTTCAACGTCGAGTCGTCGGGCGCCCTGAAGCCCGAGAACATCGTGCTGAGCGGCCTGAGCGTGCTCAAGAAGAAGCTGAGCGACTTGCAGACGCAGTTGTCGCATGAGCTGCCCTGCGACTCGCTCACCATCAACTAACTGATTTTGGGAGGGAAAGCAGCTCCATTCCATTCAAGAGAGTGCATGAACCGTTTTCATATTGTTCATAAAGCAGAATACATCATTGCCATTCTAATGTCTGAACAAGTCTCGGATTGCTGCCAACACCGCTAATTTTCGGCCTATGCTGGTGTGCATGTAAGTAGCTTTTTCCAGCATATTAAGTGCTGTGCAACGTGATTTAGGTGTGGGGACACCAGGAGCTGCCATTGCTCAATGTTTCAATTATGGACACACATTTCACGATAGTTAATTAGAATAGCTATACAATCCAACCCCTCAATTATGCCTGGAAAGAAATTTTTCTTTTTGTAGAGCACACACACCAGTTACCTTGCAAAACTAAAATTTACTTAAAGAAGTAGCTGATCTTTCTTACTGTTTCACATTGCTTTGAAGGAACATGATGGCTGAAGCCAAGCAGCTCAGTAATCGTTGCAAAGCTTGGTCATTATCGCGTTCACTGAGAAAAGTGCGAGTTGTGTCAAAATAAAGAACTGCACATGAACTTACTTGTATTGCATGTATTTTGTTGCTTTTCTCACTCTCATCGTCACCCTGCTATCCTTTGCCCCCCCCCTCCCCCTCAACGATAGCGTCGCTGAACTCTTCGTACACGATCAGGTGAGTGTCAGCGCACTAAAGTCCAGCAGTTCAACAGTGTCTGTTATCACTCCCTTAACATGCAAGGCACATACCATGTTTCAACCTGGGGCTGCAGGTCATCGCTACTTGCAGAATGCAGAACCATCCGCTTCAGTTTCTAGCAATATTTAACTTCTGGGGTTTGCTCATGAGTTCAAAAAAAGTGTTGTGTATCACTCCCTAAAACTTTAGTTACTGCGGGAGTGCTTTTCAAAACCTCTTCCCTGTCGAGAGGAGGCGAATGTTCGCTACCGACGTTCGCCAGGCGCACCAGACTTCTTTGTTGGCATGAGTATTTCGTTTTTCAGGGATTCACATGTTGGTGAGTGCCCAAATCATGTTTACAGCAGTACAACAATAAATATGTACTTAATCAAAACTTCACTGCTGAGTCGAGCGATATTTTTCCCATTTTCTACACAATAGGACGTGCTCATCATGCCTGTCAGCGAGATGAAAACAGCAGCGAGCAAAGTGAACACTATATGGTCCTGAACCATTCCATCCAAAAGCTCGTTCTAGTGCAGACAGCTCTAAATCAGCAATTTTATGTATGCACAATACTGTCACTTTATTTCCATCTAGTTCCACAAGATCACCTAACTATACTCATGTTTTTTTTTCAAAGGCAACACAATTACTGATCAAGAAAACATGAGCAGCCAGGTGAAGTGAGAACGACATGATATGAAACACATATCTAAAGGCCATGGAAGAATACTGGGTCAAGTTCTATCACAAAAAATTCAACAAAAATGTCGTCAACAACAAAATAAAGTAATTTAACCATAATGATATAGCCATTCTTACCATAAACACAGACTTGATAAGCAAGATACAAATGGAAAGACAAAAAAAAAAAGGTTCAGTACACAAACTAACCATGCAATCAATGTACGTGCTATGCTTTGCTTCTCGGTGCCACGCAGAAAGGAATGTCTGCTCACATGACACTAGCCATCGGCAAACCCTCCCAGAATGCCTACTGCAAGTGCAGTTTCGATATGCCTATTACGCCATTATTAATCATTTTATGCATTTAGTGAACTGCCCACAACACATCCACAAGGCAATAGGCACACCAATGCAGCTGCACACTTTGTTGATGATGTGGCTTAAAATGATGATCACTTATGACTCAGTGCTTTGTAATGGGTGGGCCTCAAAATCACCCACTCACTGTGCAATTCACCTGGTGTGATTACATGTATTAGTGAGACTACACGCCCTGCATGACGCCTGTATACGACCTTTTTCTGAAGTACTTTCTAGCACTAAAGTGTGTCTATGGTACAACACCTGCCTGCCACGCTAAACGCCTCGGTTCGATACCAGCTTGAGTCTCCCCGACTTGTATTATTTGCATCCATAATGAACACCACTAGCACCAAAACTTATGCAACAAAGGCTCATTCACACTGTCACGTTGGAAATTCTGGCATCTTTTAGCCAAAGACAACAAGTTAACATTATCCCTTACTTGACATAGCTATTGAAAGGCTTAAATGCTTGTCGGACTTTTCATTATGTCATGCACAAACCTGTGCTTCTAAAGGAGTCCTTAGTAAAGGGACTATAAAGCACAGGAACATATACTACACACTATAAACTCCCTAATGAGTAACAACAAAACTTTCTTTTAATTTAATCCCCATGGAAAGAATGGACTCTCTACAGCCAAGTGAAATACTCCAATCATGCCAGACTGGTTTGAGCCCTAAGACTATAGTTGGAACTAGTGCAACATCTAACTAGCAAGGAGCAACGGCATTCATTATGCACACAAATCGGACCCAAAAATGCTTGTTTCATTGCGGAATACAATATACACGAATGGAATGAAATTAGAATACTTAACAACAACAATAACATCTGTGCCTTTACGTCTCAAAACGACGACATGATCATGAGAGATGCCTTAGTGGAGGACTCCGGATATTTCGACCATCTGGTGTTTTTTAACGTGCACTGATGTCGCACAGCACACGGGCCTCTACCGTTTCGCCTCCAATGAAATGCGATTGCCGGCGCAGGGATTGAACTCGCGACCTTTGGGTCAGCAGTAGAGCACCGTAACTACTGCTCCACGACGGCGGACTACTTAACAGCACTGAAGGTCACACTAAGGACAAGACATTTGAACAGTAACCTCAGAGTACATTCCCGACTACCATTCCATAATGGTCAACACCAGCGTAACTTCAGTGAATCAGCCATGATGGTTATTAACTAAAACACACATGGGTAAGCAACATACAAAAAGTGAGGAGCTTATTTACAAAGCATAGTACAAACATGAGAAAAGCCAACAGTAGCGTGTCTTGTGTGATCTATACAAGAAATATATACAGGAATTTAAGCACATTACTGCTGTTCACGGTTCTGTCAACACTATAGCCATTAGAATTATTAGATTTCCAATACAAGAAGGAAAGATAAAGTGTCTATGCATGAGCACATGTGCTGAGTAGTGTCTAGGTTGAGTAATAAGGGTTCGTAGGAATGGCTCACCCGAATAGACAAGAAGTCTCCTCCAAACTTAGATCCGACTGTCATGTAGTAGCCCCTTTCCCAGAGATCCTTGAACACTCGGCAACGCACCTTGTGCGCATCAGTCCTCGGGTAGTTCAACTCTACAGGCACCAAGTTCGATGCCTTTGTTCGCAGGCACTCTGGACAAATGGAAAACGGGCGACAGTTGTATCAGCAGTGACCAGACAAGAGGAGATGCACTTCCACGAGTACAGTGACAGTATTCTTGAAGTGGCCACATTCGACTGCCAAGGTGAACATGTTAATTCTGGGATATTGTGTGCTAGTATCACGCTACAGCACTCGTGGGAGACTCCTGATCAATTTCGACCATCTCGCATTCTCGAACACGCAAGAATAGGCCTATTTTCTGGGTGGGATGGATGCCGACAAGTGGTCTCTATGTCTTTTTTATGCACATGTGTACTGCACTCTGTAAAAAAAAGGGGGGTGAAAGTTTAGGCTAACTGTGTAAAGCTTAAAAGCAGTGAAGCTGGTTGATTTTATGGGCTGCTAGATCTTTCCTTTGCGTAGACGTAGTGTTGGGCCATAGCCTGAATGTCCAAACTCCACTGCCAGGACGAACATGCCAAGCTGACTGTGGCATCCCCGGTAGACCTTTCGTTGCATGCACTGAGCTCATGCGGTAGGCAAGCTCGACGCAGCGGATGCATGCACTGTCTTCGTCTGTCGGCGCGGCAGACGGCTTTTTTGTAGACACTCAATAATAATAATAATAATAATAATAATAATAATAATAATAATAATAATAATAATACCTTTTCTTTCTTCAAATAAAACAGTACATGTGACTAGGCCTGCCAAAGCCAATTGGTGGCTTGAGTGGCAGAGCCTGGCAGACAGCAAAAAAAAAACGGACGCGTTACAAGATTGTAACTTATGGCCTAAGAGGGATGACAGGACAAAAAACGACGTGCATATAAGATTAGAAACAACAAAGCATATAAGCAATAGTTACAAGCATTATACAATATTTACAGCAATTGAAAGTGAAAAGGTGTAAAGAAAAAAAGAAAGAATTAGAGCAAATGCTTCTTAAGCAAAGTAACACAATGGATAATTGTGCAGCATCATGCTTACGAATGAGTGTATATGAACTAACACACTATATGCATTACAATTGTAGACAGATACGCCGTAGCAGTCTCTTTAATTTGTATATTGTTTTTGTGCGAAAAATGCTGGGGGAAAGTGCATTGAAATAGGTTGGTATATAATGGGCTCGTATCCTTAGTTCCATACTTTGTCGAACACCGCGGCCTCCAGTAACGTACTTTGGGCCTTAAAGAACGAGAAGTAACATACGGAACCAGGAATTCTTTGGACCAGAAATGTTTTAAAACAACCGTTTGAATTAACAGATCATTGAAGTTTGGCATAAACAGCGTTTCGAAAATGTCTTTCTCAGAATTAATGTTCAGATCGTAAGATATATTTTTGAAAATCGAATGCAATATTCTGTTTATTCTATTGTGCCAACGGACGGCACAGTGTCCGTAAATGGTTACTCCAGTAACGCAGTATACTGTAACCTAAAGCGTGTGCTATCATCTTACGTACTGAAAACGGCATGTAGTGTCTTATGTTATATAATAGACATGACACAGCGCGAAGTCTTTTGCAAACATAGGTAAGATGACTATTCCAGGAAAGGTCGCTGTCAATGTATAAGCTTCAATGAATTACCTCAAGGTTTAAGATCTTCGTTTTTAAAAGATCAAAGCCATTACGTGCATCACTAAACATGATATCAGTTCATGTGCTGAAGGCAGTGCTCCTCAGCTGCTGTGGTTCAGGAGTGCCAGGCATGCCACGTAGATCTGTGCAACAAGTGGGCCAAGAAGACACCTTGTCACTCATGGAATGGACTCAAAGGCAGGCATCCAAACCCTAAAAATATACTGTGAATCGTTATAAAATCCTGGTTTTGTCTAAAAATTAAACTGTGGTGTCCAGCATGTAAATATCGCAATATAATTGCAAAGCATGCAATAGTGGGGGACTCGAAATAAGTTCCAACTACCTTCTGACACAGAGGTGTAGGTTCCTATTTTCCTGGGCAAAGAAAGCCAAGATGGACTGACTGTAGTATTTTAATGTTGGTGTAACTTTGTCTTTGGTGGTCACTGCCAACACATGCTCTGTACATTACTTTAAATCTCCCGTCTATACTTTTTATTCCTTTCCTCTGTCACTGAACCATGCTTCCTGAGAGGGTGCAGACGGTTGTGCTACCTTTCTTTTTCGCAACAAACCACTTTTCCTGTACGTGGCTAGTACATATTGTGGCAATACATTAGGGTAGCCCTAGAAGGAAATGCATAATCCAGGCAAACTGCAGCACATCTCAATGACCCAAGCACTAACAGCGTGTCCACACTGCCTTGGCCACTTAGTTGTCCTCTTTCTGCCGTAGTGACAAAGACATGTTGGCAGCAACAATATTGTGGAATACAAACTACTACTTTCTCGTTCCCTTCAATGGTTGCCCATGTAGCCTAATGGTTAAGGTGCTCACATGCTGAGCAAGAGGCCCCATGTCTGAAATGCATTTTCTCAGAATCGCTTGTTCATTTTTAAACGTGAAAAAGTTCACACAGCTTTACCAATCATGAAAAAGAAAAGAGATAGAAACAAAAACCTAGGCAAGAAATGCTAAGCATTAATGAGATGTACATGTGCACTAGCAGTGCATTCTATACATGTGTCTGTGCTCGGGTGCAAACACGATATCAACGAGAAATTCGCCGGGCCCCAGAGTTTCAGGGAGCAGCACAAGTCCAGAAAAGTCTGCTCACAGCAACACTTAAATTTGGCAATGTTGAGTAGAGACACCAAGATCCTAAACTTGGCTTAGATGACAGATGCACAGCTTTCACATGACAGACCGAAATGTTGCTCATGTTTTACAAAGGATAACCAAGGCAACGATCGGCAACATCACACACTTCTGTGAAAAACTTTGCAGCATTCATTTGTGCTGATACAAATCGTAGGGAAATTAAAGTTATGAAAGTCTTTCAAGGGCATAGGCAGAAATATTTTTTAGAGGGGAAAGGCGGTCAACCAAACCTTATCTGTGAGTGTGTAAGTGTTGGGTTACATACATGTGCAAAATTTTAATTTTTTGGAGGGGGGGGAGCGATTACCATGCCGTCACCACTGGCTATGCCAGTGAAATCCATTTGTATGGCTCAGCCTGTTAATTCTGCAACAAATACAGGCTTGGCTTGTCTTTAATGAACAGTACATAACATGCGTTATTATCATCATGATCAGCCTGACTACGTCCACTGCAGGACAAAGGCCTCTCCCATGTTCCGCCAGTTAACCCGGTCCTGTGCCTGCTGCTGCCAATTTATACCCGCAAACTTCTTAATCTCATCTGCCCACCTAACCTTCTATCTCCCCCTAACCCGTTTGCCTTCTCTGGGAATCCAGTCAGTTACCCTTAACGACCAACGGTTATCCTGTCTACGCGCTACATGCCCAGCCCATTTCTTCTTCTTGATTTCAGCTATGATATCCTTAACCCCCGTTTGTTCCCTAATCCACTCTGCTCTCTTCTTGTCTCTTAAGGTTACACCTACCATTTTTCTTTCCATTGCTTGCTGCGTCGTCCTCAGTTTAAGCTGAACCTTCTTTGTAAGTCTCCAGGTTTCTGCTCCGTAGCTAAGTACCGGCAAGATACAGCTGTTATATACCTTCCTCTTGAGGGATAGTGGCAATCTACCTGTCACTATTTGAGTGTGCTTGCCAAATGTGCTCCACCCCATTCTTATTCTTCTAGTCACTTCAATCTCGTGGTTCGGCTCCGCAGTTATTACCTGCCATAGTCTTTTACAACTTGAAGTGCACTATTACCTATCTCGAAGCGCTGCTCTTTTCCGAGGTTGTTGTACATTACTTTCGTTTTCTGCAGATTCATTCTAAGACCCACCTTTCTGCTCTCCTTGTCTAACTCCGTAATCATGAGTTGCAATTCGTCCCTTGAGTTACTCAGCAATGCAATGTCATCGGCGAAGCGCAGGTTACTAGGGTACTCTCCATTAACTCTTATCCCTAACTGTTCCCATTCTAGGCTTCTGAAAACCTCCTGTAAGCACGCGGTAAATAGCATTGGGGAGATTGTGTCCCCCTGCCTTACACCCTTCTTGATTGGTGTTCTGTTGCTTTCTTTATGAAGCACTATGGTAGCAGTTGATCCCCTATTATACCACTATTATTATACCACTATATTTATATTTGGGGCATAGTTAGGGTGGCTAGAATGGGGAGGTGTGACAAACTCACGCTGAAACCGGTCCCCAAAGTGCGGCCAATGCCACAAGAGGCGCGTGGCATTGAGCAGACGACGTGCAGCGCAACCTTGCTTGTGCTCGAGGAACATGGCTCGCGCTATTTTTTATGTGCCACACTTTCAAACGCTAATCACTTTCTCTCAGTGTGTGCAATAATAAGGGGTTGATTTCGTCCACTTCTTTGAAAAAACAACGTTCACGTGCATTATTATGCAGCAGGCTGCATACCAAGTAGGACTGTGCGTTAGTAATATCGTTGGATGTCGAGCATGCCACTTAATTTGAGAGCCATGTTTTTAACGCGAACAGCGTTATAGAGCCCGACTTTGGCTGTGGCGTCGATGTCGTTGGTTGTGAGTGAAAAATTATGATCTTATGCGTGACCGAAAAATCGAGAACGATGCGCATAAAATCAATAATAGAAAAATCCTGTGTCAGAGTGTGGACCGAACCAGGGTCATTGGCGGTGTCAGTGGAGATCGAATTTGGGTCATTTGCGTGGCAAGCGGATGTTCTACCACACGCCCACGCGTCTGCTTGTGAATGAAGTGAAAGAAGCTTTCGTGCTTTAAAAACACATGCATCCTAGAACAAGTGTGTTTGTATATGCTACATTGGATATTGCAATAATAATACGTCGGTACAAGCGCCCGTTTCCAGTGGGCGTCAGAACATGTGATTATCATAAAAGCTTCATGGTTTGAAGCCGGTCCCCAACTACAAAAGGCACACACGCAACTGCGCCTACTTCCCTTAAGGCCATGCGATGGACACATAGCAAGTTCAAAAAGGTTTTATGCACGAAGGGTTTAAAGTACGCACTAAGAACGGGATGTCACTATCTTGTTCAACTTCTAAGGATTAAGCTTTAGGGTCTCCTAAACTTTTCTTTTGCTTCTGTTTCTGTCCTGGCATTTTTCTATTTCTAATTATGCATCACTGAAACTTACTGCAGTCGTATTAAATGACTATTCATATTGTTAAAAGCTTGCCTGCTCTTTTGGAAGTGTTACTATCATTTGGCTGCTCGTCGAAAACTTCCTCTGTACGCTTCGTCAGAAGAAAAAATACATGTATTAGTTCAAAAGAAAACACATTCGTACACAAAGCAAGTTTCTTTGATATGTGCAATAAAAAGAAGTCTATAGAACACACAGCTTAGCCGGCATGTGGCTCCTTCTCGTTGACTTCGTTTATAAATGAATGCAGAGAGTTAAGCAGTAAAAGCATATAACTGATTGCGATAACACAATTTCATGCTCAGAGCAACCGACCTGTGACACATGCCCAATCTTTTGCTACATGTCTGTGACAGGCTGCGTGGATGCAAGCCGCCTAAGAACAGATACTCAGCTTGTTCTCAACGACTGAATTTAGTGGTACACACACCCTCTCAAATAAGGGAGACCACCACGGTCCCGCTGCTTCCGACGTGCCATTTTTCTTGATGTCGAGGCAAGCTACTTTGCGTAGCTCAATTGATGCGAAGAATATGTATGCTCCATTGTCCCATATAGCAGGCAATGCAACAGACAAGGTGGGCACTACTTATTCAGCACCAACTCTCGGTAGCACATGAGCCCATGTGTCAAGCGGCTCTTTTTGCTTGCCAGGGCTCGAAACAGATGCTTGTTCTGTCGGCGACCTGTACCTACAGGGCCAAACTTCACCCTGACATCACCAAACTTCACCCTGACATTGCACAGTCAAGTACGTCCTAAGTGTCAGAGTGATGCTTCTTAGAAAAAAAACTATGCCTGGGACGTCGCCCGCTTTACTATTAGACGCACGTTGCCACACATTTCGAGCGAGCGCCATGTGGTGGTGCTGGGGACTGTACCGCCGGAGCTAACAAGAGCAACATTTTTTTCAGAATGGATTGACAAGTGCTGCTGATCGGTAGACGAGGTCCCTAACAGGCAAGCCAAACATTAAGGCGCAGCACGCAACCTGGAATTTACCATTATTTCTCAGTCAGCTGGAAATCGCTCCCTCTTTACTCGACAAATGATGCTATAAGCTCAAATGACTGCACCGTAAACTCAAGGTCTTTGGCCATTGGCCAATTCGAGCATCACGAGCTGCATAGTTACTGTGGCTGTCACAGGATGACGCCACCTGTGTTTGCAATAACGCTGAAAGTAAGTTGCACATTCGAAGAAAAAACAGAAAGAAAATGTTCACTGCCACAATGCATACTGACAAAGGGACGCACCGTCTTGCTTTCTCATCTTTCTCCTATCTGCATAGCGTTTATTGTGCTCACCGATACGAAAGCAGAGAAAAAGGGCTTAAACCGTGTAACGAATTCCTGCAATACCACTCGTAATTGACGGATTCTTAAAATTATTGCAGCAGTCAATTGGTGAGGCAATACGCTCTTATGATGAATCCTTTCGAGGATTACTGACAGAAGTGTTGCAGGGTCCCTTTAAACTTAATACTGAGAGCCACCGAAAATTTCTTCCCGACAGAACGCAAGCACAACAGCGAAACGCCAGTTGCCGGTCCATTATAAATTGACTGGAAATAAAAGCCACAAGACGTGTCTTGCAAGAGTGTTTCAAGGCTCGACCATCATTTTCTCAACACTTACCGTACAGGACAGGTGCCAGTGTGATGTCTCGTGATGGCATAGACACCTTGCTCTTCATCACGTTGGCAATAACAGCTTCCCTCTGGGCCTCCATGTCTTCTGGTTGCACCTCGCTGAGCTCGGTAAAAGAGCTTGCATTACCTTTGCTCAACTCGGTGCTGCTGCTCTTTTTGAGCTTCTTTCTTGCCTTCTTGGAGACCTGCTGTCCTCTCCTTTTTTTAACAAGACCAGCAACAATATTATCTGCTTGTTGCTCGATCTCGGCTTTTCGTTGCGCCATGACTGCTTCAGCCTGCAATGCATACACAAGTAGAGGCAACATAATTAATCTAATTTCAATGTTTGGTGTGTATGTGTGTACACAAATATATATATATATATATATATATATATATATATATATATATATATATATATATATAAGGGAAAGAAGTGTAAACACGGAAAAACGAGCCCCTAAGGGCTCGTTTTTCCGTGTTTTAACACAATATTAATGAGATATAACAGACAGTAATGCCAAGGAATGTACAGGGGAAGTTATTAAAACCAATGGAATGTAAATAGGAAGAAAGAAAAGTGGATGAAAAAATTACCAACTGTGAGCAGGAATCGAACCTACGACCTTCGAATTATGCGTTCGATGCTATATATATATATATATATATATATATATATATATAGAAAACATGATGCGTGTGGAAGCACCTTTAATAATCCAAAATGTTTCAGCTGGTGGGTCAGCATTCATTAGTGTGACACCGACGAAGGCTGGCCAAAACATTTTTGTGATTATTAAAAGTGTTTCCACGTACGTCCTGCTTTCTCATTTACTTCGTACTAGCAGAGTGAGTGTATACACACACACATATATATATATATATTGATTATCACAACCATATTTTGTGTACAACAGAAAACTGACAAAAGTAATGCACTGCCTGACTGTCTATTGTTTTCTTATACCGTTCTTCGTACCATTTAATTCCCATCAGTATGAATACAAAAGTAAAGAACGGCTTGGTGTGGCATTACTATTGGTAAATAAAAAGTTGATATCCTGAGATAACAGACAATGTTCACGCTAGGTTACATATTTGCTGAATTGAATGCCTGTACATTTACACAACCGAACGGCAAGCTCTGTGATTTTCTAATTATGATGCACCTAGTGGTAGTAACGGTTAGAGTAACGCTGTCAGTGTTTAGTTGCACACCTACGCAATTATGTGCACGTGCATTTGCAATCACCAAATATTTTTGGTTTATATGCGTGCCTTAAGAATTCCGTGGGTGTTCTTGTCTCACTCCTGCAGAATGTTTTATATTAGGCATGGAATAATTTGAATTTAAAGGCCTCGTATAAAGACGCATATGAGTGCACATGTAATTACAGGACCATTGATTTGGCAATGATCGACTGCATGCATCGCGTTATTTCGGTTAATTTCGCGATCAGTATAGGTCGAGACGCTGCCGTGCATGCATTAACTGAGCTGCATGTTGCAGCGCCTCACAGGATCGCAAGGAAAGAAGACCTACGGGCATGCTTATCACCGTCAAAGTTATCCAAGGGCTTCGTACAGTGTCGTACAATTGCAGAGTACGAATCGTTGTTTTGACACGCCTCGCGTAGTTACTTCGGCTCTGCACATACCAACTGACGGTCAGGTAAAAAAAAAAAAAAAAAACACTTGCCTGCTCTTGATAGACATCCTCCGCGCACTTGTCAACACGTGCTCAGTTTCGCGTTCTCCACAAGAATACAGAAACCTACACGTGCTCCTCGTCGCGACCGTGGGCGGCTGGCTCAGTTTCGCGTTTTCCACAAGAATACAGAAACCTACAATGTTATCAGGTGAGGTACATGCGCTTGATTAAACGAGAGAAGACTGCGATCAGCGCTTCAAAGAGCGCCGAGTTGTGGAGACCCACGCACCTTTGGAAATAAGCAAATGCGCCTCTTCCATGGCAAGCTGCACTGGCAATCCGAAGCAGCACGCTTTGAAATGGGCAGCGCGGAAAACAGCCGACCTGCATTCCGACGATGCGATGCTGACATCGAATCTTGTTGACATCTGAAAGTCAAATAGTGGGCCTTTAACTTTAGAGAAGCGTTTCCGGGAGATAGGCACCGCTCAAATGCACACAAGGGGAACCAAGAGAGAAGTTTTGGATGCTTCACACACAAGCCAGCGATCGAACAGCCTGTTACGCTAAGTTATTTCCGATAGCTGGAGTTAGGAAGCAGTTATTTCCTCAACAGTTCTTACCATCTGCGTTCCAGACAAGAATTCTATCTTTCTGAAGGTACAGCTTGACTGGAGCCGAGCTCATAACAGGGCTGTAGACACCAATCCGAGCAGCACACACACACACGCACGCACACACACCGTGCAGACGAAATTACAAATTAACTGAGGGCGCCACCATCGTTTAAAAAGCTTTGAGTCATGTGACCCTCAGTTTGGCGCCAAAACTGCGCGCCAAGGTGAGGTGTCTGCAGCCAACGGAGTCGTGAGAAACGGGGTGGGATAATCCAGTGATACTCGACGTCTAGTCGCGAGATGGCCGATACCGATGCTGAGCAGCGGATCCGTGAGTACCAGCGGGAGTACCTCGAATTCTTAGATGATGAGGTGAGTTTGAATATTGCTCCTTGGAGTCGTGCGTTGCGCGGCGGCAGCTCCATTGTCCGCAATCTCATATGCGGCATTGCTTCTCATCGCAGGACGATCAAGGATTTTACAGCCACAAAATCAAAGATTTGGTCACAAAGAAAGAACGCAGGATCATCGTCAACATCAACGACCTTCGTAAGAAGAATGCCGCCAGAGCTAAAGGGTACGAGGTCCTTTTAAACGTTTAAATGTCCACGCGCCAAATAGCGCGGGAGATGCGCCCGAGCAGCGCACTTAGTGCACCATATGCCAGCACTGTGTTGCGAAAGTGCCTACTGTCATATTTGTGCAGAATATTCATCGCATGAGGTGGTTTCGTACTTCGTGGCTTGTGTGCTCTTAAGACCTTGAATCGTAATTTTAAGAACGATGCAGAAGTTTCGGAAGTCATTTGTGATGCTGTCGGGCTAGCGCTTAAAGCTAAACGCATACATATTAAGTGCAAGCAACAAGAGAAGAAAACAAAAATCACAGTATATCAAGTTATCACTTGCTGAAAAACTGGTTATGTTACTGCAGTTTCAAGGTCACTGGATAAACTGGGATAAAGGTGATGTAGTTTGAAGTGATATGGATTGTGCTTTAAAAGCTCTGTTGGAGACCTGATCTTCAGGCTTTTGTATAGTGGCTAAAAGTGTGGGAAATGGTGGTTAAGTTTCATTATTAGGAGGACTTGATATATTTTGATCTCATTAAAGGGCATCTAGGCATGTGAAAAGTGTTACTTTTAGACAATATGCAGTAAAAAGCTTATTCAGAATCTGCTATTCAGAAAGTGTTTTATGTCGTTAAAATATTCTTATCAATGTTGCTCTCCCAGGTTGCTCATTCACACGAGCGAAGAGATCATCGCCTTCCAGCGTGCACTCAAGGAAATGGTCATCTCTGTCGATCCACTGCTGGCAAAAGAACGAGATGAATACTATGTTGGCTTGGAAGGAAGGTGGGAGCCTTTTTCAGCATTCAGTTTTCCCATTTCTGAGATTACTCAGTTCGCCTTGACAGCAGTCAACTTACTCTTTTCCCAGCTTTGGATCTAAACACGTTACACCTCGGACACTCCATGCTTCCTATCTCGGTGGAGTTGTGTGCGTCGAAGGAATTGTGACGAAGTGTGAGTGATCTCTTTGATGTGCATCATATTCTAGTCGTCTACGCTTCATTACCCACCGTATGTTACTGATAGCTTAATTGTAACGTTTTCATAGTGTTCATGTGGTAAAGAAAAGCATGACAACGCAGAAGTAGTTGCATATGCAGAAAAAGTGGGCGAGCTTAATTGCTCGACTCAATGGGCTCCTTTTAAAGACATTACATTTTGCTCCTTCATACCACGTCAAAGTAGATAGATTGGCTGTCTACTCAAGGTCGCAATGCATTTGAATGCGCCTGTGATAACTGCTGGTGTTCACGGCTTACACCTAGGTAGCATCATTGCAATCCAGCAGCGTAGTGTGTCATTGTCACGAGTTCGTGACGTATCGACAATTGCTCACTTTGACAGGTAGACTTAAGGATTAAATAAAGTTCTAAGTTGAATATTCTCGGTCACTGTTTAACCATTTCTGGTTAACTTGGCATCTTAGTGCTTCTCAGCAAACGGGTTATGACTGCACAAGTGAGCCTAAAGTATAAGCATACGCTTGACAAATTTGGTTCACTGTTTCAATTTCCAAGCAAGCAAGTTCTGTGGAGCATATCGTAGGTTGTCATACCACTATTCAGTGCTACTGCTGTTCTCTGATTGGAATTACTTTTTGCATTTGCAGGTTCGCTAGTTCGTCCTAAAGTCATGCACAGCGTCCACTACTGCCCAGCCACGCAAAAGACACTGGAGCGCCACTTTACCGATCTGACATCCTATGACGCCTTTCCATCAAGCGCAGTCTATCCTACAAAGGTGCTGCACCACTGTCATTTTCAGTGTCCAGTGTTTACTGAGACTCTTATATCCGCTCACCAGTAGCATATGTAGGTAGAACAAAAATGGAATCTGTTAGAAGGATATGATGCAGACAAACATGTGGTGGAGAAGCTTTACATGTTTGATGTGGCAGCTACTGACACTGTTCTAGTGGCCCCATTGATGTACAGCTGCTGTAGGGATTGAAGCCTTTTTTTGTGTGTGACATGGCACGGGGTAAATTAGTTTGAAACTTCAGTGGGCTGCATTATGTGTGAGAAAGGTTAGAGTGCTTATATATATATATATATATATCATTGCTGCTAAAAAGAGCTACCTGAAGAGATCTATACCTAAAGAGATCTATACGTTTTCCAACTACTTCAATAATGATAAAGTCACTTCTAAAAAAAACTGAAGATATTTTAAAACTTTTTAGGGGGGGAGGGGGAGAGGAAAAAACATTTATTTCACGAAATGGTATAGCGGTGCAAGTCCCACTTTGAACTTTTGAAAAATTCTTTTTAAAGGTCACTTACTAAGTGTGTCATCACTTGGCAAATCACAAGTATCGATAAATAATAAAATATAAAAAGTATTGATCTAGACTCAACAATCAACTTTTTTTTATCTACGGCTGATGTTCTTGTACGAAGTGTCCCTTGGCATTTAACTTAAACTTCAATAACAGGACGAGGACGGCAATCTTCTGGAGACAGAGTACGGGCTCTCGCTCTACAAGGATCACCAGACGCTGAGCATTCAGGAGATGCCAGAAAAGGCCCCCGCCGGCCAGCTGCCTCGATTCGTGGACGCAATCGTGGACGGGGACCTGGTCGACCAATGCAAACCAGGAGATCGAGTGCAGGTCGTTGGCACTTACCGCTGCTTACCAGGCAAGCAGGGAGGATTCACCAGCGGCACATTCCGGTACCTAGAGAACATTTTACTTTTTAGCCCTTTGTGTTTTTGCTGTCAGCTTGATGACTAGATGAATCTGTGGTCTCATGATTACAGTTTGTGACTTGGCATAGTTTGGTGCGTTGCGTGCACCTTATAGCCATATACTATCTAGTCTTGCGGTAGCTTTCTAGTCAAAACTTCCACAGACATTAGTATCAATGCACCATGCTGTATGACTACCGTGCAACGTAGGTTTTTTTCTAAATCTTGCCTGGTCGTATTTTTATCTCTGTAATTTTGTTAGCTGTGTTGCAAACATACTTTTTTTAATATGGATTTGTTTTAAGATTGTCACAGCTTTGTACACATAGATTGTGCCTGTAACGGCTGTTTTTCGTGCACAAGAAAGGCGCTGTTTCATTTACTGTTTCCATTCGTGTTATGTTTTGTATATTATGAACTGTAATGCTTTTTGTTGAACTTATACTTCTGCAAAAATTTTTTTCTTCTCCAAGTAGATATGGATATGTACCGTCAGCATCAAATGAAAACCAAACTGCGGCAATAAGTAAATCAGTTAATAAACCAGACAAAGCAGTGATGATTCCGTGATTGCATGTTGAGTGGGTTCGTGTGACATTTGTGCAGAATACCATAGTGAAATCAAGTTTGTTTTTCATGTGAAAGAAAATGTATAGGCATTTTAAACACATATTTATTGGTGATGTTTAGGCTTCTGCGAATATTCAAATGCTTCGAATATTCAAACATGTATCACAGTACGTATTTGAATTCGATTCGAATTTAATATATTGAAAATTTTGAACCATTCGAAAGGAACGAATAGGTGTACTATCCTCGTGTAATTCCCGTAAAGGTGGTTTCGCTGCAGTGGAAAGGTGCTAAGCGAAATCTAAACTGTCGTGAAGCCCCGTTTCAAGGTTTAATGAGCACATCACCCTGACATTTTTAATACCATATTTACTCGTTTCTACTGCGCCCTCGATTGTAACGCGCACCCGATTTCCACGACGAAAAAAAATAAAACGTAAGACATCGATTGCAACGCGCACCCATTTTTCTTGCTGGACCGCACGATCACACCACTCGAAAAAACGACTCCTTTCGGGAGCGTCTTCCATTTAAATATGAGGTACGGCGAAGCTTGTGCCCATCTGACGTGTAACGGAGCATTGCCGTCACTGTAGTTTTACCGTGGACCGATGTCAGCACGCGAACTTGCTTCGCCCCCTTCTCGACAGTTGTGGTGCCAGGCATGTCGAAGTAAAGAGGCGTCTGATCGGCATTCCCGATATTCCCAAGCAGGTAGCCGTTGTTGTGCCGCAAGTTTAGGACGAACCTCAGAAAACTGTGAAGCTTTTCATCGTACTCCTCTGCAAAACTTTTCGCATATGCCCGGTCGCCTTCAAAGGGAAAAGCTTTTTCTCTTTATAAGGTTAGTTAGCCAGCACCTGCTCGCTTTAAACTGGCTCTGGATTAGCCCTTTTTCTATTCTAAGGCTAACTGAATAGCCCGCACTTGGAGCAGTTCTGTCGTCACGGGCCGCCGTGCCGCTCGCTGCCCAAGCACATACTCGCCGAGCAGCTCTTTAGTTTGCGGAAACCGACCTTGCTGTGGTCCACTGAAGCCTTTGCGTGAAGCTTTGCTGTCAACAATCTTCTGCTTTTGTTTCCGCCAGTCCCGCACGCACGTTTCGGGAACTCCGAACGACCGCGATGCAGCCCGATTTACGTCCGTTTCGGCACACGCGACATTTTCTTTTAAAAGCGGCACCGTGGTGCACTCGTCGAGTTTTTGGAGTCGGCCCTTCCATGCCGTCGATGCCAATGCACACCAAGATGACGAACTCCTCAGCACACATACGAAGTGCCGCACATGGGAAACACATAGGCAGAAATGGCCGACGCGCCATGCCGACTTACGTAGGGGGCGGCCATTTCGGAATGCCGATGACAATAGAACGACCGTATTCTTTTTTTTTTTTCGTACTCGAAAAAGAAACGCGCATGCTATTTATGAACTCGCTTAACCGGAAAAAAGGTGCGCGTTAGATTCGAGTAATTACGGTACTTTAAAAGCTTATTATACCTTCTTATATCCTATGGGTATAATAAATTTTAAAACATAATACATTTTACAGGTTATCACTTGCATTTTAGCAAAATGCAAATCTTGCTACCATTCAGTATTGTTTCCACTTTTTCTTTTAACGAAAAATAATGGCATTAGCACAGGCCTTATCCCAATTTTCAAAAATATACTGTGCGGGCTAGTTGGGTCATGAGAAATGTGCCCATTTTCTTTTATAACATGTGATGTGTACTATTACATTCGAAATTATTCTACCAAAACTACGATTTGCTTTAAACCTATGAGTCACTATTCGCACAAGCCTAGTGATGTCACAAACTTGGGCACCAATCATTCTTGAAACTGGGCCAGTGTTTGTGCTCAAAGGACAGCCAGTGGTATTACAGTCTGCAACAACCGTGCTTCACATAATAGTGAATTATACAAAGATCCTGGGTAATGGATGTGTGCTCTGATACAATGTTTCTAATTTGTATACAAATATGTGACGTACATTGAAAACATGCATCTTATTAGAGATGTTCTCCCTCGCAACATTTTAAACATATTTTAGAACTCCTGTACATTCGCGGTTATCAGCAGATTAGTAAAAAGTAAAATGAAATGCGTTTTTGCACAAGTGCTCAGCATGCTATTTCATTCTGCTGTTGTAACCTCAGTAGACACTGACCTAGCATTTTATAGCTATATAATTCTGACATCTTTGTATGCCTCTATTCCAGGTCTGTTCTGATTTCTAATAACATTCGTCTGCTGAGCAAGGAAGTGGCCCCAAATATTTCCGTCGAGGACGTGAACAAGTGCAAGGCCATCAGCAGGCAGAAAGGGGTGCGTAAATCAAAGTAGCGTTTACGCAGCCAGTATTTGCAGGAAAGGGGCATAACCATCAGATTTTCTATAAGCATTGGACAGCTTGCTGAACATTCACACATCTACAGTGGTGAGCAATGCGAGAGGAAACACTGAAATGACCTCTTAAAAGTCAAAGTGGCAAAACACAATTGGCAGATGGTAAAGTGTCCATAAGACTGAATGATAAAGCGGATAGGTCAATCTCGCAGTTGTACACCTCACATTCACGTCGGTACATTACAAGCAATTGTTGCATAAATACGTGCTCCCATCTTGCATTGCTCCCAACAGTACCTGTCAAATACTTGGTACTTATACAGGTGTTGGGGGTAATAAATGTGCAAGGTAAATGACTTTTTGGTAGAGTGTGAAGCTTTTACTTGCCACTAAACGATCATATGTGTTTATAATTGTATTGCGGAGAACAGAGCTGGTGAAACGCTGAGGGCAGCCATCCAATGGACAGGGCCTATACTGAGTAGTTATCTGGCTTAAGTTTTCTTAGTTTCTTTCGTGCTGTGTCGTTTTCACTAGAGTTTTTATTTGTTGATAGACTCTGATTTGTGTGTGATTACATTAGAGATGTCTACTGTCATGTCTGCCATGCAAGTGGTGGCCTAGTGTGCGCAGCAAGTTTATTCGATAAGTTGTGATATTATGCAAAATTCTCTGCATAATGATGTGGATCGGGATGTACCTGAATTTTCCTGGATATTGTTTTCCTTTTAGAATGTCTTTGAGATTTTGGCTCGCTCACTGGCACCGTCCATCCATGGCCACGAGTTCATCAAAAGGGCTCTGCTGTGTCTTCTCCTGGGAGGCGTGGAAAAGGTCCTCCCCAATGGAACCAGGCTCAGAGGGTCAGTTGCCCTGCGCTGTGGCACTCTTGAGAGGCACCAGTACTTGAGATACTGCGCTTTTTAATTTATATGCACTGTGTCGGCATTGAAACGCACTCACGATTTTATACGCACTCTGTCGGCATTGAAAGATTCCTGACTGCCACTTGTGAGAAAGGGTGACAATAGGCACTTCGTGTGGAAAATTGTATGTTCAGAGTCCAGGGTTTAATTCTTCTTCCTTACTAATGTTACACTTTGTCATTGCAAAATTAAAATTTTGCCTTGAAAAGTATTATGCCACCACATGATATGCTCAGCAGTGGTTGATGTGAAATCATAATGTTGAATTATTTAGAGTGGTCTGATAGTTCACAGTATTCATTCCAGAATGGGACCCTCATTTAGAAAAAAGAAACGAAAATGTCGGTGTGTCTTGAGAGAAATATTTGATGCAGCTAAAACCTCGGCTCTCTCTTTTTCTCCTATTTCTTGCAGCGACATAAACTGTTTGTTAATCGGAGACCCATCAGTAGCCAAGTCCCAGCTACTGCGATACGTCCTCCACACTGCACCGAGAGCTGTGGCAACTACGGGTCGTGGTTCTTCCGGTGTGGGTCTCACAGCAGCAGTCACTACTGACCAGGAGACAGGTACAAAACTTAGGAGAGAGAAAAAAAAAAGGTGGATTGTGGTGCAGTGGTTATTACCTATGATATCATGCAAGTACCTGCAACTTAATTTACTTAAACCATTGTACACTATTAGAATACCCCAGGTAATGCATAGGCTTGACAAATGGCGCATACTTCACTACTGACCATTACAGGGCATTGTATTACAGTGTACTGGCTTGTAGTTTGAGCAAAATCTTGACTTAAGCTATTTGGTATTTCTTCATAACTAAAAAAAAACGATTTGGCACGAATGGAACCAGGACGGAGAACACAAGCCCATCCTGTTGTTTTGTGTGTTCTTCGTCCTTTTTTTACTCTGCGCCGAATATTTTCTTCAGGTATGCAGTTTGCATGTTCAGCTCTCAATGTTTCTATGGTACAATTTTCATCTTCTAGGTGACAAACGTCTAGAGGCCGGTGCTATGGTTCTCGCCGACAGAGGCGTCGTCTGCATCGACGAGTTCGACAAAATGTCTGACATGGATCGCACGGCCATTCACGAAGTCATGGAGCAGGGCCGTGTCACCATCTCCAAGGCAGGCATCCACGCGAGGCTGAATGCGCGCTGCAGCGTGCTGGCGGCAGCCAATCCTGTGTACGGACGGGTGAGTTGGCTTGCATTAGTAAATGTCTCTCGCAAAACAGCTAAAGGAAACCATCACCTGAACTTACTTTAAGGGTGTTGTACAGCGCAGTCTACTTATACAAATTTCTAAGGGCCAAGGAAATCCGATCGTTATAACCGATTATTGTTATAAGCTGGTTAACAAAAAAAAAAGATGAAATAGACATGAAAACGTGTAACTTGTTTTCGGAATAGTCCGTCAGCTTCCATCGCTGCATGCGTAGCTGGCAAACATTTTTCTGAAGAGCATCTAGCCGCTCTTGGTAGCTGTGCAGGAGGTCCTTCGCGAAGACAAGGTCCCAAAGGGACTGTATCGTCTGCTTGGCCTTCCCCAATGACAGGGCCTGCATGGGCTGCTCAACCGCGCAGTTGGTAGTTGGCGCTCTCATCACTTGCAGCGCACTTTGTAGCCGAATTCAATCGCTCTTTTCAATATTGCGGCACTGGAGCATTGTAATAAGCAGTTAATTTTACCATAGAAAGCATACAAAAGTAGGTGGTGTCATTGTTGCACACTGCTGTATTTGATATACTGTATTGAACGTGATCATTTTAAGCGGACTCAACTGTCTCACGAGTGTTACAGTCACTTCTTTTGTCTACATTAACCGAGGTGTAACTAGAGCCATCATCGGTTGTAAAACATGGCTGGTCGTAAGCACTCCAGTGCACTGTACTACTTTCAGCAACACCTAATGATTATGTGACATCTGCAAGTACCCTCAAACCACGTTATAACGAAGTTGAAGGGGAGCCGCAATTATTTTGTTATATTCATTGTTTTGTTATATCGATTATAACAGTTTGTGGCAATGTATGCTCAGATGGGCTCACACTTATAAACATGCAAAAAAGGAAACCGCCTTGCGGCCTGATGTACCGCTACGCGGCCACGTGTGCGAGGAAAAATAAACACAAACGAACCTCATTATTTCGAACACGTTTAATTCAAACGTCCTGTTGATTCGAACTCACGCTGAGGTCCCGTCAAAGCTGTGTGTATTCCGATGGGCGAAAACGCCCTGTAATTCTAACGCGCAAGCACTTGGAATAATTCATTCAAACATGCCGTGCTCAAAATGCGCTCAGCACCATGCCCAATCTCGCGGCGACACCTCTCAACGCTGCATGCGAAGAAGGAAAAGAAGAAAAGGAAAGAAAAGACTGTGGCGGATTGTTTGCTTTCTCTCAAATGCTGATCTGCGACGCGCCTGTGCCACGCTTCTCCCTTTTCCGTCTCTGCACGTGGAGACCCTTCTCCTTTCGAGGCCGCGCGCGGAGAAGAAGAAAAAAAGTCGCAGCTTTGTCGGAAAGGTGAAGCAATGAACGCGATAGCAACAAATTGAAAGGTCACGCACAGAATGGAAAGCACATCAAAACATGCCCCACGTTCCTCACGCACAAATGACGCACAAAACGTACTCACAGGTACGGATGCGTGCAAATAAGCGTTGCATTTGTTACTTTGCTGTGTCTGAAAAGCACGCGCTTTTCGTAAACGGAGACTGCAATGATTGCAGTGACGTTTGTGCACTTGGTAACTACAGCAGAATCGTTCCAGGTAAAGCCCGAAGCCTGCCAAGGAGTACAACCTTCCCCTCCTCGTTGCCGCGAGATAAGAGAGCGTCGCTTCCTTTCTCTAAGCCAGGCAAAGTATGTGTACAAAATTAGAGTGCGCGCCGCCGCGCGACGTGGCGACGCGCGCTCATGATGAACTGATTGGGGGGTGCTGTATTGCTGCATTTTAGGTTTCGAGGGTACGGCAGCCGCAGCGTAGTGTGTTCGAGGGTCCGTAATCAACCAAATGGCGGCGTTGATGATGACTTCAATTGTGCCGTCACTGGTAAAAAGTCCAAAAATTGGATGACAAAAGCTATAAACGTCCAGAATTTCGGACTTTTTAAATCATTATCTTCATGGGGAACTTGGCAGTGCCACAGATGAGTGTGGGAAATCGGGCATGTCTGGAATTTCAGGCATCCGAGAAATCCGAGGCGACGCCGATTGTACCAATCAGGGCTAATAAAAGAGTCTGCACTGCTGTTTGAAAAGAAACATGGATTTCCCACTTGTTTCTCTGTTCCTAAATACGCATCCCTTTTCCATCATCATTCTTCAGAGCTACGCAATTCTTTCATGGCACCTTATACCAAATAGCCGAGTTCTCCCGTTTATTTACTAATTTTCTGTCACAATAACCGAAAGCTCGTTCTATTTGTTTCTGATTTCAGTATGATCAATACAAGTCTCCAATGGAGAACATTGGCCTCCAGGATTCTCTGCTGTCTCGTTTCGACTTGCTCTTTATCATGCTTGACAAGGTGAGTTGTGTTGTTAGTTCAATGTGGCAGGATTGGTATGCACGAAATACTATATCACTCACTCTAAAGGGGAAAAACATGGCCTAGGCAAAAAGAGAGCCTCGATTACATTGCCTTAAGGGAGGCAGGGAAGCTGAGAGAAGAGATTAGACCACTTTTCCTGCCAGTACAAAAGAAGGCTGTTTATTTTGTCGTCAAGTTTCTTGAGCAGTGCGTGCTCTTGTGTGTTCTGTGGCCATGCCTATTTGTAGCGCACTGCCATTAAACAGCCCATGAGTTTCAATGTGCCAATCAAAAAGAAAGAGGAGTGCAAAGTATTACAAACAACTGGTACAGTACATTTAAGTTTTAATGAGGCAGTAGGAAACAAGTGCACAGTCTTTTTTAAATGTAGTGCTTCATTGTAACCATTCATGACAGGTTTTGTCTCTGAACAACATAACTTTGAAAAATGCTTAAAAGTGAAGTTGGCGCTCGGTAATCCCTCTTTATTGTTTATAAGCAGTGCTTGTATTGCCTCTAAAGTCATTGGTGTTGTAGGTATGACATTAAAAAAAGGACAATAAAAAAGAAAAGAGTGTTCGCCTATGTAAACAAATGCGACCCCTGAAGTTGCACTGGTGACATGCGGCTATGTACGCACTGCTTTTCAACAGTTGATGCTCCCTCAATCATGGGCTTGCCGGAGATCAGCGATTTTTGTTACGACAATCTGATATTTCATTGAGATATTAGGATGGCTTGTCATTTCATGTTGCTGCAGTTCATTGTTGTATGGATCTGAATGTGTGGCACATTTGTACAGGAGTACGAACACTTTTTTTTTTCTCTTCTATTTGCATTTTTTAATAACGCCAGATGGATCCGGAGAGTGACAGAGAAGTCGCGGACCACGTTGTCCGGATGCACCAATACAGAAATCCTGGGGAGCAGGATGGCGAACGTGAGTGACACTTTTCTGCCAAGAATCCCTTGGCCATGTGTGACGTCGAAAGCACCGTAACCTTTCTTGTATTCCTGCACATTCCCAGCTCTGCCTATTCGAAGCACAGCTGACCTTCTCACGACGCACGACCCAGACCAGCTTGACAAGGACAGTGACAAGGATACGTCGATCTATGAGAAGCACGACGTGTTGCTGCACGGGTCAAAGCGAAGAACGTAAGTCTAGTCGGAACTGCAAGCTCAACTAGTGAGCAACATAACAGTTGTGTTCTACTGTACAGTAGACTTTCAGTAAACGAAATGTATTAAGCAAAACTACTGCTTAAATGGAGCTGCGGATTCATTCTATGAGGCACTATGCCCCCTGCAATAATGCCTAAGATGGCACTGCAGGTAATCTTCAAAATAAATAGATAAACTATTGCCTCTGCAATGCTTGCCTTCGGGCCTGTATTCTGCACTTTTGTTCACCTTTCAGTAAATGTAACTACTGTTAAATGGAACATATTTTCCCGGTCCCTTCAAATTCCGTTCACTGAGAGTCTAGTGTGTATCAAACCTGCAGGGAATCGCAACAAAGTTGTACATATAGGTATTTTGATTTCTAAAATATTTTATGTATTGAAACTATATTCAAAAGGATTCTGACTATTTTTTAATACACACAATAATTTATGTATGTGTTTGATATATGCGAGATTTCATTATATATTTATGTAAATTAGTAGGAAATGAATAGATTGACTAAGAATCTGTACTCATGAGACAGTATTCAGGGTTGCTTCATTCCTCTGGCTTTGTTCGTTTTTGTGATTATCTGTTTATTTGATGTGTTTCTTGGTTTGACAGTTGCTAGCCCAGTTTGTGTGTTTACATCATTAGTGAAGTAGTGTGTTGTGATTATTCAGGTCTCCATCAAAATTTTGAAAAATTGTTGGTATAAAAGCAACTGCTCATTAAAAAAATTGTTTTCTAACACACTAGCACTGTCAGTACATCAGCTTGTCTAAATGCAGAATTGATTTTTTTGAAACTGACCACGATGAAAAGGGGTACACAAGCCACATTTGCAATTTGAAAGATTACGTATGTTGTTGTAAAAGTCATCTGTCTGTGCGTACCTATATTGCTTTGAAAACATTAGCAGCCAATACATTTTCAACTTATCATGGTAAATGGCAAACATGAGAGCATAAGTGTTTGTTATGTATCATAATATGCTACTTGTCTCTACAGGCGAGTTTTGGTTTTGACGCCCATGTGTTGGATATGTTGTGTTAATGACACATTTTGATGAGTATTTGGTATTTACTCGATTCTTGCAATCGCTGCATCTGCTGTAATCGCAACAGGCAGTGTCCTCAAAACATGGCTTATAATCAAACAGCCCTGGTGAAACTTTCTCTGTTTCTTGTTGTGTGGCAATGCTATCTGGGATGCAGAAATTAACTGCAGTATCAGATGGAGTTGTCTTATTTCCTAGTTTTCACACACTCTAATTGGTATAACTTTGTCACATGCTAAAAGTGTGTTGAAAAGCTTTTGCAGCTTCAAAAATATGTGAAGGATCTATACAGTTTTGAAGCAGTTTTGCCATACATCTCTCTCTTCACGTCATAAAATGCTCATCTTGAATGCCTGCTTTTTGTGTCCAGGGAGAAGACGATCAGCGTTGAGTTTATGAAGAAATACATCCACATTGCCAAAGGCATCAAGCCGACTCTGACACAGGCCGCATGCGACAAGATAGCTGAGAAGTATGCCGAGTTGCGCTCCATCGAAACTGAAAACACGGATGTCGCCAGGGTACTTTTCTTTTTTTGTTGTTTTCTCTTCTGGACAGCAAGAATGGCTTTCCCAGTGTTGGGTGCATAACCTCGATCATTTTTATTGTATATTGGGGCTTTCCTCGCAATAAGTAAAAGAACGAACTGAGTACCAAGCTTGTTTACATCAAATGAGCTTATAGAATACCTTAGAGATGCTTACTTATGGATGCTGCATTTTGTTGATGATGAGTAACTCAAGAATATTAGAATGTATACAGTTAAACCTCATGATATGCACCCACTTTAATCATACTAACAGTTAAAACGTAGTTTTGACCAATCCCCAGCCAAGCCTCGTAGAGCCTAATGCATCCGCTAACCACTTATTTAAACTGTGGTGTCCTTTACCAACCGGTTAGTGCGTACCCTGCATACATGATAACATTTTGTGCCATAAGCGCAAGAGTCGCCATCACTCGGTAAGCAGCTGCTAGCGCCGCCATTGCAAAAACTGCCTTGCTTCGGCGTGCAGCAATTTGTGGGAACAGAGTAGAAATGCTAAATGCTAGTGCATGTCTTACTTGCTTAGAAAGGCAAACACAAACCAGTGTTTCGAGAGAAGCGGGAGCACATGCCGGATACTTCATACAGCTTGAAAAAATAACAAGAGGCACAGTTTACGGCTTCCCCTTTTTTTCCATCAGTATTCCGAGTTCTTCTTTGTGTGCAGAAAAGGACGAACTAATACGTCGCCATTGCAATTATTAGCCAGTGGATGCCTCCCGAATGTACGACTTTTATACGTAAACGCACGCGGATTGTGCTTACTGTGTCGCGCTGAGCCTCTAACATGGCGGTATTCACACGACGGCCAACAGATAGCAGCTATTTTGCAAAAGGTCTACAGTCACCGACCATTTTTTGGACTCCAAAAATTCCGACTTGTTGGATATTTCGGACTTGAAAAGTGCACCGTCAGGGTTCCTATAGGGCTAATGCATTTTTTTCGACTGATTTTTCGGACTAAATCACTTGTTTTGAGCCGCGCCACGAACCTGTATGGACGCCGCCATGTTGGATTTTCTTCCGGCTTGACTAAGCTTAGTGGCTTAATATTAAAATGGCTTTCCTGCCTCCAAGATTGGAAAGCAAACGTCAGATTTCAAGTTTTGGAGGCCGTGTCTGCTTTAGAAAACGCGGCACGGGACTATTTTCTCCTCTTTCGTTATCCATAGTGGTCAGCACTGTCGTCATCGCACCGCACAGAGAGGAGGGGGAGCTGCGCAGTAGTGGAGTGAGTGTGCCTGCCACAATGAAATTAGGGAGTTCTAGAATAGCGCACCGCGAGCCCTTGCGGGGCGGTCGCTGCCACTGCACATGCGTCGTAACGCGAGTCGCCGTTCGCGGCCTGCCCGCAGAAAATCCGAAATAGCGTGCGGCGATCGTGGTCCGCGAAGTCTTGTGTGTAGCTTCCGTGCAGTTTGCGGTCGGGGCGAATGTCCCTAGACCTTTTCCTAAGGGGAGCAAACGCTATTCTAGAAATCATAATGCGTCCGCTATACCCGCAGCGCTTGCAAACGTTATTCTAAAACTCCCTATTTAAAGACTTTGCTCGTGCGGACGATGACAATTTCGTGCGCGAAGCCCACAGACGAAGAAATTTTTCGCTATGTTGTGCCGCAGCTGTCGGCAGCAGAGATCGCCACAGCGTTGACGCTTTTGTCGAGCATTTACGGTGACGATGTCACCTTGGCGCAAATATGGGCGAACCGAATTGATTCCAAGCGTAGTATGAGGCAAGGTAGAATCATGGACTTTTTTAAGCCTGCCTGATGCAATAAAGTTCATATTTCTGACCAAAACGAATTTTTCGGACCTTTTTTCAGTCTCCGCCAGGTCAGAAAAATCTGTCGGCGACTGTATTATATAACTCTCCAGTGTGAACCTCTTATCTTCTTGTTCCGTCGGCTGCATGTATGCCATTAATGCTTAGCTCACCTGCTGTCAACCGTATTTCGTCTAGCAGTACTTGTATCAGTATGGCTACCTAAAGTTTAAAGCATACAAAAGTGAGACCAAGCTATTTTTCGCAAGTGCATTTTTTTCACGATGATCTTCTGAGTCCAGGTATGAATTCTTCAAAGTCAGGTCGCCTTGACACAAGCCTTTTCGTTTGCCACTTGCGGAGCAGCCCTCCTCACTTCCTGACGCTTGCCTTTGTTCCAGACGCAACCCGTGACGCCTCGTACCTTGGAAACGCTGATTCGTCTGTCCACGGCACACGCCAAGGCTCGCTTCTCGCGCACAGTGGAGCCCGAGGACGCCCAGTCAGCCATCGAGCTGCTGCACTTCGCCTACTTCAAGAAAGTGCTCGAGAAGCCCCGCAAGCGCAGGAGGAAGGACGGGGGCGACTCTTCAGACGAAGGTGGAGACGACGACGACGATTTTGCCGATGAATCCAGGTATGCTTCTGCAGTAGGCTTGCGAGAATATCCAAATGCTTCGAATATTCGAACGTATGATGCAGTATTTGAATTCGCCTTAAATCGTGTTTAAATTACTGAAAATTTTGAATTATTCGAAACAAACAGGCTCTTATTAGTCTACATGTCACTTCCTGTAAAGGTAGTTTCGCTGCAGTGGACGGGTGCTAAGCCGTGAAAGCACTTATTCAGGTGTACATTAGTTTGCATGTAACCTCCTGTAAGAATTGTTTCACTGCAGTAAAATGGTGCTAAACTGTGAAAAATATGCTCTAAGTACAGTGGAACCCTGATTATACGACTTTCAAGGAACCACACGAAACCATCGCATAATCCGGGCTTCGTATAATCAAAAAACTAAGAATATAGCAATGACACTCAGCCTTGTTATAGACCGCCTGAATAAGCCCACGGCACGACCTTGTGCTTCTACTAGAAAGGTAGATTAAATTATTCTTGCCTGCGACTGCTAATGGCAACGTAACTTAGTTGAAAGAGGAGCAAGCGAATCTCTATTCTCAAGTTTAAAAAGAATTGAATCTAACGCCCATCTTTCTATCGATAAATAGAGCCCGAAAATTGCATGCGCGTGATAAGGAAACCAAAACTGTGTTGCCAATAGCCTCTCATCAGAAGAGTCAGACACAGTATCATCGCTATCACATAATGGCGACCGATCACAAGTATGCTTAGAATGCTTTCGTGTGCGACTGAGCTGTGCACAGTTGTAATTTGTGGCCTTGTAAATTGCAACTAGTGATGTCCCGCTGTTATTATGAACGTCAACGTCAGGTGAAAGTAATCTTTCACAGTGGAGACAGCTTGTGTCACGCCCTCTGTGCGTCCACAAGCCTGTGACTGCGAGTGCTACAAAGGCAGGAGATCAGCTGTATGTCGACCAGAATATGTTTCCATTAGACCGAAAACCTGAAATATCAGCTTTTCGGACGGCTGGAGCTACTTTGTGTGGATAGAGCTTGGACTAGGTAACGACCCCAGATACGTGCACATGCGATTGCAACGTGTGTAGAAGCGCATGAACTTCCAGGAGAATAATTTTTTCATTCTAAGAAGACATCTATCTCGCTCTCTACTTTTCTAATCGTCAACCTAGGGGAACGCAAGTTTATATTTTGCACTCATGAATATTTGGGCCATGCTTAATTCGTTTAAAAGTGTTCTTTTTTCTTTTGGACGAAATTTGAATGTCGTCGTAAGATGCAGGGTCGGCATAAAACTGCATCGTATAACCAAGGTTTTTAATACATTATTCCTATCGGGATTTTGCCGGGACCTAACCGATTCATCGTAAAATGCAGGTCGTCGCGAAACCGGGGGACGTATAACTTTAAAACTGAAAAGTTTACAGACAATCACTTGCATTCTACCGAAAATCAAATACTTATTCAAGGTTCTTTCCACTTTGTCGCAAAAAAATGGCATTCTCATATGCCTTGTTTCAATTTAAAGCAAAATATTGTGGGTGTTAGTTAAGTCATGACAAATATGTCCATTTTTCTTTAGAGCATGCGATACACCTATTCGAATTCGATTCAAAATTATTTGACCCAAAATTGCTTTACAATTCGTATTTGCTTTGAACCTAAAAATCACTCGTCGCGCAAGCTTCACTGGACTAACATGGACAGTTGGGCTAGTTGGTACATGTGCATCTCGAAATAAAGCGCAGAAGAAATGAGAACCAAGGCAGGAAGATGTGCTACTAGGAAATTAAGTTTATTGAAAAACACCAAAAGATATGCACAGACAGGGGAAAATAAAGATTTGACAAGGTAAAAATGCCACACTGCTGCAGAATAACTAAGATCATAACAAATAGGCGGCACATGTGTCAAGCCTTTTATTTTGTTGACATTTCTTCTTTCCTGTGTATTTTTATCTTTCTGTGTTTCTCAATAAACTCCAGTTGGTAGTGACACGTCACCCTGTCTATATAATCCTCCCTTTGTTACCATCATGCCTCATTCTTGATGATACAACTATGAAATACCACTTTGTCAGCACTTTATCAATCTATTGAAAAGAAACGCTTTCGTGTTGCTATGTCTCTTCAGATTACATAATAGCAAGTTGGTTTTGTCAGCGTATCGCACCTTTTTAGGTGTTACATTGAGTTGTACAAATATTCGAAGTTCCGAATATATTGCGAATAATGTGTGCTACTTGATTTGATTCACAGCAGAATTTATACAATTTAAATTATTCGAAACTTACAAAAGTCAAACGCAGTCAAAATCCGGTTGAAAATTACCCATTCAGATCTTAATAAGCATTATCTCATTACATTCCCATATTGAAAGGTAGAGCTGCTGTTCAGGCTGCCACTACGGTTAAACTCTTCAGGTGCACTTAACGTCCAAGTAAATGACCTCGTCCGATTTTTAGTATGATTCACCTCATTGCATTCTCGTATTGCGGCAAAGCTGCCTTTTAGGCTGCTACCGTTGCACATGTGTTGCCAAATGCTGGTTCTAACATGAAGACGATAGATGTGGCTGAGTAAGGGGCTCTATTGTTGCTGTTTTGGACTTCAAAATTCAGGCAAGAATTCAAAAAAAAAAATCGAAGATTTTCAGCATCCAAAATTTGAAACGTTCTTTTTTTTGACCCTTACAAGGCGGATATGGAACTTCTCACTCGAAGGGAGCACAGCCTTGTCTGCCACATCAGTTGGGCTTGCGCAGAAATTAAAAGAGGAGGGGAAGGTAATGAAATAGCATCTTTGCCTTTCACGCACACAGTGCTCTTAGCAACACTTTGGTTGCTCCAAATCATGTAATAATACAATTTGGCCACTGCATTGTCTCATTCTTGACAAGGCAGCTATGGAATACCACCTCGCCAGCTCTTCATCAATCTAGCGAAAAGAAACAGTTTCGTGTTGCTATATCTCATAATACACTTAAGAATCCTCTGCAACTTTTTTCCCCGCAATATTGCTTCGAACTATTCTAGAAATATTTGAAAAATATTCTATTTTTTCTACACTCAAAATTTTGCTATTCGCACAACTCTATTGTTATCATTTCTAGCAAAAAAAAATCCCCCTGAATCATTTTTGCAGCATGTTTAATAAACTTTTTCTAAGAATGCATATTTTTTAATCTTTTTCTTTCTTGGTACAGTGAAAACAAAAACAGGTTTCTTAGATTCGCTTGCCATTTCTATTAGTGACCATCAATTCATCTTGTTCTCTGTGCAGTGGCACCAGCAAGAAGGCTATGAGCAAAGCTTCAAAAAAGAAATCTGGAGAAGAAGGTCACGATCCGTATGACTTTGAGGAGGGTAGTGAGGAACCTGAAGGTAAGCATTTTGACCGGGCAAAGTACGAGGCAGTAAGCAATGCTTGCTTGGCACTTACACGGGCCCTGCAACGCTTTTTGAGCGTAGTCGGAAAACACTGTCGATCGGTGTTGATGATTGATTTGTGGGGTTTAACGTACCAAAACCACCATATGATTATTAGAGACACCGTAGTGCCGGGATTCTGAAATTTGGACCACCTGGGGTTCTTTAACATGCACCCAAATCTGAGCACACGGGCCTACAGCAGTTTCGCCTCCATCGAAAATGCACCCGCCACTTCCGGTATTCGATCCCGCGACCTGCAGATCAGCAGCCGAGTACCTTAGCCACTAGACCACTGCGGCGGGGCAGTCTTAAATGTCCCGCATCGAGCGTGCAAGAAGGAGTGAATAGTAGCGACAGTGAACGTATCGACGCAACTTCGGCGTGCCTGCATATTAACTCGTGCACCATGGTGCGTAGCAGGTGCGTCCACTGATAAAGGCTCAGAAAAGCATTAAACGCGTTAAAACGAGCAATTACACGCTTTCGCATTCTACAGCGCACACGCTCCCAATGCAGACGCTCCTGAGATCTTCAGTAGAATGAGACAACAGCGTCGCCGCTACTGTCAACCGCCAGGGAATTAACCTTGATACGGCACGGCCACCTCGTTCATTCCCCTGCCCCCTTCTAGTACACTGTAGCCAAGCCCAACCTCACTGTGTTCGTTCACATGTCATTTTGTCAGCTCTGCGGTCGTGTCTGCGGTTGATCGTTTGCTGCTGCGCTATCTTCAGTGTTCACGTTTTCCGGCTTTCAGCATCCACCGAGTTCCTAGTGGTTTCGTGCTGCGCTTTTCGTTGAGTGAATTTACAGTGATGGCACCGACAGCTTCTTCGTCTTTGTCCGCGCCTTCGAAGCGCACAAAGCCCCCTTGTAGGCTCACGATGGGAAAAGCTACACTGTTGACCTTAGGTCTGCCATCCGCATACTAGCGGAATCGTGGAAGGTGGTTACGCAAGAGACTGCGGAACTGTTTTTGCCACGCGGGCTTCACACTCGATGCCGAGACGGCCGTCTTGTCCCAAGTGGACAGCATGTGTGACGAACTGCTATGCGCGGATGTTGATTTCAACGATCTACGCTCTGCCAGCGCGCCGATTCCAGCCGGAATAACCTTTCAGGGCTTCGCCGACACTCACAAAGACCTTAAGCTATGTGCGGACTTGACCGATGACAAAATCATTCGTCAAGTTAGGGAGGATTCCGACAACTCCGACACAGAGAACAAAGAGATATTTCCTACACAGCCAACGAGCTCAGAGTTGACGCGAGCACTGATGGCACTGTCATTGGTGTACAGCGGCAACATGACGTTGACTGAAATTGAGGCAGACATGATAGCGGGCAAGCGGAATGCCATGCAAAAGAAAGTGTGGTGACCTATAAGGTAGTGCCGGCCACGTCAGATTTTTGTTTTATATATATATATATATATATATATATATATATATATATATATATATAAACGGCTCTTTTCTGAGCCACCGAAACGATGCATTGGCTGAATTGCAATGGAAATCTTATACTCCAGCCGTTACCCTCTCCGTCAGCGAAAAATACCTACAAAAGAAGGTGCGTTTTCACATGCACTCGTTTTTCCGGACTGCCCAATTTTCCAAATGTTTCCAAATGAGGGTACGGGAAGTCGGACGTTGACTCCAACCTGCCGCTCATTCATGTATGGGTACTCATCTCAAAAGATGGCCTTCTAAAGATTTGTTCAGGTCTCTGGGCGCACCTTAATTTACCACAGGCACGATGAAATAGTCGAGCATCCACTGCCGGGTATCAACTGGTAAAATTTATCATGTGTGTGTTTTCTGACCAGATGCTTGGCAGAAATATTTTATTAGTAGCTAGGGGGGCATCTTCCCTAGTAAACTGGTTGCATCGCAGCGAATGAATTATGAGGAAATTCAGTTGCAGTGCTTTATCACTTCATTAAACTTTGTGCTTTTGCAGACAAAACAGCGCGGCCGAAGAGACCTCGCAAGGACGAGCCATCTACGTCGAGGGCTGCTGACCTCAGAGACAGTGCTGCAGCTATCTCCACACAAAGGTTTGTAATGACCTTTTATGTCTGAAGGCTATGAAGGCAGGTAGAAGAGATGTTGCTTTGAATACATTCAATGTTCATGTTGGTCGGGTCAAAATGTATTGCGTAGCTGTTTCTTCATGCTTGCTTACTGTGTCTAAAGATTAGGGTAAGATAAATGAAAAAACTTTCGCAAAAACTGCCATAGCTTTTCAGTAAAAAATTGGTTTTATGCTTAGTAGTAACTATTAGAGAATCTCGATGATACGAATTTAAGGAGAGCATGCAAAATATTCACATCATCCCGAATTCGTGTGAACCAATAAGTTGAAATTGATCATGAAGATGAACGAGAATTTTATTGGAGTCAACTACTTCTTTCTGAAAAAAAAGTCCATGATGTTCTTTTGAACTTTCCTGCTTTCACCGCCTCTCAATAAAGTGCCGTGGTTTCCTCACTCTTGCTGCTGGCGCTTGAGGCTAGTTCACACTTGGCGTCAAAAAGAGCGAAAGTGGCACAACTTGTTGGAAATTCACTTGCTTTGCTGCTTAAGGGGCCAGAAAAACACGCCGCGAAGTCAACATGGAAAAAAAAATCAGTCCTGGAGAATTCGAGTGAAAATGCCAGAGTGCCCGCAAAACCACATCCGTGCCCGTCAAAAATGTTCACATTCGTTCATGCCACTGTCTGCACCGCTTGAGAATTCATTCCATTTTGCCCGTTACCTGAGCATTAAAATTTGTGCCGAGTTTTAGTTATGCATGCAAAGTACTAAAAATAAACAGTTTGCACCTTTGCAAACACTGTTTCAGAAGATAGACCAAAAGAAACAACATGAGCGGAAGTACCGGCAGGGGGGGGGCGACGGATTCAGCCAAAAGCGGAACACGTTAGGGCATGCCGACTCGCTTCTGCTGCACCTTCTTCTACTTCTGGTATTCGCGGTAATCATAATCCAAACCAGGATCTCTATGAACGTGTCTTTGTCAAGTCCGTGAGCTTTGTCGTGCTACGCCAGCAGTTCATGATTGTGCTGACCCCTTTGCCGCCTTGTTGAATTTGAGGCTGGTGGTTTGAGAGCAAGTGCAGCCGGTGTGGCCGAAAGTGTGAAGCAAAAAGGCAATTCACTATCGCCTGACGGAAACATTTGTCTCGGACCAATTTTTTTCGCGTTGGTCTCGCTGTGTAGCTTTCCGGCCACCTGGGCGGCGAAGTGAGGGAAATTCTGATGAGTTATGCTGCGTTCGCTCCCTTCGAAGCCAAGTGTGAACTGGCCTTCCGACAAGCACCGTTGCGCCATTTGCGGTAGCTGAGGAAACCGTTCGTATAACACCGAATAATGGTGTATATTATATAATGTAGTCTATCCAAGGTAACCTTATAATTCATATAAATCGTAATTGCATCATCAAATTAGTAACATGAAACCTCAATGTCCTTGTCTACCCATGACTGCTGCATATGGTCATTATTCCACTTCAGTAGCAGGGACAACGCATTAATATCTGCAACACATCACTTCAGAGAAGTCAGCTTGTGCTAGTGGTACAAACCTGGAATAACAGTGAAGCTTGTGGCCAACTTCAAAGCTTCTACAAGCTCGAACAAGTCGTTGCTACGTTTGGCTAGGCATTGCAATGCTTGTCTAAGTGACGGGTCAAATATATTGCTTGGCACAGTGTCATGATAGCTATTTGAGCTGAATGATGATTTCATATGTTCTTTATTAGTTCGGTATCAATAAGCGTGGACTTAATCAACAGTTATACTTCGTCAACCTTATTTAGCAAGGTTTTAAGCTATGAATATGTAAAGAGCTAGGTAGAGGCTATTGATCTCGATAGCTATTTTGTTCACTTTGCATGGCATAACTTTTGGCTCAAACAGTGCCTTGAGAAACAATAACAAGGAAAGAAGAATTTGTTATAAAAGGAACATTAAACTGTTACTTTACCCTCAATGGTTTGTTCTTCAACCAAACGTTTCTATGAAATGTTGGACTTTTACGAGAGAAATCCCAGCTTGTCATTCCAGGTTGTCGTGATATTATTACTTCGTAAATATTTAAGTTAAGGAAAAGGAGTCTTTCGTATAGCAAGGTGCACGAGATGTTCAAAATTTTTCAACACTACACAATATTCGACTTGAAAAGTAGTTAGATGTTTGATGTGGGCACACCTACATAATCTCGGCAAGTTTCACCAAAATCAATAGAGAATATTTAAAGGAACCGTTAAAGTGCATTGTCCCTCAATAATTGTTAGTGGTGACCGTATACTGGTGATCTTAAGTCGACTCCGATTATAAGTCAACCACCCAACTTGCAACTCTTTCTAGGCAAAAAGAAAAAAAAGGACATTGAACATAGCCTCATGCTGCAGCCATAGCACACCAGTAGGTCTTTCAAAAGAGGGAGTGATGCAAAGAAACCTTTAATTGATCGTGCAACATCGCTTACGACTCGTCGTGCTTGAAAGAAGGATGCATTAGTCACAGTCATTGCCATCATGCGAGCCACTGCTGCTTCTCGTCGGAAGGGGTGCTGGCGGTACTGAGGTGCCACACATGAAGAACACCACGTGAACAATGTCGTTGGCAGTTCATAGCAGGCACCATCAACTCATTGCGCCACTTCACTCAAAGAGCTCGGTTTGAACTTGGTTTACGGGATGCACATATCCTTCGCAACAGTTCGTGCTTTTGCTTCAATATCATCGTAGCAAACACTCAGGCTTTTGCTTCTCTAGTCGTGAACCCAATCTGGAACAGCCTCCTCAACGGCAAGGTATCGTCCAGACTTCGGTTCACGAAAGGAACAGTGTGTCGCAGCGCACGTGAAGATTTTAGTCCTTTGCTTTCTCCATTCCCTCACACACTTTTCCGACGCATCGAACTTCGGCCCTGCTTCAACGTTGCTTTCCGATTCTGCATAGAAGCTCGCTTGCTGCATGAAAGCAGCACTGTACTGCTGCCAGCGTAGCGGTGGCATCTTGACGTCCGTTGAGCAGCTTTGCAAATCATGCCCCACTGTTCGCAAGCGAGGCGAAATGCTAAATGGTTAACAGGCGTGAGGGCAAAAAGACCTGAGGCGCTTGTGGAGCGCATGTGACTGGTCATGTGGTTTAGTTTCTTGTAAATAGATTACTGCGAAATGTTGCACGCCCACACGGCTCTGCCAGCTTTTCCATGGAACCCCCGTGGTGCATCGCGGCAAATCTGAATTTTCAAATTGCCTAGTCAACAGGGGCTGTTAAGGCACGCTGTCCGCTAAAGCGAGAAACGCATGTCACGTCTTTTGCGAACTATAAATGTCACGTTTTTTGCAAGCATGTCGAGTTTTTCGCCATTGATTTCACGTATGTTGCATCATTAGCGAGTGATACACGCATGTTGCGTTTATTCGCGAGCCAAATGCACTGTCATACCCATACAACCCAGCTAAATTTTGGAAAGTCATAAACCCCTCCAGCGAAAACCAACACATCTCATTGCATGACTGCAACAACGCCCCTCTCACAGCTAGCCAGTGTCCAACAGCATTTAATTCCTTTTTCACTTCTGTCTTCACGAAAGAGAACAGTACCAACATACCCAACGTAGCTGAGTTCGATTACCAATTTATGGAACCAATAGATATTCAATTAGAAGGCATAATTACAGCCATAAATAATCTTAAGTTGTCGTCTTCATGCGGCGTGGATGGAATCAACTCAAAGGTGCTAAAGAATACGGTAACGGTCACAAGCAAAATACTACTTCATATATTCCGGCAGTCTCTCGAAACAGGCATGATACCGTCTGACTGGAAGCTGGCGAAAATAATTCCAATATTCAAAAGTGGAAATAAAACCTCATGCGAAAATTACCGTCCTATTTCCCTTACATGTATTTGTTGTAAAATTCTAGAACACATCATCGCTTCACATATTTACAGGCATCTGGAATCCAATCATTTCTTTTTCAAAAATCAGCATGGTTTCAGAAAGGGCTTTTCGTGTGAGACTCAGTTGTTTGAATTTACCACAGAGCTTCATGCAAATATGGACAATAATTATCAAACTGATTGCGTGTTCCTCGACTATTCGAAGGCGTTTGACAGGGTTGCACACTGTCACCTGATATCGAAACTTTCCGCCCTGAAATTAGACTCCCGTACATTATCATGGCTTCGCAATTTCCTGTCGAATCGTCAGCAATACACAACAGTTAACAATTTGTCTTCTTCTCTATCTGACGTTTCTTCAGGTGTACCACAGGGCAGTGTACTCGCGCCATTACTTTTCCTCATATTCATCAATGATCTTCCGCAACATGTCTCTTCTTGCATCAGGGTGTTCGCTGACGACTGCATTATTTACCGTCCAATCAAGAACAGTGAAGATCACCTGTCACTCCAAAACGACCTCGACGTAATTAATGGTTGGTGTAGTGCATGGCTGATGACACTAAATGTCTCAAAATGCAAAGTAATGTCGTTCACACGTAAACCTAGCATATCCGAATTCTCTTACAGTATTAATCATTCCATTTTATCGACTGCAACACAATATCGGTACTTGGGCGTAATACTGACACCTAATCTATCCTGGTCCGACTACATTACGGCAATCTCTGCCAGCGCCTCGAAATCACTAGGTTTCTCGAGACGTAACTTGAAAGCTGCACCATCAGGCATTCGCAAATTATCTTACTTGACACTGGTTCGCCCTCAACTAGAATATGCCTGTTCAATTTGGTCTCCCCATCAAAAATACTTAATTGACTCATTGGAAAGAATCCAGAATAGAGCAAGCCGCTTCATTGCCAATAACTACAGTCCGCATTCTAGTATATCACAAATCAAACAGGAACTTTCACTCCCACTCTTGAACATTCGTCGCGACATTGCCCTGCTGTCATTCTTTCATAAAATTGCCCATTCTTCCCGAATCACCGTTACTGGTCTGCAAAAACCATATCTCACTTCACGTAGACTACACAATCATCTTAGCTATTCCCGTGTATACGGCTCAACAAACGCGTTCAATCAGTTCGCACTTCCACGTGCTATCCGTCTGTGGAACAGTCTGCCTGACGACATTGCATCCCAGACAAACTTTGACACATTCCGTCATATCTTATCAAGCCCCACTTCACAAGCCTCAGCAAGTAGATGCCGTATCATAATTCATTGGTCCGTATTGGTTCATTTTTGTGATTGTAACATTCATGTGCGCGAGGATTCTGCCTTGTGGCCGCTGCATGCGCAGGAAATACAGTGTTTCGCCCTTCGTTACTATGCGTGTATCTTTTGTACATGTTGGTGCTTTTTGTTTGACTTATTATTTTCCAAATGTTTCTTCTGTATTTGTTTTAGTTTGAGATGTATATAAGTATTGCGCCCCTTACTCAATTGTCTCTTTTGTACTTTTTTTTCATTTTGAGGTGTCTATATGTATTCCCCCCTTGCTCAATTGTCTGTCTTGTATATTTTTTTTTCCAGTTTATTTGTATATATGTATAGCCCCCCTTACTCAATGCCCCCCATGGGGCCTGTAAGGTACTTTGAAATAAATAAATAAATATGCAGCGAGTGCCGGTGTTGTTGCCGATCTCGCCTGAAAGGCGCACCGATGTGGCGGAACTACCATTTAAATCGTAATCCCGTCGGCGGCGCGTCCTGAACGAATGCTGCATCTCCAATGTGCAGTTTCCGACACCTCCTCCTTTGTTATTGATGCGTCTAATAGCAGTGAATCTGAGAAGAACGACCGTTCGTCGGACCCCTCAGAAATGTCGACTTCATGATTCCAAGTCGACTTTTTGATACCGCGTATAGTAGGTCGACTCGAAATATGCATAGGTCGACCCCCAAACTTGGGAAGTCAACTTTATGAAAAAAAATGTCTACTTGTATTCAACAATATATGGCAATTCAGTAATACAGCTCAACTCATTTCCTCTTTAGTGTGTTTTCATTCAGGCTCATAGAGGTGAAGTCATCATTGAACATAGAAAATCGTGACAAATCTGAATGATGTTTTCTGTGCAGTATTGAAAGGAGCCTTTTGTTAATAATGTTTAACTCGCCTTCGCATGTGCCGACGTTAGGATGACCAAGTTCCGCAACCTGTTGGGCAAGCTCTTCAAAGAGACGCACACCCAGTCTCAGCCTGTGTCCAACATCATAGACTTCCTCGCCAAAGAAGAGAAAGTGGAACCGTTCACCCAGGAAGAAATCGACGTCGCCATCCAGCGCATGATGGACGACAACCAGGTCATGCTCTCCGACGAGATTGTGTTCCTCATCTGAGCTGCGCCTTTGGAGAGACGCCCATGTATATAATCTTGTAATAAGCTGTGGTCTGGTCCCGTCATCATGAGGCACTACTATACATGTCTACTTTGTGCACCTATTCATCGAGTGAAGTGTCGCTAGCATGGAGAAAAATGGTTAGACTCTAAGGAACTGCCCTCTCTTATCGCATGTATACATTGTCTGTAACGAGAATTTTATATTTGTGTTTTACAATTGTTCAACAGTTATTTTACAAATAAAGGTTTCAAATTTCAGTGGTCTCTTCATCAGATGGAGTGGTGCAGCAGCGTATACCACAAAGTTTATTGGTGAACTAGTGACGTAATTATTGGCCTTAGTGAAAAGGATGGTGGTGTTTTCAGGCGAAGAAAGAAAACTGTGGAACAGTTTCGCCTGTCATTACTTCAACTACTAGGAAAACATTGGAGAAAACAAATGTCTGTGCACTGCCTTGCTTGTAAACGAAGCAAGTCAGCTTTGCCAAGCCCATAGGGAAGTGCAGAGCTAGGCGGCCTTCTTCGTTTACCTTCATTTTTCTGTCTCTCGTTTTCTATTTCTTTTTGTCTTCTTTTCCTCCGTTTAATTCTATTTTTCCCATTTCTCACTACTTCTCTTTGTGTCTATTTCTTTCTTCCGCTTTCTATTCTGTCGATATATTTCTCCCCCTGTCTGTCTAGAATTTTTTCTTCCCTCCCATTCTCTCTTTCATGTTATGTTTTACTCTCTTCCCTCCCCCTTTCCCTTTTAACTCTCCTCTACTATTTGGTATAATTATATCTTATAATGCTACGTTACGCCCTGCAAGTGTGCCTTGATTAGCCCCGAGAAGTTGGAGTGGCGCTGCCTGGCAAATGACGTCACAGCATGGACTCCTCGATGCGAGCCGCGGCGGGCCCACATAACGATGCGCTCGCCTTGTGATTGATTGATATGTGGGGTTTAACGTCCCAAAACCACCATATCATTATGAGAGACGCTGTAGTGGAGGACTCCGGAAATTTCGACCACCTGGGGTTCTTTAACCTGCACCCAAATCTGAGCACACGTGCCTATAACATTTCTGCCTCCATCGGAAATGCAGCCGCCGCAGCCGGGATTCCATCCCACGACCTGCGGGTCAGCAGCCTAGTACCTTAGCCACTAGAACACCGTGGTGGGGGTGCTCGCTTTGTGCGCTGTTCCAATGTTTCCGTTCGCTTTTTGATTGTCTCAAGGTGCAGATAAATGAAGGAAGCAGATTTAGTAATGTTTCAGGTAAAACAATAAAAAGTTTACGATTGCTACTGCACAATCACGCTGTATAGCAATGCTAGATGAGTGAAAAGGTCTGTGTCGCGCTGTTCACCCTAATGATAAATACCATTCGTGGAGACGACAACCGCATTTCGACGGGTGTGAAAATGAGGAACACGCTTCTGTTTGATTACAACAAACTCATCGACACATAACCATGTGGTTTCTAGAAGGAATTAACTCACCATATTTACATGATAAGGTTGAGATGTGCAAGGGTGACTTCTTACGGGGATACCAGGGCTTCCCTTCTCCTAGAATAATTTGTACCGAAGGAATGCACGTATCTACGGACAGCGCTTTCACAAGCCCTGCACTCACGTGCAGCATCGAGTATCTGAACATTTACCGCAAGGTGCCCGCCCTAAAATACCGCTGCCGCTGTTGTGTTTTTCTCATGTACTTGTTCGCTCAACACATTTATTTTAATGTTTCTCTCGCAATAATTTCGAAGCTTTAATTGACCGAAATTATTGAGGCTAAGTGCGGTTGAGGGTAGGTGCGGAAATTCCTCTTGCGGTCAGATTCTGTCTTCGTGCAGATTCGAAGCAGTGGTACGGTGGCGCTCCAAACTACCAGTTTATGTAGCCACCTCATATGTTAAATTTCCTTGCAGTTGATTACCTCTTGGTGGACTAGACGTGCGAAACCAGTCGTCGCCTCATCGGCGCAAAGGTTGTTAAGTTATTACGTAGGTCCAGAATCCTATAAGTTGAAAATTTTTAGGGGTTGGGGGAGGGCACCTACTTGAAATGGTGATCTTTCTCTCTGCGCGGAGAAAAAATTTTGGGGGTAGGAGACAGGCTCGGCGAGCCATCTCCTCGTTACACCACTGCTTGGGCCACATCCGTGAGTGCGCCATAAAATAGTACGTTTTGACTTTCGGAAGTTTGTGTTAAAATTGTTGCTATCAGCAGTGCTCCCCTGTGAAGCTCCCATTAGTGTTTGTGACGTAACGGTAGAACACTCCACCATTTCATGCAAATGAGGCTATAGGACTACATAATCCCTGGCCACTGTTGAGAATAAACCTGTACATATGACTCCAGTGAACGGAAATATCTCGTTTCCAAAATTGCGTGTGCGGCAGTATTATTTTGTTTGTTTGATGAATATGTTACATGAGTGCTTATGACAAGTCATATTAATGTAATGTCTCTTGCTGGAGAAAGCGCAGTTCTGTCAAATTTAGATCATTCGCTGACACAGGTGTACTTGCATGGTAAAGCGCAATGTATTTAGTGAATTGAAAACATCCCAATTTTATTTTTCGTACTTCAACACAGACATGTTATCCGGGAGTCTATGCCTAGTTGTAATAGCGTTAGTACCACTTAGCATATTTTTTTCTTAGCACCCATTCTTTGATGTACACAATAAAAACAACGGACATCTCCTGCATCACCGTGTTCACAGTAAATCTTTCGTTCAAACGGGAATCTGCCTATCCTAAGCTAAACTATGGAAACTTCTTAGTACTTTAAAAACTTTCGCCAGTTGTGAAACCTTGCGCCTTGTATGTTGAGAAATTTGCGTAATTAAATTGAGGAATAAACACCAACATATCGCTAAAGAACACGTACACGGAAGCTGCAGAAAGACGCGACAAGCGCCAGCAAAGCTGTGCCGTGACGTCACATCGCCGCGACCGCAGTGATGAGAGTGTTTGTTCTCGAAGCTAATAGCCAAGTGGCTACAACACTCACCTACGGATCATGGTTATGCAGATTGGAATCTTGCCTCGTGAAGAAATTTTGTCCGCAAGGAATCCCTCTATTAATTTCTTTCTGTGTGCTCATTCTACCACCGATAAAAATTATTTCGTCCCATGCTTGACTAATGAGCACCCGCGTTCAGGCAGGGAAAAAGAGGCAGATGAGGACAGGCATGCCGGTTCACGGTGACCTTTTCCATTTCTCGGATTACAACCATTGGTTGGCATAAACAGCTCTGACTGAGCGCAGAGTGTGATTCTCCCCAATTCCATTCATACTGTTGCAGCTGCAGCGACATAAACGAAAATATATGGTTGTGCAACATCACAATAAACCTACTCCGTGGGAACAAAAACCATCTGATCTAAACTGCAACTTCATTTAAAAAAATGGCACAGCGCTGACAGACACACAAACTAGGAAGAGGCAACAGGACAATCGCAATTGTGGGTTTCATGATTTTATGTCCCAAAACCCACAATATGAGCATGGGTCAAGCACCAGTTGGAGACTCCCGATTTATTTTGACCACCTGCATCCCTGAGCACTAAACCTTGGCCTCCAAGCTACCACAATGTGTCAAACTAGACCTCGTCTGCAGGAACCATTATGCAGGATGATTTACACGAGGTTGATTGAACGCTCTTCATTGTTTTCATTAGTGTGTGGAAGGCTTGAACATTCATATTTAAGGGAGAAACAAGTCGTGTGCAGTTCAGTCTGGACAAAGCACCATAGCCCTCGTCGGCTTTACCTGCTTGGCTTTTCTGGTAAGCCCTGCTTTGACTTGCAAGGTTTGTTTCTTGTGAGCTATATAGCCATCGTGTGCATCTCCTGGCCTTTTGTGGCCAAAGACCGCTGAAAGACTGAGAGGAATGTTTCCAGTATTGGGAGGGCCTTTGGCCACAGAAGGCAGAGGGATGTACTATCAGCGTCAAATAAAACCCGAACAGTGGTAAGCCATTGCGATAGTCTAGTGCGTGCTGTCCAGTTATCACGATTAACAGGCGCACGCATCCTGTTCAGCAGCTTTCCGCATATATGCGTGCCTGTTCGCAGTGACAAGTGGACGGCGTGCACTAGACTATCGCAAAGGCTTGCCACCGTTCGGCTTTCATTTGACGCTGGTAGTACAATGGCCAGGCTGTGCATATTTAGACCCTGTGTACAATAACAGTGGCTTACACATCCTTCTATGAAAGAGCAGCTCAGAATAGACACTGCACTGAACTAAAGCTATCGTGTGAGAAAGAAACACACTGCCTACACGGCCATCTTGTTGATCCAGCATATTCAACTGTTATACCTGTACTATGCAACAGGAATTCTGTTCAAGGTGTTGCACACTGAAGTTCCCTCGTGTGCCTTTCACTTTGCTTGCTTTCAGCATTGTTTCCTTTTCTATTACTACTTGCTTCAGCACAAAAATGTGCAATAGCTATTAGGAAACTGAAGGCGGAGATCCAGCATTGTAAACAGCACACAGCCCCTGCATAATGGATAATAGGTGGCTGTTGCCAAATAATGGACAGTGTAAAAGCCTACCGTAAAATGCCAAGCAAGTGCTCCTTCCTCCATTTTTCGAGAGATGTAAAATAAGCGCCAAAAACTGAGCAAGCACACTCTCCTCCCCTGCGGCCAATTTTCTTCAAGGAGAGCATCGATTGTATCGAAATAACCACAAGAATGAGTACACTGAATGCGCGTCTAATATTGTTTATGAAATTCTTTATAAATCAAGCATTTCATTAGAAACATGGATGCACACTTTTTCATTTTAAGTGGCTCTCTGGTTGCCATCTTGAATTTCAGTGCGAGAACGAGCAAGCGCACCCTTCCCAAGTCTTGCCGGATTATTCATCGAAGGTGAAGGGGTCCTTTGCTCAGCTTTTTACGGTATAGCGACTTTGGTCACGCTGGAAATGAAGTTTTTTTTTCCCGATAGGAAATAAAATGTGGCTTGTGTATAAAATTACTTTGCAAGAAGCCATTGGCGAGCTCGACTTTCTCTCATTTTATGGCCTCGATCTAGACACTGGCGACCTTCATGTCTCAAGGTAGTTTGCAAAGGTTTTTTGACCACTTGTTGTCACTTAAGCTCTTGTAGTGAAGAGGAATGCTACCATGGTGCATCCTCTTCTGCACTATATAGAAGGTCTTGCTTTACCATGCATTGCGCGTGGACGCCGCCAGCCCTCGGTGTCTGTGGATTGAGCCGTTGCTTGAGCTATTGGTAGACATTTGTGCCGGCATTCAAAAAGCGCCTTTACACTTGAAACATAATAGCTGTGATTTAATAGCCATGGTACCCATAGGCACTGGCTCACAGTGCCTATGCCTACATGTGCACATGCAAGAAAATTGCCAGAGGCACAGCCACAGTTATTCGTGAAGTGGTGGCACGACAGATGTGTCATGCTCCATCAATTTTCATTTTCGTCTATTAAGGAGAAGCTAATCTCTAGAACCAACACTGTCAAAAAAAAATTTTTTTTGAAATGTTGCAGAACATGTGCATGGAAATGAAGGTTCTGCTCAGTAAGGTGCGGCAAGCAAGGCGTGAAAGTGAATGGAAATATGTATGGGTATCACAGGGAAGGATCTTCATGCGGAAAGCAGACAGGACACCTGTTTTAAATGTAACTTTTGAGGCGGATATGGCTAAAGTAGTCTAGCTTAATAGTAGACATATTTCTGCTGTGAACAATGGCAATGTATTCCAGCGTTTCTGAATTGAACTCGTATGTAAGTGGTTGTCATAGGCAGCCCATGACATTCCTTCACATTAATATGCAGTCAGCTCGTTCAAAAGAAGAAAACTTTCTTAGGTTTTTTGATAAGTTCAATTTTTTCTTTTCTGTTATTATGATGACTGAAACTTGGTACCGTAGTGAAACAGACGTGTTTTGTATTGACGGATATAATCTTGTGTACCAAAATAGAAAATTGAGAATTGGTTGTGGTGTATTCTTGTATGTCAAAGCTGAAATAACGTATGAGTATCGTGAAGATCTGTCTCTGTGCACCGATGACCTTGATGCGTTAACTTTACAGTATCACAACTACATTTTTGTTGCAATTTACAGGCCACCAAGTTGCAATTTTGATTCATTTATTCAATATTTAAAAAACCTATTTTCCATTGTAAACCAATTTAATTACAAACTAGTGCTGGGAGGTGACCTTAACATAGATATGTTGAGCGACACACATAAACAGATGAGACTTTCAGACCTTCTTGCTTCTTTTTTCTTAACAAACGTCATTACCATTCCAACACGTATTACTGATACCACTACTACTCGATTAGACTTGTTTATCACAAGTAGTACAAACAGTACGTTACAGGCAGGCATCCTGCGTGCCCCGATAAGTGATCATTTGCCCATATATCTAATCAGAGAAAACATCACCAGTGTAAGGAGTCAAATCCTTCCTGCCGTTCACTTTCAACAAATTAATCCGTGAACGTTATCTTCTTTCAGAGAGGAAATCAGAACTCTCAATTGGAACAATGTTCTATCTAGTTCTTCTGCTGATCTTGCTTATGATTGTTTTATTGATACTCTATGTTCAGTGTATAAAAAGCATTTTACTTACAAAGCTTTAAAGACACCAAAACGGTCGCGCAAACCTTGGATATTTTCTACAATACTCAATATGATAAAAGAAAAAAATAGGTTGTGTCAAGAGTTTCTGATAAAGCGAGACCCGGATATATTTAAAGCTTTTAAAGTATACAGAAATAATCTCACTAAACTACAAAAGCAAGCTAAACACGATTATCACTTTAAGATGTTTGATGGTGTCACGGATTCTAAGCAATTATGGAACAAACTTAATGCTATTATATCTACCAAACAAGTGTCTAATGATATTAGTGAGCTGGTGCTCGAAAATAAAATATACAAGGGCGCAGTACTGGCAAACAAATTTAACGAGTACTTTACCTTACTAGTTGACAGTAGTCATAATTGTGATTCATCAGGTTATTTGCCTCCTGCTTTAAATAATTCTGTGTTTGCAAATCCTACAGACGCGCAAGAGGTCATCACCGTTTTTCAGCATTTCAAATCGAGTAAAAGCGAGGACATAGATGGCTTAAAATTAGAACCTATAATATACATTTTAGATCTCATGTGCGCCTGCTTAGTACATATTTATAATCTCGTGTTCACCACTGGGCTGTTTCCTCAGAGAATGAAAAACGCTAAAGTAACGGTTATATATAAGGGTGGGGACAAAAGCAATTTAGGAAACTACAAACCAATTTCGATTTTGCCAGTTTTCTCTAAGGGGTGTGAAAAACTTATTTTCATTCGGTTATCAAATTTCTTTAATAAACACAACATTATTACGCTGTCACAGTTCGGTTTTCAGTCAGGCCTCTCAACCGAAAGTGCCTTACTATACCAAAAGAAATTGATTCTAAGAAATATAGAAGCAAAAAAACTTACCCTAGGAATATTTCTAGATTTCTCAAAAGCTTTCGATAGAATAAACCATGATATTTTGCTAGAAAAACTTCACTGTTATGGAGTTTGCGGTACCGTTTTAGCTTTAATGAGAAGCTACTTATCTAATAGGAAACAATGTGTATCAATCAATGGAGAGCTATAGAATAAACCATGATATTTTGCTAGAAAAACTTCACTGTTATGGAGTTTGCGGTACCGTTTTAGCTTTAATGAGAAGCTACTTATCTAATAGGAAACAATGTGTATCAATCAATGGAGAGCTATCATCATCCATGAACATTAAGAATGGCGTACCTCAATGTAGCATTTTGGGATCCCTAGTATTTAATATATTTATCAACGATATTGTACGTATTGACAGCTCTGTAGAATATGTAATCTACGCAGACGATACTAGTATATTTTTTTCTGGGGAAACGGCTGATGACCTCATTGTTTCTGCTAATGAAATACTAAATAAAATATATGCCTGGACTGTGGCAAATTCTCTACACATTAATTGCTCTAAAAGCAAGGCCGCACTGTTCCTTGCGAAAGCCAGGTCATTTGAAACGTCTCACAAACTAATACTTAATAATGTTGAAATCAAACTTTGTCAAACAGTTAAAACTCTCAATGTCCATTTTCACGAACACATGGCATGGAATTACCTTCAGAACACATTAGTTCTAGGTGTGTTGCGTCGATGCCACAACATACTACCTGTGAAACAAAAAATATTGGTGTACAATGCTCTTTTTTCTTCACATTTACACTATTGTCATCTGGTTTGGTCTACAGGCTCTAAAGCATTTCTAAAGAACCTGGTCGTGTTACAAAAAATTGACTTGTGGTGCATTGAAGGTGTATCCTATAATGCACACACTGCTTCAATATTTGCAAAATACAGAATTTTAAGAGTTACCTATTATTACGAATACCAGCTTCTGTCAGCTTTTAAATCAGAAATACGCAGAGGAAGTATCTTACACACCTTGGTCACCCTGCAACCAAATCCTGCCAGTCGCGTTACTCGGTGTACGGAGACTTGGCACGAACCTTGTCCTCGCACAAACTATGGATTTGAAACACTACGTTACCGCCTTCCAAGTGTGATAAACAAATGGAAACTAACAACTGACAATCTGCGTATATTGTCTAAAACTGAAATGTTAAATCGGATGTGCTAATTGTATTGTAAATGAATGTTGGGTGATTTCTGGAATGGATATTCAGTTTTTATTTCTTTCATGCATTGCTTTGTTATGATTATTTTTGTATGTATTCATACAACATAAACTATTGACTGTGCTGAGCTCTCAGAACTAACGACGTGCTGAGCTCTCAGAAGCGCCAACTGCGGCAAAGTGCAGGAGTGTTGAAACAAAAAAGCTGAAAAATGTGAGTCTTATCAAATAATTGCAATTTTTTGTACTTTCTGGGGCTCAACTCGATGGCAATTGAGCGAGTGGCATGCTCCACAATCAAGAGCAAGTATAGCTATTGCTTGTGTAGTGTCTGTAACGGCACTGTATATGCGGAGCCCCACATTGCATAAAAAGTATGCACGCAGGTCTTTCACTCGTGCACATTACATGAAACTCGTCGATACTTTTTGTGAAAGAAGCCTTGATGGCGGCAAGGGGCACCGAAAACTGTTCAATGCATCCATCTCAACATGCAACATGTTCTGTAACTTGCTAATGGATTCCCAGTACACACGCGTATTGCTCACACATTTTGGTATTGCCTATGCACCGTTGTACATGTCTAGCTAAGTGCAACATGATGAAGCCACCGATAGTGTTTCCACGAAAGCACATGCGAGACTGGATTCCCATCCCAGATGTCTTTATTGAGCAATCGATTGCAATTCTCGAACAATCTCCACGCACACGTCTCGCTTGAAAAAAGAAAAAGCACTTCAGAATCACGTCGGTCCACACATTTGATTACTAGGATGATTTTGCTTACACGTTTGCCCATCTCTGACTAGTAGGAGTATGCAAATATTGAAGTTTTCTCGCAAGAATTGAATACAAATGAACCATTAACAGATGTCTTAAATTAAATGGTCTTGGAACTGTTAACTGCATTGCACTAGGTGGCAGCTACCGTAAGGCAAAATTAACTGTTCAACAGAAATTAAGCGCTCCCTAAGCACGACAACACTTCCAACACTATAAAAGGCTAACTTGAAACGGATCTTTACTTATTAAAAGTGCAAGCATGCCAAGAGTGCTGTGTCGTATGCGTTTTGATATCACTGCTTCCACAGGTGTTACAGTGGTCATAAAGTCCTGTAGTGAGCAAGTGTACAAGAGAAAACTGACGTGCATAATTTGGAGTGCGGAGCCCCTAGGATAACTGACATACTAGGCTCTACAAAGACCATGATTGGGGCTCCACCGAAACTAAGCTTCGACTTCATATGTTTTATAGATGGATATATCAGCGTGTTCTTACAGCTAGCGGAATTCATAGGACGAGTTATTACCTACTCGAATACTCAATACTTTCGTATATTTGAGCAAGCAACGTTCAAGTATTTGAAAACACGCACAGATATTTGTGATGGTCAAATATCAGGAAAAATCGAATTATAATTAAAATTTCGAATATTCGCACACCCCTACAGACTAGGTAAAAAAATTTAAGGAGAAAGGCGAGTGTAAAAGTGCAAAATGTCGAGGGTAAGTCGGATCAGCCTGGTCATCACTTGACGAGGTCACTTCATGCGCGTATAAATAGAGAGAAAAAACTTGGGCCATCGCAACTTTGCTCGTAATGCTGCACGCTGTCTGGCCCATGACAGCAGAAACACTTTGTCGTGTACTGTGGCAGAAAAGGATGTTTTTTTAGAACTTTCTCTTTTTTATCGTAAGCACTGATTAGCGGGTGCTTGCTCCTTATCTGCCGCAGAGAGGACGAGGTGTTGGAAGACGTGCGACACCTCCTGTTAGAGCAGTCTTATGCCTTCTCGATGACGCACGTTGTCAAGGCCTTGCCGTTCCAGGTGGACTTGTACTGCTCCGGAACTGGTATCTCCATCTGAGAAAGTACGCCGACAATTCAACAATTCTAGAACAGCCTAGTAGTCATATCCTATTAAAATGCACTTCTAAAAATATGTGGCTAAAGGTACACTTGGTAGAGAGAAAAGATGGGTATTGAGCATTGAAAGCTCACGAGCGAGCATCTGTCAACAGAGAATTTTTTTTATATTCCTCTGAGCAGATCAGCAACTACAAGACATCCTTTTCATTTGAGAATTGGTAAACCAGTGCACTACACACAATACCAAGCAAATATTGTTGGCCAATGGTACAAGTTGCAAAAACATGCACCAGAAATAATTCAGAGCCCATCTACCAATGTGAATATGGAAGCCTGCGGCTGCACTTTCTTCAGCAGCAGCTTTGCACTGTTTTCAGACCCATTCACTTTTCTTCTGTTGCTGCTCCTTCAATTTCAGCCATTCTTTCTTCAGGCAAACGACATGCCTCCGTCCTATAGAGAGCTCAAACGGCAAGTACCGATAACAGCACTATTGCAATCTCTATGTCAAGTGACAAAAGGAGACCACGATCGGTGAAAAGTGGCGCCGCCATGTAACACGACATTTGTGAATGCGGCATCGACAGTGGCGACGGGCATGGAAAATTGTTCAATGCATCATTGCGTCAACCACAACCTAGGCATTTACAGCTTTGTTATAACAAACCTTGCTTGAAGTTGAATAGGAAGCTACCAGAACAATGAAAACATATCGAATATAGCTGATTTTAGCACTATTGCAATCTCTATGTCAAGAGACAAAGGGGGACCACAATCGGTGAAAAGTGGCGCCGCCATGTAACACGACATTTGTGAATGCGGCATCGACAGTGGCGACGGGCATGGAAAATTGTTCAATGCATCATTGCGTCAACCACAACCTAGGCATTTACAGCTTTGTTATAACAAACCTTGCTTGAAGTTGAATAGGAAGCTACCAGAACAATGAAAACATATCGAATATAGCTGGTTATCAAAGTACAGCCATAAGACTGAACACTTTATTTAAGGATTTATAGCTGTTAATTGATTGATTTGTGGGGTTTAACGTCCCAAAACCACCATATGATTATGAGAGACGCCGTAGTGGAGGGCTCCGGAAATTTTGACCACCTGGGGTTCTTTAACGTGCACCCAAATCTGAGTACACGGGCCTACAACATTTCCGCCTCCATCAGAAATGCAGCCGCCACAGCCGGGATTCGAACCCGCGACCTGCGGGTCAGCAGCCGAGTACCTTAGCCACTAGACCACCGTGGCGGGGCTATAGCTGTTAATTGCACTGAATGAAGCTTGCATGGTTTCATTGCCACACCCAGTCTGAATCTAATGATAACCCTTTTTCAAACAAATTATTCTCAAGCTTTTGAGCAGACTTACAAAACAAATAGGAATGGTGCAGGTTTCAGTTTGATCAGTTTTGGTAGGGATAACCAACTTGATTGAATCTTATTGAATGTTATTCGTAAGGTCCGGTTCCTGTCCACCACGCAACTCACGCCCCAGCAGTCTGCTGTTTCAGGCAGTCGTGCCACAAAATAGTGAAACTTACGAAGTCTCCACTAGGCGTGGGTATAGACACGTTCACTTCGGACGACTTGGAGGTGACCACCTCGACGTCCAGAGACTTGTCTGACAGGTAGATGTGCGCGCCGTCCGTCTTGTCCACCGCGATGGTGGGCACCCGGCCCATCGACTGCGCCTTGACACTCTGGCAATTGATGAACTCCACCACCGACACAATGTCCTCAAACACCACGGCCGTCTTCTTGCAAGAGTCTGAAATCGAATATACGCATGAAATGAACCATCGGCCAAGTGGTAAATTTGTATACAAGCAACAGCTGAGCAGTGTTTTAACATTATGCATAACAGTAGCCACACATTGCTGCCATTTGAGCAAGTGATATCAAAGCTTAGGGACAATACTACTATAAATTAAAGTGAGGATAGCGATTGTCAAATAAGACTGTGGTGCTTAATTAAACATTTCTGGAGAGTCTATTATTGTGCGCACAACTCATATGCCTTATGAGCAGTCTAACATGTTAGATATGCCATAATCCTTGAGTGACTCGTTGATAACACATTGCAAAGAATCATAGACAGCACATTATAAATAATAGCTTTGAATTAGATTAGTAGATCAAAGAGTGCAAAAGGCCTGTTGTCATTATACTACGTGCAAGATTGCCTCCATCTCGTGATTAAAGTACCTCTGAATGCATGCTGTTGCGATCCCACAAACATTGTTGCGGCTTTGTATCCAATTAACATGCAGGAAATACAGCATATGCACTGCAAGTGAATAACATCATAATCATACATTGTGAACTGCCAATTACAGTTTGCCAAATTAAGAAATAAACTGTGTTTTGAGTGGGAGATACCATTTTCAATGCATTCGTTGCCCTCCAAGTACTTTGGAGCTGAACTTTGCAGCCATTGGTGTCACAAAATTAAGATACCCAAAGCAAACCGCAAATGTGGTCTTACCAATGACAATGGAGTTCACCTTCCCCTTGACCTGGATGACAGAGTTGACACACTTATACACGCACACAGACTGGTTCATCTGGGTCTGATCGAGCACGATGCCCTGGTTGTTCACTTGGTACTCCTGTGAACAGCGGCAACAAGCAGACACAGTGTCAGTTCAAGCCGTATGGAATACAGCTCAAGCAAATGTTACCAACTTGCCTCTGAATTTTGTGACATTGACATTTGCCACAAAATCACGGTTGTAAGACTGTCCTACTGTAATTTGGCATGAACAAATACATACATGAAGCAGCACCCTCAATCTCAGATAAGGCTGTAGAGCAATGAAACAACATTTCAGCTTGCTTCACTGCAATGTAAGCCTTTACCAATGTCGCAGATTTATTTGGCACGGGCCTGTTATTCAGAGAGACTGAAGTTGAATCCAACCATAATGCGTAATATTTCTATGTTGAAAAGGCACTCCACAACTGGCAACTCGAATCGACCTACCCACCACAAAGTGTTGAGGCTTGGAAGCAAAACATTTCTTGGGGTGCATACCGTATTTACTCGCGTAATGATTGCACCCCTAAATTTTGTCGTCTAAATTCCGCCGCACCCCGAACTTGCCGCACTAACATGTCGTGTGGGTCGTGTGCCAAGTCTAGTCGATGATTATCGCGTTTATCATCTGTCGAATGTTGCATTAATAACTCTTCAAAACTCGCCATGTGAACTGCACGCACCAAACATATTTTAAATTTTTGCCCACCGTTGGCGGGAACGTGTCATTTTGGATTGCAGTAAAGGCAAATGCTCCAGTTTTCACTGAATGCCTGCCATGCGTTTATGTCTGTGGCAGCTGAATGCACCCATATTACTTTCTGTCATCTGAAAGCAGGCACCACTATGCTAATGACGTAAATTCACTGATTTAAATGAAAGCATTCCTTATTTATACGGAATAAACTGTTTTGACGTGCGTGACATACTCAGAACCTCCATGACTGACAAAAATAAGAAAAAAATGCGGTCACTTCGCTTCGTGAGCCGCCATGTTTGTTCTGATATCCCGCACTGTTGAAGCGGCAGCTGCCTGTTGGTCGACCTGTGGTCATCCCGCAGCAACAAGCTGCCGACGCATTTCCATCATTCCCGAGAAAGCAGTGTCACCGCCGGGACCCATCGTCAGCTGACACCACATTGTATTCGGTGTGCTTTGTGATCGCCTGTTCGCCGTTTCACAATGGCACGGTATGCAAGCTTTACGCCTGCGTTCAAGCTGAAGGCGCTTGATTAAGCGTTAGAGCACAGCAACTGTGCTGCCGGCAGACAATTCGGGGTCGACGAAATTTGTATCCGATATTAGAAAAAACAGCGCAAGAAGCTAATGGCTACTAACAGCACATGCCGGGCTTTCCGCGGAACCAAAACTGGCAAGTTCCCCGAGGTTGAAAAGGCTGTCCTTGAATACGTGAGGAACATGCGCAAGCTCGAACCTTGAACCAGCAAGCTCGAAGGTGTTCAACGAAGAGCGCTTAGGGTCATCTTTAACAAATTTAACTGAACAGATTCACCTACGGAGCTGCTTAAAAAGGCTGGACTACTAACCATAAAAAACCGGGCAATATTGGCACGCTTAAAGCTGATGTACCAACTGTTACATGGTCAACTAAACGTAGACAAGCCCCGCCACATAAAGCTATCCGCAGCTAAAACTACCTGCCACAAATCGTCTCATACCCTTGCCCCTTACAGATTTCACACAGATGCCTTCAAATTCTCGTTCTTCCCGCCTGCGATCAGAGAATGGAATAACCTGTCCCCCTCCATTACCAGTAGCACATTCTTAGCCATTTTCACAAAACTAGGAGAAAGCGACTTGATAGCCTCGCAAACATAATATGGTGCTATGTGACCTTTCTCGTTATTTAAGTAAAGTGCCAATATGATTGTACTTTGACAAATGTGTTTATATTGTGAAGAAGAAGATGGGCCTACAGCAAGCAGTATCGCCAACGCCCGGCTCTCTCGTCTTGTGCTTCGGTTCGTTGCTGTGCCGATCGCTGGACGGTTCTTCACGCTGTTTCGTCGCTGTCTTTAACAGCTATTAAACCTCTTCACATTTGGTGGAAGGTGCTGTTAATCCCCGTTACTACACCCTGGAGCTGCGAAGCCACACGCTACCACCTGTCATGACTGACAACGCCACTACATCGGTACCTTCGCCCCAGTTCAACTGCCCTGGCCATCCTAGGCTACGGGACCCGAAAGTATTCAGCGGTGCGGATAGGACCGACGTCGAAGACTGGCTCGAGCACTACGAACTGGTGAGCGCCAACAATAAGTGGGATGAAGCCGACAAGCTGGACCATGCCATATTTTATCTCACTGGCGTCGCCGAATTGTGGTTTAACAACCACAAACACAACATCCCCACATGGAGCGTCTTCAAGACGTCATGTGCTGAAGTGTTCGGTCGGCCGGCTGTCCGCAAGCAGCGGGCAGAACAGCGCTTGCGCGTCCGCTCTCAGCAGACTTTGTCGACGTGCGAATGACACCATGCCCGAATCTGACAAGGTCAGATTCGGGCATAGTGTCAGGTCAGATTCCGGACATTCTGAAGGGCATCGACGACGGCGCATTTCAAATGCTCTTGGCGAGAAATCCGAGCACAGTTCCCGAAGTCGTCAGCTTGTGTCAGAGCTACGACGGGTTAAATAAGCAACGCACTCTGACTCGGCAGCCGCAGCATGGTGGTGAGTCACTGTCCAGTTTCGACACCCTGCCTGACAATCCACCGTTGCTTCAGCAAGTTTGAGCCTTCGTCTGTGAGGAAGTCGCCCGCCAACTTTCCCTAGTGCCCTTCACTCACGAGACCACCACCCGTCTACCTGCCCCGCTTCGCACTGCTATTTCGGAAGAGGTTGCCCAAGCTGTTCCGCTTGCGCACCACGAGCCGCCTCTATCCAGCCGTGTTAACTGCCAGCGTGTAGCGTAGCCGGTAGGCCCTCCTGTCGCCTATCCGCCAGCTGTGCAGGCTGTGGCCGCACCCCTAACGTATGCAGCACAGCCTGTGGCTCCTCCTGTCGCCTGTTCGCAAGAGATGCAGCCTGTAGCAGCCCCGTTCACATATGCAGACGCTGTTCATAGGCTTCCGCAACCACCTTACACCTCGCGCTCACAGCCCGCTCACCCGGCTGCTTATACTGCACCTTGGGCGGCACCGCCAGTCGCCAATCCTTGGAGGACGCCCGATAACCGACCGATATGCTACGCCTGCTTCACTCCCGGACACGTTGCCGCTACTGCCGCCGTCGACCTCAGACGTTCGGCGGCTATGTCCGATCGTCGCAACCCGGCAGCCAACCCTTCGCGCCATACGGGCCGGCCTCGTCACTTCGCTATGCCCCTCCCAACGACCCCGACTTCGTGACGCCGCGCGCACCCTCTCCTCATCGGCGATCGCCCTCCCCCATGCGTCGCCGGCCCAGACCTTCTGACCAGGAAAACTAAGCACCGCAGTTCAAGAGGCAAGAACTGCGCCATTTTCGAACTGTCTAAGCCCTCGCCCCTCTCCTGCTAACGTGGTCGCAGTAACTGTTGAAGGTTATCGTACTTTCGCCCTTGTGGACACCAGCGTCACTGTTTCTGTTATTGCCGCTAATGTCTGCCGTGTATTACGTAAAGTCACGTCGCCGCTTTCGGGACTGTCACTCCACACCGCAAGTGCACAGCAAGTAACGCCTCTCACAGCCTGCACTGCAAGAGTGTCCATCGAAGGCATTGTTTACATTGTGGAGTTTATTGTCCTCGCTGTCTGTTCGCATGACGTCATCCTCAGATGGGACTTCCTATCCCGCCATAATGCCGTCATCGACTGCGCACGCACTGAAGTTGAGTTTTTACCCTTTTGTGATGTCCCATTACTTGACGCTCTTCATCAGCCGCCGAAGTTGTTCGTGCATGAAGATACCGATATTCCACCTGAAAATTTCGCACTTGTTCCAGTTTCATGCAACGCCTACACAGACGCTACAGTCTTTTTTATGCCTTCCGATATCTTCACGAGTCATCGAGCTCTGCCGCTGCCTTTCGCAACGATTGACCTTGCCGCCGGAAGAAGCAATATGTTCATACTCAACCCGCTTTCCACACCTGTCACTTTGCTTGCGGGGGAATGTCTCGGCGGCGTGCAGGATCTCGACCCTTCGTCTTTGGTTGATGTCCCGGATGACTACTGCGACCACCCAAAATCACTGTCGGCTCTCGAGGAGTCATCAAAGGATACGCTTTCCAGCGCCATCGCCGACACCCTCACTCCCACCGAACATGCCGACCTGCTTGATCTTCTGCATGAGTTCCGGAATTCTTTTGATGTGTCGCAACCTCAACTAGGCTGCACGTCGCAAGTCAAGCATCATGTTGACACCGGCCTACACCAGCCACTCCGTCAAAGACCATACCGTGTCTCCACTGAAGAGCGCCGCGCGCCGCGTCATCAACGATCAAGTCGAAGATATGCTTCGTAGAGACATCATTCGACCATCTCACAGTCCCTGGGCGTCTCCTGTCGTCCTGGTGCGTAAGAGAAATGGATCTATCCGATTTTGTGTGGACTATCGTCGTTTGAATAAGATAACCCGCAAGGCCGTATATCCTTTGCCGCGCATTGATGACGCCATTGACACCCTTCACGGAGCGGAATTCTTCTCGTCGCTAGATTTGCGGTCTGGCTACTGGCAAGTTCCAATGGCTGAAGCCGATCGCCAAAAAACTGCATTTATTACACCTGACGGACTATATGAGTTAAACGTCATGCCCTTTGGGCTTTGTAACGCGCCCGCCACGTTTGAACGACTTATGAATAATACGCTACGTGGCCTCAATAATACGCTACTATGCCTCTGCTACCTCGACGATGTCGTGGTTTTCTCGCATGACTTCCCTACGCACCTCTTTCGCCTCAGGCACGTTTTGACTTGTCTGACCAACGCTGGCCTGCAGCTTAACCTGAAAAAATGCCGCTTCGCTGCACGCGAGCTCATCATCCTAGGCCACATTGTGTCGAAGCACGGCGTATTACCTGACCCAGCAAAACTTCGAGCAGTCGCAGAATTTCCCAAACCGACGATCATGAAGGAACTTCGCAGTTTTGTAGGCCTATGCTCTTATTTCCGACGCTTTGTTTGCAATTTTTCATCCATAATGTCACCATTAACCCAGCTTCTTCGCGGTGACGTGAACCTCTCCTCCTGGTCCCCTGCATGCGACGTTGCCTTCACTACTCTGCGCCGTCTGCTCACCTCCCCACCTATTTTTTGCCACTTCGACCCGACGGCTCCTACCGAACTGCACACCGACGCCAGCGGCGTCGGGCTAGGCGCTGTCCTCGCTCAACGAAAGCCCGGCTATTCAGAATACGTGGTAGCCTACGCTAGCCGCATTCTGACGAAAGCCGAAACTAATTACAGCGTGACAGAAAAAGAGTGTTTGGCTCTGGTGTGGGCGCTTGGAAAGTTCCAGCCGTACTTATACGGCCGCCCGTTCGATCTAGTAACTAATCACCACGCGCTTTGCTGGCTCTCCACGCTGAAAGACCCTTCTGGCCGCCTTGCGCGATGGGCACTCCGCATCCAGGAGTACGACATTCGCGTCGTATACCGCTGCGGACGCAAACACTCTGACGCTGACGCCCTGTCCCGCTCACCTTTGCCACCAGATCCGACATGCGGAAACACGTGTCCCCAGACCTTGTCATCGTTAAATCTTGACTCAATTGCCACCGAACAACGTTGTGACCCGTGGATCGCATCTCTTCTCGAATATCTATCCGGTACGCCCAACCTTCCGGTATCTCGATCCCTTCGACGTCAAGCTTTTCATTTTGCCATCCGCGGTCAACTACTTCATCGACGCAACTACGCTCCTGATGGCCGCCGGTGGCTACTGGTCATTCCACGCACTTTACGATCGCAGGTATGCGCCTCTCTTCAGGACGATCCACAATGTGGCCACACCGGGGTGTTCAAAACATATGAACGCCATCGCTATTACTGGCGCGGCATGTACAATTTTGTATGCAAATTTGTACAGTGCTGTCCTGACTGCCAGCGACGCAAATCAACACCGCTACGTGTGACTGGCGAATTGCAGCCATTTCCGTGCCCTGCCAAGCCATTCGATTGCATTGGCGTTGACCTCTACGGCCCCCTTCCATTGACACCAGATGGCAATCGGTGGATTATAGTGGCGGTCGACCATCTAAAGCGCCACGCCGAAACAGCCGCTTTGCCGAGCGCTACCGCTCAGGATGTCGCCTCTTTCATCTTACGTCGTTTTATTCTTCGACATGGCGCACCTCGAGAGCTCCTTAGAGACAGAGGCCGCGCTTTCCTCTCCGAGGTCGTCGATACTCTGCTGTCGGAATGCCACGTCATTCATCAGAAAACGACAGCATACCACCCGCAGACTAATGGGCAAACGGAACGGTTCAACCGCACGCTGGGAGATATGCTCTCAATGTACGTGGCATCTGATCATAGCAACTGGGACCGTGTTCTCCCATACGTCACATTCGCATATAATACTGCAATACAAACAACCACGGGATTTTCACCTTACCTTCTTCTTTATGGACATGACCCTTCCCATACAATTGATACTCTACTGCCCTACCGTCCTGATGCTTCCCAATGTCCACCTATCTCCGATGCTGCTCGACAAGCCGAAGCGTGCCGCCAGCTCGCCCGTGCGTTCACCTCGGACGAGCAACAACGCCAGAAAGAAAACCGTTGCACCTCTCTTCCAGATCCCAGCTATGCCCCAGGGTCTCTCGTGTGGCTTGCCATCCCATACCAAACTCCCGGACTCTCATCAAAACTTGTCCCCCGGTACGAGGGGCCTTACACCGTTATAGAGAAAACCTCTCCGGTTAATTACCTAATTGAGCCAGTTTCCCGATCAGATGACCTGCGCCGGCATGCACGTGACATCGTCCATGTTTCCCGCCTAAAACCGTATCATGAGCCTCTCCCTGAAACTTCTTAAGTCGCCAGGATGGCTCCTTTTTCAGCCGGGGCGATTGTGAAGAAGAAGATGGGCCTACAGCAAGCAGCATCGCCAACGCCCGGCTCTCTCAGCTCGTGCTTCGGTTCGTTGCTGTGCCGATCGCTGGACAGTTCTTCACGCTGTTTCGTCGCTGTCTTTAACAGCTATTAAACCTCTTCACAATATGTTTTCTTTTTTTGTTGTTTTGTTAATTTTTTTAAATTTTTTTCCCCTTTCTATTGACTGTACTTAATTACTGCCTTAGATTGTCCACCTGTTATAATTCCTCTGGGATTGACAGTATGCATAAATAAAATAAATAAATAAATAAATTCCGACAGGGAATCTTGCAGCGACGACACTGACGCCAGTGACGCGTCGGACACTGAATGAAGGTTAGGGGCTCAGAGTTAAAAAATAAAAGGGCAGTGTGCCATGCATGTTGCTCCTGCATAATGCGTGCATTTTATTACAAATATAAGCCTTACTCTACTTTTCTTTTTGGTCATAATAGCTATCTTAAGAATTCTGATTAGCGACTTCTTTGCATTTTTTGGTGCTCAGAATACTTCTTTATGGAAAATTAACTCCACGTAATGATCGCACCCCGAAGTTGGCATCAATGTTTCTGAAAAAAAATAAAAGTGCGATCATTATGAGAGTATACACGGCATAGTAACTGAAGACAGAGTTAGCGCGATACTCACAACACACCACTTCTTTCCTTCTAGTTCCAGCTTGGGAGGCTTGGTGATCTCCTGGGAAGGCTTAGAGCCAAATCGCGAGGCTTGCTGCGTCGGCGCAGATTTTGGTGCCACAGGTGCCTGTGAGCGCAATGCGGGGTTCTTGTGGGTCATCTGGTCGCTGCTCACTTTCTTCAGCCCTGCGATAAAAAAGAACAGCTATGCTATGCACTTCATGCCATAGTGAAATGAATACAAAGAGACTACAAGCTTTACAGTTGTTTAACAACACCAGTTATAATGCCACGCGATGTTTCGATGTCACCCGCTAGACTTAGCAATGCTCGGCACAGACCACGCTACAATGTTGGCGAAGCTTCACGGTTGTTTTAAGATAATTCTGTTAAGATTGCGCAAGACGCAAATAGTCCAGTTCATTTGACAGCTAACATGGACTACCAGCGATAATGCTGAAATTTTTCTTTTTGTACATGCACAAAAGCAGACATGCTTTACAACTAGCAGATTATCAACGGCCAACGCTGTGTTTACCTCTGTCAGTGTAGAGAGTGTATTGCATTTCTTGTAGTTCTATGGACTGTTTCGTTTCCTGTGGACAAGTTCATCCATGTAAAGCTTTATCTTTAACATGCCGACTGCTGCCTTTGTCAACGTAACAACCATGTGACAACAGCGACAGCTCTTAGAGCATTAAGGTGACCAAGCTGAGCCTTCTTGAGGGGACAAGGCTTAGCGAGGGTAATCACACACCGAATCGCAGTTGCATTTTTCTTCAAATGCAGACGTTGATAGCCTGCAATTACACGCCTGCACATCGCAGAAACATCATTGGTCAGGAAACGGAAGTTTTATCATCGAAGGCACATTTTATGCCTACAATGACTTTCTCTTTCAGGTTGAGGCAGTGAAGGTTGAGGCAGTGACCAAGGTACACACTTAAACATGCTTTAGAAAGCAGTTGCTGCCCGATGAGGACCAGTCCACTGTTAAAATGGTGGCTTTAGTCACATTTCCTGTTCAACGATCTGCCATTAAAATCTCAGGACAGTGAAAAACATGAGACAGAGGTGCGGCCTATACAGAAGTACGAGTAAGGTAATGTGTTTCAAAAACTAGTGACCTCTTTTCATTAATATTGAGGATTCGATAAGTTGGTATGTGTCGGCATTGTCACAATTGTGAATGTACATCGAATTTTTATTGTTGTGGAGTTCTGAAAGAGCACAGTCCACAACTTATGTGAGAAATATTATTGAAGCCAAGTTCAAAGCGAGGCCTGGCAGCACATATGTTAGCACACTTCAGGGTTGCTACTGATTGTCAAGTGAACTTTGCCAAACGTCGAGCGAAAAGTAGCCAAATGTTGCCATTTTTCCTCAAAGTTCGCCAAGAATGTCATCACTCTACGTATGCGTGGCAGGCCTAGTAATAAAGATTGCTAAATATGTATGACCCAGGGTACAGTACTATTTATAACCCCTAAATAATATGGATGCCAGTCGCATCACCCGCTTCACCATGAGAGCACTCAGAAAGGGCATGAATGCACCAGCAGCGTCCCTCAATGCTAGCACCTCATAACGAAAGTTTGTGATGGTTTTGATTGAAGTGAATGCAGGGCAAAGCAGTCACTTCTAGAAAAGAGTGATAGCGTGTGTAGCTTATCTGCAAACTTGGAAAATTTCACTGCAGTTGTATCCTATGTCCGATAATCGAACACCTTATTATAGAACAACAAAAATAAATTCTAAAGTACTTCGCAACTATCGCAATGCCCGCGCTACACCTTTCGTGCGGTCATGCTTACGCTACACATTCGCCTCAGTGCCATTTTTGTAGGTTAACCCAAACAGGCCGACTTCTTGGCTGGCCTGAAATTTAGATACCAAATTAGGGGGTACAGCAGAAGTGAAGAAGCTGAAAAGCTATTCAGGACAGTTGGAGGTGTTGTCAGAACAGGCAGCTTAGCCATCACCTAGCCACTTCAGAAATGAAACATTAAAGAAGCTTTTAAAGTTCTTGAGGCACCAAAAAAACTTAGTAATACTAACACCACCGCCTTGCGGCCTACGAATCGGTCTGCTGACCTACATTTCTGGGAGGCTGCTGGAAGACACACCACAGCGCCAGTGCTTTCAGGATCTAGGTGAATGGAGGATATACACAGGGGTGTTTTTCAGGTGAGCTGGTTGGTTCATGTACATTGTGACGAAGCAGTGCAAATGACGAGACAAAGAATATACAGGACGCAACGCTGCCTATCAGCTGAATTCTTTATTGCAAAGGGAAAGAATACTCTGCAAAGGCAGCATTTTTGTTCACTTTTTTATATATTTTCTGCCTTTGCAATTCAGAAACCAGTAGCTAGTCAGCGTTGTGTCCTGCATATTGTTCGCCCCGTTATTTACACGGTTTTGACATAACGAAGGCATACCCTCAAGAAACAAGACAGTCGTACTAAATAGCGTGGAAAGTGCGGCTTCTACGGGTAAGTCAAACCATTAAAATAAATAAAATCTTTTCACCCATTCGCTTTGATGACACTGCGTATAGAATGCATAACTCAGTCGAGACCCAAGCCGAAATTGCCAAAAGTTCACCATGTCGCCATTCATACTTTCAGGTTGCCACGGGGCTTCCTAACCGCCAAATTGGCGAAAAGTAGACACCTGCGGCAACCCTGGCACACCACCATTGTGTGATCCTTTTCACATGAAATGGATTTTCATTGGCTTGGCTGAGCAGAACACAGAATAGCATGTGTTCTGCGACTATGATGATGCGGTCATCTCTTTGCATAGTGTGTGGCAATGTGCATTTCGACAATACTGTCTGAAGTTTCTTTGAGGTCATATATGTTGCGCCATCTGCCCGTAAAACAAGCTTGAGGCCTGCACTTCATTCTCTCTTTTGCCCAGTTGGACTGTTTCTTCCTTTTCGTAGTTGCACTGTATTAAGACTCATCCGCTTTTATGATGAGACATAGAGAGATGCCTTTGCAGGTACAGGATTCTGTAATTGCAGCAAGCATGTGGCCATTATCCCACGTACCTTTGCTGATGTCCTCTCCCTTGTTGAGGTCCCTGAAGAGGGCAGCTCGGGGGTCCTCAGCAGGAATTTGGTTGTTCATGAAATCGGCTGGCGGTGGTGGCGGCGGTGGAGGAGGACCTCCAGCACCGCCTCCTGGTGCTGCACCACTGCCAGCCAGTGCCATGGCATCGCCACCCTGTGGTGGGCCGTACAACAGATCATGCTAAAATGAATGCCTGAGAGAGTTGGTTGACACACTTTAATTAAAAACAGTGCAGAGGACACAGTGCATGTGAAAGAAGGACACAGACAAAAGTGCTGGTGTCTGCGAGCTTCTTTTCCTGGTCCTTTGTCTTTTTACTGTTTTACTTCAAATACAGATCATACTTTGTTGCTTGAAAACGACACACCACTTCCATCTTTGAAAAACAAGCTCTTAACTCACAAGGGCAGTCTAAAGTACGCTTCGTAAGTAAGAAATCTTAAAATCCAATGGCATGGTGAAGGCATCAGTAGAGTGAAGCCGAATGAATACACAAGGCAGACTCGAGACCATTGTGCAATTCCGCCATATGGTTGAATTCTGCAATGGGGGCATTTTAAGTGAACTAGGCTGTAACAATTCTCTTGTCCAGTCAGAGCTGATGAGACAACGAGTCACCAATGTGACAGAATTCCCCAATGTCTTAAGTTGCAACCTTACTGCAGAGGCCCTGAAAAAGTAACCCCTACCAATGTCAAACAATAATCACCAGAGCAAGCTACGCTTGTGCCTCATGTCTTCCCATTCTTGTTTTATGTGGAATCGAATGCAATGCTTAAGCACCACCAGAGAGATTCATTTTCATTGATGGGCCTTTTGGAATTCCTAGATCCAGTGCATTTATTAATTACACTGATGGTTTTTTATAAATATAATGCCATAACGGGATCGCCAGAGTTCCCTCTAGAGTACCAATATTAGGAAACTCTACGGTTTTATTTGCCAAAACCACAATATTGCTACGAGACATGCCATAATGGGCAAATACGGATCAATCCTGAACACTTGGGTTTTGTTTATGTGCCCCTGAACCTAAGTACATGGGTGTTCTTTGCATTTTCCCTATCAATATGTGACCGAGAATTGAATCCGTGCCCTAGACCTTGGCAACGAGACACCCTAGGTGCTAAGCTATCGCAGCTGGTGTTGTCTCTGAAATGTACAATTACATGAATACAGTGAAACCTCGTTAAACCATAGTTGGCCGGAATACTAAATGGTAGTACTGCTTAACCGAAATAGCGTCAGGTCACCCACTTACCTGTCAAAAAAAAAAAACTTCAGGCAGTGCGAAACTTGCAGTAAATTATTAACTTTGCGTGACAAAGTCGGTAGTCTTCATTTGACAACGCGGCGGCCTAGCAGCAATGACAGCGGCCTCAAACTGACTTATGCTGCAAGCCAGCTTTTCCGCCAGCCCCCCTCTTCTTGGCAAATACCCGCATGACGCTGACGCAATGCGCAGTTTCGGCCACTGTCAGACCCGGATCACCCATGTTGTCGCTTTCCATGTCGTCCTCATCACTATCATTTGGTGACACTTCGACAACCGAAGCAACAATGGCTTCGTCGGACATGTATGGAGACGTCTGCATACCGCTGTCTGCATCTCTGAAGTCATGGATGGAAATGTTTTTCGTAACGCCCTCTGCTTCAGCATTTCAGCTAGCACAGTTTCGCAAGCTTCGTCTACGATATCCGAAGTCTATTCGACGGTGTCACTAGCGTCATCTGCGTTGCCCGCACACACACTCAAGCCAGCACGCTTGAAGCAATTTGGAACTGTCGTAGCATCAACCTGCTGCCACGAGTATTCGAGCAGGTGAATCGCGCCAATCAGGTCGATGGAGAATAATTTGCCACATTCAATGGCGAGAAGAGATCTGCGCAGCAGATTCTTCTTGTAGAGCTGTTTTACAGCTCAAATGATGCCTTGGTCCAAAGGCTGGGCAATCGCTGTTGTGTTTGGTGGCAGAAACGCCAACTTCACAGTCGTCAGGTTGTCCAGGGCGATGTGCGCCAAAGCGTCTAACATAATAACTCTTCTGTTCTTAGCCGCAAAACGACGATCGATGAGGCGCACGTACTCCTCAAAGAGTTTTGCTGTCATCCATGCTTTGGTGTTGCTGCAATAGATAACCCCTGATGGCAATCGGGTGCCTTTCAAACATCTAGTCTTCGCAGACTTTCCAATCACGAGGAGCAAAGTTTTGTTGGTTCCAGTCAGGTTTACGCAAAATGCCACTGATATTCTGTCTTTTGCATGCTTGCCGTCGGTGCACGTCTCGCCACTTTCAATAGCGCGAATTATGTCCAATTTCTCCTCTATTTTCAGCACTCGATGCTTTTGTCCCAGCTTCGGCATGACGCAAGTACTAAGCACCACAAGCACACATACAGAACACGTGAAAAACGACGCGAGAGCTGTACGGCACCGAACAACCAGAGAACACCTATGCACAGTGTCAAAGAACCAAAGAAACGAAAGCAAGCGCACACCGTGTTTGCGTGTTTGTGCAAAGTGCCATCGCGTGGACAACACCAGAAGCCTAGCTGGCCGAGTGCTTCTTGTTACAGAAAAATCCAAAAGATGGCAGTCACCAACACAGCCACCATCATCAGCAACACAAACAAGCGAGGCGTGTTTCGATCTTTGGGGCTTGCTGTTTTGTTGGGACGCCCAGTGGGGAACGACATGCCGCAGCGAGTGTGCAATGAAAATTGGAAGACTACTTATTAACCGATACATACGCAATAAGCTGATACAATTTATGCAGGTACGAAATGCATAATTCAATGGCCACCGAGTCGGAGATTTGACCTTACTACTTTTTTAAAACGAAACTATCGTTTAAGCGGGTACGGTTTAATGAGGTTTCACTGCAGAGTAGTGCATATAAATTCGATCACTATTACTACGCTATCATGGCGGGTGTTGTCTATGAAATGTACAATTACACAAATAGAGTGGTGCATAGAGATTCGATCACTATTACCTTTGGATTCCACACAAGACCAGTCAGGTGGTGCTCCTTCACAAAGGCCTGAAGTTCCGAGAGCACGGTGAGCCACGAGCGGGCCCAGTCCACGTGCGTCTTGTCCCTGCAGATGGGCAAGCAATCCAGCGCTGTTGGTTTCGGGTATTCACCAGTTGCGAATCAGTTCAATACACTACCAAACTCAAGATGTATCTTTAGGCAGAACGGAGCTTTTATTCCAGCTTCAAGGCAGCAATAGAAGAAACTGTGGTAAGGCGGAGCAGATCAATAAAGTGGGCAATTGGGCTGATGGCAATGATAAATGCAGCATGACAGAATCAAGCGTAACAGTAGTTATCGCATGAGCCCCACACTTGCTTTCTTTCTCCTGCCGTTGCTATGAGTTTGCTGGAAAATACAGGGGGAAGAGCGGGGGCATGCAAACCCCGAAAGTTAATTTGGCTGAAATGTTCACACATCTTAACTAGATTGTTAATGTTTCCCAAATACAGGTTAAAAAAGTGTCACATGGCCACCGCACAAGAAACAAGTGTGACATGCTCTTGCAGGCAAAGGTCATCACCACAAGCAAATTTGCCATTTTCACACATCCCATGCTATGTTCTAACAATAACACATGGAGGTCGATTGTGAAGGCTACAAAAAAGTGCTCAGCAGAACAATGTTTTCTGGCATCGAGTTTATTGGAACAAAAAAACAAAGTGCTAGACCTTCTCAACATATGCCTGTCAATGCAGACAATGCAATATTTATTACCTAGAGACCTTATTCAGGTATAAACAAAAAAAATTTAATCTCTATACTCTTCTAGGTCATTTTATCAGGATTTTTCCCATACTCAATGTGAGCAATAAATCAAAAGAACATGACAATTCAAAACACAATTTTGAATTATACAGAAAATAAGCATTGTGCAACAATCTCTGCAGGCTCAAAAAACAACTCCTTGCATGTGTTTTTTCTGTGTAAGGAAAACTACCAAACAGATACATCATTCAATTGTGTAACTTCAAAGTTCTCTGTAGTTTCGGCTGCAGTACCGACCGTTTTAGCCATAACGTGCCAGATGCTTTGCCAGCCATGCCAAAGTTTGTTCAGTGCAAATACATGCAAACATGAAGGAAACGTTTGTGCTAGGTTCCCACTACTCTGTTCTTTAAACAAATCAATCAGTCTTATTCCAAGCAGCAAATGATGCAAGAGTACTTATGGACACTTATCTTGCGCACAAGAATCTTCAACCTGAATTTGTACATTTTCCATGGGGCGAAAAAAAGAATTCAGGCTATATGAATTATAGCCTGAATCCTATCAGTTTCGGCCCTTCGTGATTATAAGGCGGCCCTTTCTGTTTATAGGCACTAGCTTTTCCTTCTCCTCCAGTTTATTCAACATACCATCCCAAAAAGCTAGACACGCATCCAACGGCAGTTTTAACTTACCTACTAATTTTAACTTATATGAGAAACGTTTATTGAAATTTTATGGAATAAAAATTTGGAACAAAATACCCATGCAACTTCAAGCTCGGTGCAAAAATATTTTGTTTGCAAGATCAATGCTTGTGAAGACTTTGTTTTTCTGGTTTCTTATCATGTTTGGCGGTGTATTGAACCTTTTGACGTTATATAAGTTGCAAGGATGTGATTATGTACTTGACCTATTACATATTGTCTGCTTTATCATTTGTTTTTATATGAGTATATGAACATGCATGTAGGTATATTCATATATAAGTGCTTAAATATATATGCTCTATTAATCTGTTATGTACTCTGATATGAACCAACCACTAGCCATTGTAGGCTAAAGGTCCAGCTAGTTTGTAATAATTGCTTTTGTTTTGTCAATAAAAGTGAGATTGATTGATTGATTGAACCTCTGAACACGAACAGCCTCTGCCTTTTTCCCATGTCAAGAATAACCCCACACATTCCGCAATATACTACGTTAAACTCACTTCTCCTTGTAGTCTACTAGAACCCTGTTGGTGTAGAACTGGCAGGCATCGCTCATCTCCTTGATGAACGGAGCTGGGGCAGGTGCCTGTTCACAGAAACGAAACACGCAAAGAAAGCTCGTCAGACAATGTTGGCGAATGCTTTTGAACTGACACTTTCCCACCGTGAGTCTCACGAAAGATAAGAGGCTACTCACAACTGTCACCCATCCTAGAGCCGCAATGGATTCGCTGATCGCCGACAAGTGGTTAAAAAGCTTGCTGGTGCGGTTCTTCTCCCTGAAATCCTGCAATAGTTTTCAAAATAAAGGTTATGCACACTAGAGAAGGTGGTGAAGCGTGCTGCCATGCAATTAATTCAAGCCACAGCCAAGGGTATTATAAAGGAATTATAATATTTGGGGTTTTAGGTCCCAAAACTATGATATGATTATGAGAGACACTATAATAATGTGATCTGGATACTTCGGCCAACTGGCGTTATCCAACATCTATTGACACTGCACAGTACATAAGTCTAACATTTTGCTTCTGTCAAAATGCGACCGCATCGGCTGCAATCAAACCCGAAACCTTTGGATCAGTAGCCAACCACTGAATTCACTGATCCACTATAGAGGACGGCAGTATAAAAGAAGAAAAAACAGATTTATGTGAACTAGCAGAATTGCGCAACACACGTCTATCTTTTGGTACCCGTCACACACAACATGGACCCCTATATTCTGTCAAGATGGAATTTTAATCACTGGTTTCCCAAAAGTAGTAGGGACACTGTTTCCCACAGTGTCCCAAGGTAGACAGAAAATGCAAAGGTAGTGGAGACTGTTTCCCGTAATGTCTCCAAGGAGACAGAAAATGCCAATTTCGTTATGTTTATTTGGCCACTAATCAAACCGCACACTAAAAATCTATTTGCACATCTGACCTTTTAGCAAGCCCTACATACCCTGTAAATATAATGCTCGGAAAAAACTCTTTTACAAGACACCCTGAAAACTGGCCTACACCCAATCTGTTCAAATGCTAGTGATTTCTATCTAGCGAAAACAAGAAAAGCAAGTGAACCATTTTCCATAATCCCAGCCTTCGTATGACCTCCTATTAATAGTACTTCACTTGCTCAAAGCAGCTAAGGAAAAGAAACGCAAGGCAAAGTTGGTTAAGAGAGACCCAATGCGCCGCACTTAATTGTGACCAGTTGTTCTGTCCACTTTTGATGTAGCCAGACGATCGGGTCCCGGGTCCACTTTTTCGTTTGTCACAACCAGCTGAGTTCTTTTGACAATAGATCAACTCAGAGTACAGCACGGCTTCTACTGGACAGCCATCACCAAGGTAATATTGATGCTCGACACCCTTTTGGCCTACTAGATGACCCCGGTTGACAGGCTATAGGAGGTCATCGACATCATTGTGGGGAAACACGCTCACCTCATCACCACCGACAAGGAGATTCAAGCTGCGCTAGATGGTGAGGACCTGAAGGCAGACTTGACTACCGCCAACGAATACGAAGATCGGGTCATCTGCGCTCAAGCAAGGGTTCGTCGCGCAACTACACCGCGGCCACGAACCCCACCTGCATCCATCGCCGTCGCAACCACTCCACGCATAGACCCTTTCGCATGCACATCGCAGCCAACTGCGACCTTGCCTTCACCCGGCCTTCTGATTCCAACGACGTCTTCTCGCATCGCACTGCCCGAGCTGTACATCCCTAGTTTCTCCGGAGAACAACGTAACTGGCAAGGATTCTGGAACCAGTTCCAAGCAAGCATCCACAACACTAAATCCCAAAACCCGATAAGTTCCAATACTTATTAGCATACATGGCTGGGGCAGCTAAATCAGCCATTCCAAGCATTCACCTGACCGAAGCGAACTATAACGTCGCCATTCAAATCCTGTCAGACCCCTTCGGCCGTCGCAGCATGCTAGTCCACGACCATCTCGATAGTTTGCTGTCAGTCGCACTACTCCGAAGATCCGCCGACGTGACCAAGCCACGAAATCTATATGATGAAGCCACCTTCCACACGAACGCCCTAGAAGGTCTCGGCGTGTCTCCAGAATATTGCACGGTGCTGCGGCACGTCCTCTTGAAGGCGTTACCTCCAGACCTCAGCATCTTCTATCGCCAATGGCAGAAGGAAGCCTGGTCAAAAGTGAAAGACCTCCCGAGCTTCATGAAAGTACAAGTAGAGATGCAGGAGGGAACCGGTTTCCAGGCTCCACAGCAATACTTGGTAACCAGTCAGCCACCCTTACCCTCCGCTCAAGGAGCGCACAAATTAACAGGAAACCTCGCAAGTTTCCAAAAGCAGGCCAAGATCAAACTCCTCAAGCGACGCAAGAAGCGCAAAAGCCCCTACTGTGACCTCAAGATGGCTAACAACGTGAGCACAAAGTATTTTGGACATCACATCGAGATTGGACGACTTACCTGCAAGACAAGCCATCGCCTCCCCAAGCTTCACCCCCTCCTCAGAGCCGTCCATCGTCGCTGTCTAACACAGCCCCCCCCCCCCCCCCTTCTTTCGTTCGCGTCTTGCTCACCAATGTGCACCTCAACTTCCTCCACTGTGCACCCGAACATTCCCGCGAATTTGCCGGCCACGGGAGTGTGTTGCAAATAAAGGAAGAAGAAGGGGCAGCGGGCACGAGCACGAGCACGGGGCACTGGCTCGCTCAGTTGTTCCATTCACCTTCGATGTAGCCAGACGATCGGTCCCGTGTACCCTTCTGTCACAACGAGCTGGGTTCTTTTGAAGGGCACCAAAATTTAAGCACGAGTGTGTTTGTGCCGAGTCTTATCCAAATTAATTGCAGTAATTATGAACTGAAACTGCAACCATGTTCCCAGTAGCATAACACCACAGCACAATGCTAAACAACTAAGTCACCACAGCAGGCAAATTTCCAGTTCTGCATAAAATCTGTTGCAAATACCGCAAGCTACATAAAAGAATGACCTTGAATATCAGACACCTTATCTTATCACCAGTGCTCTATGCCTTCAAGGGCCCATAAACCACCTGGAGATCAAAATTCAGTTGTGGTGGGGAAACTGTGCACGACTGTACGACGAACACACAGCCATGAGAATTTTTCGAAACAGTGCAGTAATGACGGAGTTAGACGCGTTTGATTATCGAAACCGTGACAAGCACACCTTTTGCTCTCTCCTGCGCTTCCCTCTGCTGGTATCCTCTCTCACGCCGCTTTGCCCTCTTGCCGAGGGCCCCTCCCATGCCCCTCCCGATCTCGCATGGCATACATCGCCGACGCGCTGCTTGAAACACCATCTACATCTGGTTGCCGTGACTACGGCCATCCACTCTGTCAGTTGCGTTGTAGCTGCGTGCTTGTTCGAGAACCGTGGCAGCCGTAATCGTCCCAGTATGGAACCTGCATTGCGCGCACGCCTTTAAAGGATCGCCGAAGTGATGGGCCCGTATGGGGACACGCCGTGCCCCGCACCTGTTGCACGCTCACGGAAAGCACGACGAACAACAACAAGCGCATGAACAGCTGCTTGCTGGCTGATTGGAAGTCGAAGGCTCTTGCTCGACTAATAACAGCATATTTGGCATATTAGGATTGGCGCGTCAAAGATGTGGCACAGTGCGTCATGCGGAGGGCTGAAAGGCCCAGAAAGAAGGTGGGATTGTTTCTTGGAATTTGTGGTGCACTGACGGCTTGTAGCGCTACCACGTCTAGAATTGTTGATCACGACAGCATTCTGCACACAATGCGCACGTTTGCTTGAAATGCTTAAATACATTGGAGGTATTTTACACGCCCTTTACCTCAAAGAAGTCCTTCCACACCTTCACATACAATCTAGCTTTTTTTAGTCTGATTTATAGATAAAAAAAAATTTTCGTGTTTCACATGCCAAAACCACGATGTGATTAAAAGGCTTAGTGGAAGACTCCGATAATATCAACCACCTGGGGTCCTTAAATGTGCATCGAAACCTAAATGCACGGGTCTATTTGTACTATACACCCATTGAAATGCACCAGCCATGGTCAAGAATCAACAGCGCAATGATGCAGCCACTGCGGCGGGGAGTAAGATCACAGAAAGAGAAGTACCTGAATTGCTTGAATCTGCTCCGACGTTGGTTGCAGAAGAGTGACGAGGCCATGCTGCATGTACCAAAAAAAAAAACATGTTGTAGCTCAATTTTCAGATTTACAGCACAGATACGCATGAAATTTCAAACAATCTATAACTCTGCTTTACCTTGTCAGGCTGTCGAGACTTGGCCACGACACCTAGGAACTGTCGCTGCGTCATCAAAGCTTTCTCCACCATGCTTGCCTGTAAATTGGATGGGGGGGGGAATTATAATGCATGCAAGCAGATTCAGAACATACATTATATTATAGCGTGCCCATGGCTTCCCTAGTTATTCGGAGCACGTCACCTTTTGGCAACATATACCTTGTGATTGAAAGACAATAGAAGGTGTAATACGTTTTAGCAATTTTTTTTGTCTAACGACTGGTATGGTCAATTGATTGCTCAAGATGACCACACGTCTCAATGAATCCGGTCTCTACAAATTATGTAGGGTCTGATCTAGGCATTTGAGTCGAAATTACATTGATACGACCTGAAGTGCAGACGACGGAAATGAAAGCATGGCCGTTACTTAGCCCTAACGCTGTGTTCCAATTATTAGACAGCACGTAGACAGTCTACAAAGACTGCTTAGAAGACAGCATCGAGCCCATGCTGTCCGAGAAATGGAACACATTTAGACGGCTTTTACGCGACGATTTGCCACCTTGCGTCGAGAAGAAAAAGCTAAAATAAACAAACGTAATAGTTGTAATTTCTGGCTTATTTAGTATTGAAATAAAAAAAAAAAATGTTACTCACACTGAGCGTCTGGGAAAGTGTCTGCCTGTGTGCAGACAATCATTCCGGCGAGATTTGATCTATCTGAGCGATTTTCTGAGCCACCATCTTGTTTAGACAGCTAAGTAGCCTGCATCACATTTGTCTACGATGCGGTCTTCTTGAAGCTGTCTATGTTGCTGGCTACGTGAGAATTGGAATGAGACTTAAGATGGTTGCCGTCCATTTAGCTGTCTATTTAGCTGTCTATTTAGCCGTCTACGGTGAGTATTGAAACACACCCTAAATTTGTCTGTTTTAATCTACAAGTACTGTACATTTCAAGTTCATACACATGTGCAGTCGAATTGTAACAGAAACCAGCTAGCCCGATCAATTACCATAATTTCACTTTCTCAACAATGTTGCGGTCACATTGCCCACAAATATGCATTTTCTTGCCTTTCTCTTCAATTTCACTGGCATGACTGGAATGCATAATTGTTGTGGGCATATATTTTAATAATACAGTGGAACCTCGGTGATACGATTACAGCTCGTACAAATTTCGGGGTGATACCAATTTTGCTTACATTCGAGGCCAATAAGTAAGGTTGTTGCGAACCATTTCTGGCCCGCAACATATGATATGAACTCATGCTACCTTGCAGGATTGAACAGGTGCTGCCTGCGCTGCCGCGGAAGACACGTCAATCACCCACAGCTGCGAAACACCAAAGTGCGGACATTTACGAAGCGCTGCCAGTTTGTCAGGATCGGCCATAAACAGGATGTGGAATCTTCCAAGATTGCTCTCGCGAATCTTGGAGGCCCTAATATGCCTTAATGCCGTTGGCAACGCTTTTTTTTTTCGATGCATCAATATGCGCTGCTGTGCTCGAGGCAGTGATGTTCAACAGTGTTCACACCTGCCTGAAATGTTTTCAACATAAGACGCCCTACAAAAGGCAGACGAGGACAGGAAGAGGAAGGGGACTGTGTTGGAGGAGGAGCTAGATTTCACATCTACATGCACGACTGTTGGTAACGTGCACACCAGCCAGCTCTGCTTTGCAAGCAATACTAAAATTTTAAGCCAACTTCCTGATAGTGGAGGCATGACTGTAAATCTTCCAGAAAACAACCCTCGCTTCATTGCGATAAGAATTAAAAAGACAAATTTTCTTCACTTCACTTATTGTGTGCAAAGCGCTCCATAGGTCGCTTTTGCCTCAGTACTTTAGTGCCACGCAGAAAAGTGTACTAACTGGGATTACTAACTGCTTTGGGACGCAACGCATCCGCTTTCGCACACGCGCCCTATATTTGTGAGTATAAGAATGGTCCTTTAAGTCTAGAAACTTTACTGGCAATCATTCAGACCTTTTCATATTGTTGCTGCAACACTGAAAAACAATTGGTGAATATGTATGCCAGGTTTTTTTTATTATTTTTTTTTCATTTTTCAAACTGATTTTTAAAGTTTTCTGGTGATGCGAATTTTGGATGATATGAATACTTTTTCTTGCCTTGTCACATTTGCATCACGGAGGTTTCAATTTAGTACAGTAAAGGTAAATTTCGCACTAGTGTGTATGGGAGCTGCAATGTTAGATGCTTCAGCGATCATGTATATTATGGGGAGTACATAAATTTGACTAAGCTTCTTTCTTTTGGCCCAGTGTGGCTTTTTTTAACTCCTGAAACTACAAGTAATTTTAAACAGTTCAGCAATTCAACCTTGCCACATTGACACTTTCATGCTGAGCTATTCAAATTAACATACGAGGTTCGCAATGAGCCACGTTTTTTTTTATCTAATACAGAAGATAAAACAGATCAATAAACAAAACCACAAGCACGTTCGAAACCACAAGCACGAAAACTAGGCAAATCCATGTACTACCTATTGTTCCCATGGTCGCTGAATCGTAAAAGTGATGCAGTTCCTTTGAATAAAAAGCTCCGAATCCAGCGCTTGATGTTAAATTAATGCAGGTCTAATTAAGCACTAATTCTGCAGTTTATGTGGCACTAATGTACCAGAGGTGTTCAAATGAAAAGGTAAGAAACGTCGTAACAGCATAACAATTATCACAGATGCCTATGGTGCTATGTGAGAACACAGCGAGACGTCGAGGGATGCAGTTTGAGTGTCCACTATGGGTTGGAGCATGTGTGGGCACCCACACACGCAGTAGAGAGCAGAGGCTCTCATAAAGTGTGCCGTCAAAATTACGTGACAGTGCGTGCGAGGACAGGAGGGTGTTCACATTGCGAAATTCAACGATTGAGGAGCAGCAAGGGGTTATCCAATTTCGGTCAGCGGAAGGTATAGCCGGAGGATCACTGTGTAGGAGAGGAACGTGTGTTTGACAAGTGGGTGAGAAAGTGGAGGGCCCATTATCACGCCGGCCTTGAGAGTGTGGTTGATGACCCGAGACCAGGCCAGGCAAATACATTTATCATGGCTGATCTCATCGACAAGGTGGGCGACCTAGTGAAGAGTGATAGGAGTGTAACATGGGAAGTGTAAGTGATGTAAAGAAACTGGAAAAATAACAGTGAAATGGAAGCGCTTCAACTCTGACTACAAACTCGGGAACACTATGAAGGACCGCATCTTGTCATGGCCACAGAAATTCAGGCGACAAGGATTTCTTCGGCTTGCTTATCAATGGGAGCATTGTGCTCAGAGGTACGGTTTATGTTACGAGTAAATTTTTCATTTATACTAACAATGTCGTTCAGTATATTTTATTTCCTTGAACACCCCCCCTCCCCACCCCCCGTAGTTACCGTGTAGGTAGGTCTTGCTGAAGGTCTGAATCCTGCACTTAATGCAGCACTACTGTGAAACTCATTCAAGCCAGCCATTCTCTTGGCAGTTGTGCACTTGCTGACTTAGTGGCACTCTAGCACGTCGCCAGCATTAGGCAGATACTTCAGAAGCATTTCTTGCAATTTTAGGTCAAGTATTGAGACTAAATTTTGGTTATTCCTGCAGTTACTTTTCACTGATTTTGAGCATTGTTAGCCTTCTTTTTGGCCTGTATCAACTACTGCGCGACCACGCGACATGGGATGGTGGGTGGACAAGCAGAGACACTGAATCACGACGCACTGAATACAGTAGAAAGCTTCATGGAAGTGGGCACCTACGTGAGTCTGGACGTCTCCACCAATGGTGCGGCTGAGGCTGAGATAGGCCTGCACGGGTCCTCTGAGGAGAGCCTCGAAACCCTGCACCGAGGCTGACACCAGTTCCACCGAGGTGCCACGCTGCAAAAGGCGTGCGGCAGGAGAACCTCCTCCACCTCCGAAGGCCTGGCCTTCGCATCGCTCCAGCCGGAAGGCCACCTGCTCCAGCCGGTCCACCAACGCAGCCAACTCCGGCACTGACATGGTTGTCACACTGCCTGAAAGGAGTCCAAAGGGTGGGCTATGAATGCTGTATATTCTTCTATCTTGATTTCAAAATGCCCTTAAGGCCCACAACAAATAGGGGGGGACAGGTATATGAAACAGTGCTACGTTTCTACAGACAATAATATCAGCAGATGTTAATGCTCTTGCATTTTGATGTTGGACACGTCCCACTTGCTCTTCACATTAATAATATAATCAGTGCAGACACAAGTACATATATAGTACCATGCAGAGGAGTATTAGTATTAAATCTATCGAAGTTTTATTAATTGTAATTATTCACTTCATGCTACTCAACACATTAGTACAAATAAATGAAGCCATTTCTATGAGTCCACAAAAATAAGAAGGTACATTTGAAGTATGGAAGCAAAATTCCTGATGAGAATTCAAGAAGATTCTGTAGAGCATTCCCGATTAGGCTCATGCCAAACATCTCTATTTTCTGGGTCTTTCCACTGGAGCAGTCCACATCTGCTAACCTTGGCATTGATCAATCGGTATTCATTACTTTCACATTTGGTTTTTCTTTGTCTAGCGAATTTAAGCATTCCTGAACTATGTGACAAGGTTGTAAGAGCTCCATTTAGGAGTATAAAACAGCGCTGACCATGATTCAAGTTGGGCTGACCAAATACATAAGCAGTTTGCCAAATGATTTCAGACATATTCAACCCATCGCACACATTGTAATACCAAACAACTCTGAAATCAAGAAAACCTAAACACAAACAATTGACAAAACTGGAGGCTACACCTCACCAAGCGTAATATATGCTGATTATAGTATCATTCCACCCGTGAAAAAATAAAATGTTAGCGAAGTTTTCAGCTGCTCATACAGAATGAGTGTCTTTTTCACAATAAAGAAGCAAGAGAAGAGCATAGTCATGTAATTCTAAAAGCAGAGCGCTAGCACCGTACTTCAAGCAAGTATTCTCAGCGCAAATGAAATGTGGCAAAGCACTAGAAGAGAAGGCCTCCAAGGATTATGATGGGAACAAACCTGCCAAGGGCGACAATGCCTACATTATGAAGTTATGTGTATTAGGCAATAGTAAATTGCTAACATGCACCTATGTCTTAGCTGCACAAAATACTGCCTTAAATGCTACAAGTCCTGGTGTATGAAACACTCAGCCTCTGCTTTTTCATAACAAAGCCTTTCTAGCACTTATAACTTTGTGTATAGCCAGCCTCACAAGCCTTCTCACTAGGTAAATGTCCAGGTTTTTAGTCTGTAACGGGGACAGTCATTTAGAAAACATACTTCTTGAAATGGAGGAGGTGCAGAAGTAGATCTGTGTAACTGCTCACAGAAGCGAAATGCTAGGCAGCCTTGTCCACTTTGACGATACAAGAATATTTCATGTATGAAGCGTATTACTGTTACAACAGTCCTGCACAAGACATGCTGCTTCTTTTGCCCTACCTTTCAGAAGATGAGCTGAGCTACATATAGAACATGGCCATCTAAATGTTGGTACTATTTTCAGTTTGTCTCAAAACGCTTATGGCATCACAGTTCCAATTTTCATGTAGTTGAACTCTTATTACATTATTCTAATGAATGAGTACGAGCATTTCTTTAAAAAAAACTGAACTATGGCTGTGTTTCATTTTATATCTGCATACTTAGCAAGTGCTGACAAGGGCCATTCAAACACTCCTACAGGTCAAGAATTTCCCAGACCTTCGGAGACAAGAGAAAGTGACAGAAGTGACCATGCTCAACTATGCTTTCCCATTTCAAGATGTGCTTATACACTAGAAAACTGCAAAGCCTCTCAAACTATTTAGGTCCTTAATCGGACCACACACTATGTAGCAACCTCATATATGAGACGAAATATGGAACACATCTTGCCAAAGCAATATTTTGTCATGACAAATATCCTGTACGTCCAACATGAATGACAGTTTGTGCATGCACTTCATAACGAAGAAGGAAGCCTAGGAATAGATAATTTGGATTAAAGTTCGTAACAGCACGACTGCGATCATCTTTGATAGCCTTCAGTGAAGAGTATATTTTTCATATAAACCAAAATCTGTGCGTGAATATTTTCCTAGTGTGTAATCTAAGTCTTTGGATGAAGAATATTTTCTATGAAGCTTATTGCAAATTAAACACATTAGGTCGTGCTGCAAAGTGTTTACAAGGAATTTGCCGATGCTTTACTTGGTTTTGATTGCACAGTCCTGTTGTTCTTAATTCCTTTTTGGTACACTGTGAGCCGTCACATATACAGTTTATATACAAAATATGTCTGCGCCATAGTAAATAAAAATGTGATCATAAATATAATTAGCAGCGCATAACAACGACAACGATCTCTTTCACAATGAAATGTCAACTGTACAAGATAACCTTTGCCGTAATTTACACATGCACGAATTAAACTAATTAACCACAGGTAAGCGATTTCACCAAACGTACTAAAAGTTGCCGGTTATAAGCAATGAAATGCACTACATGCTCTGACAGCAATCAGTGGCGTACTACACACTGCGAAAGCTGTCTAATAAATGCAAGAATGAGGCGTCAGCTGACATCACCGGCCAATTGAAAATCTCTATACGATACGCGAATATGCGCCAGCACGACGAAGCTCGAGTACAATGCAGCTGCGAAGTAAAAAACGCGCTTGGTGCGCCCGTACACAAACAGCTGTATCCGGCCACTCAACGCCGTTGTGGGCACCGAAAGATGGGCGAGCTTTTAGCGAAAGAAACGCAAAAATCTCGAGAGGCCTGTCATCGCCACCTGCCTGTCGACTTTGCCCCTCTACAAAAAGCGTAGGCTCCGTTCCAAGGGTCAGTGAGAAAAAAAAAAGAATAAGGACTCGCACAGTAAAACCCCCCGATGTCCTGCACAGCTCAAAACAACGCGCCGCAGGAGAAAAAAAAAAGGAGGGGTGTAGGTGGGTGGTCGGTGTCCAGTCAGCAGCCGGCATGCAAGTTCAGGTGCACGCAGAGTAAGTGCCAGACCAAAATAGACAGTACACGTAACAGGCAGCAGAAGTTGGGCAGACGAGAAAGAAACAGTTTAACGATGCGCGTCATTTAAACCTGTTTGTGTTCGAAGATTTTGAAGGCGGAGGCGCGTCGCGCCCGAGTGATCAAGCGCCAGCTGCACCGATAGCTCCGTTGCAGGGCGAAAACGCGAGAAGACCTCCACAAATCGTCTCGCAAAAGGAGCTAAAACGGAGTCTTTCGCCACCCACACTGCCGTGAGTCAACCGGCTTCGAAATCAAACATGTCCGAGAGGGAAGAACCAGAACGAAAAAACGCAAGAAGCCAGTCCACTGGAAGCAGACGACACATCGGCGCGCGTAAAAAATGTAAGAAACAATAGCAAAGCTGTACAGTAGCACGTCTATCAGTCTAAATGGGCGCAAAGAAGCGAGTTCGAACGACGTTCTGAGAAAGCGCTTACCGAGGTGATCTCGAGCCACTCGAAGTCCCGCGAGCCGAGTGAGCACAGCGTTGAGACGGTCTTCAGACATCTATCCAAACAAGTCTGACGGCGACAGCAGGGCGGGACTCTTTTGGGGAGGCACCGGCGGCAAGAGCAGCGACGGCGTTCGAAGCAAACGCGACTAGCAGCGGGACAGGTGGAACCGTTTCTTCTCGCTAACGTAGGGTCGGCTAGTAGCGTTCAGAAAACCACGGTGGCGATGATTCCTGCGCTGCTGCCGCTGCGAACCAAACGCCGGTGGTGGTGGTAGTGATTAGAATGAAGAGGAAAAAGGCACCTAATTTCTGTCTGCCTTCAGGCGACACGGCGCAGTGCCTTATAGGGGTGGGGTGAAGGAGGGATAAAAAGAATAGAAGGAAAGTAGAAGCAGAAGAAGACAGCCAACGAGAGGAAAAAGAAGGAGATAGGAAAGTGGGGATCCGGTCGAAGCAGTCCAAGGGCGGGGTGCCACAATGCGAGAGCTACACGGCGTCAGGAGACCGCGGAGGGCGAACCAGTCGGCGGGAGCTACGCTGAAGTCGGAGATCGCGAGGGCACAACCGTCCAGCTTGAAATCCTGCGAGCGAATCCACCAAACGCCGGGTCGCCCGAGCAGCCAGCGAGCCGCTGTCGGAGAGAGCGCGCACACGGCAAGGCGAAGGGGGAGGTCCTTCCCGAAATACACACAAGCAGCTTCCGCCGAATGTGACGCTCCTAGCGCCGCTCGCTGTTGCGCGCAAAAAAGACGACGAAACCGGTATATGAAAAAACAAAACACGGGGAGGTTGCGTGTAGCCGCGCGAGTTTTCTCTTTTGCTCTTACAACCGGCATTGAGAAGTTGCTTGCGGCGACTTTTTTTTTTTCATTTTTCGAGGCGCGAAACCCGATTTTCTACCGGGGCTTGTTTCGCTCGCGGCATTCCGATTAATTGACTGCGTGGGCTTCAAAGCAGTGCAGTTCGGCGAGCGCTTCAAACGAACCCGCGGACGACCAGAGAGATGTGCTTTTACACCGCGGCGACCGCTCCCTCCCCCATCTCACCGCGAGCGCTATTTCGGGGCCGTAAAGTGAGGCTCCTACCACGAATGACGAATGTTTGGGGCCTCCGCCCGCACCGCGGCGACACAACAGACCACCAAGAATGGGGCACTTGCGTAAAATGATGTAACGGTGGCTCCATTTCCACGCGCTCCGTCTGATCGCGTTGCGTGGAGTTAGCGGGAAACCTCACTTCGTTCGCTCTTGCGCGTGTCGCATAGCAGTCGCTGTCAATTGTTAACGCAGAACGAAGCCCACATAGCTTGAAAGAAATACTGCATAAAAAAAATGCCGCCATATCCACGAAGTGAATGATGATGAGTGGGCGAAGCTCCGGAGGTAAACCTGGTAAACCATGAATCCTCCGTACATTTTGCCCACTCGATTTTATTGCAACGCTCCCCCTAGCGTACGTCGCCGCACTATATCGAACGATGACACGCGCCATATGTGGCATCATTCCTATTTTATAACACCTCGCATCTTTCATAATCAACTACACGTACCGCCGTCTAGTTTATAACATCTTGCATCTTTTGGACGGACGGACGGACGGACGGACGGATGGATGGATGGATGGACGGACGGACGGACGGATGGATGGATGGATGGATGGATGGATGGATGGATGGATGGATGGATGGACGGACGGACGGACGGATGGACGGATGGATATGGCTGTACCCTTTAGATCGGGCGGTGGCTAGCGTAATACTTAGAACTGAACGAGAGGTGGCTACATACAGGGGACGCACAGCCCACGACTTAAGGAGCTTCGCTCCTAAAAAACAACCTATCTCGTATTAGTAAATTAGTCTTTAAATATACCAAAATCACCACGTTGTCCGCGAGAGGGTGCTTGGCAAGAGAGAAACATTGCAGAGAAAGTGCGGGTATAGCGACGCCACCTTGAGATTCGCACACTAGTCGCCGAGACGTCATAGATTTCGACGGAGAGTGCTGGAACATACGCCGTTTGTAATGGATAAAAATGAAGTACATTGTCCTCTGAACGGGCCAGAGATTAACACACCTAGTTTCAGTAAATTCTGTTGGGGAAAAAGCACCAAATACGAAAAATGCACTTCGAACTCCGTGACGTCAAGCGCGAAACCTTGACTTCCATTTTATGCGGTGAAATTATTGCCACTGGAGCTTTTAGAGTGCGATTTATTCATGTAAAACAGATTGATTGTTTTATTTTAGTGTCCTTTCAACGAAAAAAGACAAGCTTCACAACAGCAACGACCGACGGCAGACGAACACACAGTCTTTTAAAGATAGCATGTTTGTTGTACGCTCCGTGATTGAGAGCCTGTGCTCGTCCCGCGTGATCGGTGATGCCTGGAACAGCTCGGGCTATTGTTACCGGAAAACCACATAGAAACTCTATGCCGGAAACTACTCATGCAAGAAAGCGTCAGTCGATCGTGAGCGCCACCGCACAAGGCGGCGATTGCCCTTGAACGCACGCGTCAGCGCCGTCGTCTGCTACCGCAGCCAACCGAAGCACTATATCTACTACGCGGCGCAGACGATAAACTACCGACGACGCGCTAAGAATCAATCAACGAGAGCCGACCGAGAGCGGTCGAAGCACGTGTAAACTTTGCAAACGCCGGATCAGGGACTACACGTATACGCTATTAAATCGGTACTAACTATGTTACTCCTGGCCACTACTTAATGTAGGTGCATCGATAAATAATTTTTCTTGTTGGGTTCTGTCTTGTGCATGCCAGTGATCCAACGGCGCATGGGAAAAAAAAACGTAGCAAAAGCCTTCGATGCATCATCAAACACTCGATTTTCAAGGTAAGTGGGATCTGCTGATGTTGTTTTACGTATGAATACGTACACATCTCTGCTCTATGGAATAATTAATTTTCACCTTCATAAACACTCTAGTGCAACCATTTCACCACATAAGACGTCGAGACTGCGCCCCTTTCTTCGCCCAGAAGGCGTTGCCTCGACTTTTACGCTATGCGCGTCGGTGCTATAGGCTTGTACGTTACTGAGCGTTCAGTTAAAAATAAATAATAATTTCCAGACAGAACAGCAGCAAGGCACGATACTTGGCAAGCGCTAACAATACTTCGAACGATTTTAAAGTCAAGTCAATTAAATTTCGGGGCATTACGTGCCGAACCTCACGCAGTAATATGAAAGGGATGTCGATAACCACATGCTTTCTTCAACTTGCCACTTAATGACAGCACTCGCGTTTTTTTTTTCTTGCATTTCGCCTCGTCCAAATTCAGTCACTTTGCCCGGGATTCAAACTCAATCGTGCCCTGGAGCATATCTATAGCGCACAAGTATGTCGGTACTTCGGTCGCGGCTATGATCTGCCGACAGTCTGCAGTCCTCGCAAGGTCTGCCGGGAATTGATTGATTGATTTGTGGGGTTTAACGTCCCAAAACCACCACATGAACCGGGAACACTACAAGTTCGCGTAGGAGGGGCGAGGGTGAGAGGCGGTTACTGAGGGGTTTTAGGTTAAGCGTCGAATCATCAGTTTTGACCTTTGCCCCTCGCGACAATACACCGAAACCCCATTTAGACTTCGCATACAGAATGACTGCAGCGTACACATTGTATGCCTTCTCTGGCACGCACGTAAGGCCTAGAACCTCGAGGTGAAATTCGAACTCCAAATTGGACTGCGCTGCGTATGGATGGGGTTTTTGATTAAGAGTGTATCGCAGCACAACTACGGGACGATGCATCGGGCGAGGGTGAGAGAGTACTATGCATCCTTGACAAGCAATCTCAACTTGTCCATGGCTTAATATTGTAACAATGTCTCAATTTAGCAGACCCTTGTATGTATAAGTGCAGAGACCAGCTAATTGAGCTTGTAAACAAAATGAGACTTTCTTCATAAGGAAACACCACGGCGCACGCGTCAGCCAAGAATCACTGAGCTTACGGCCCAGAGTTTTTAACGTCTTCCTGTACAGATAGACCGTTTCAGGAAGGCATGCCCTAATAGCTTAACCACACGCGCAGAGAGAGAGAAAGAACAAATGGCACCTCTTACTGTTTTCAGCGAGTCCTGTCTAGCCCTGTATAACTCTCTTTAAAGCGACACACGTAAACTCGCTTTGGAGAGTCGCGCCTCAGAGGACTCTCCCAAGAGTATTTGATCTTCAAAAGACTTAATTTAAGAGGGCCCTGAAACACTTTTTTCTAGTAACCATGGAATGAACTCGCTGGAAGAGCTTATTGCCTCACGAACTCAACGCTGCAAACATTTTAAGAATAGGTCCAGTGCGAGCAGAGTTACAAAGATTTGTAGCATGCTGCAATTGCATTCTCTCTTCTCTCGTCCCGACGAAATTGCTGGAAGCTAAGCAGGGAGGGATGGGAGGGGCAAAAAAAAAAAAAAAACGTCACCCGCGCCTTATGACCTTGAGCACTTTTTTTTCTCTTTGAATTCGCGGCTTTTTAGTGCGATCGCGCGTGCACAAGTAGCGGCCTCCCACGGCGATCTCTGTAACGACTGAGCGCGCCATGTTCAAATCAGCCAACGGCTGATAGATGGGCTTTCTACGAGTGATTTTAGAGCGTCTTCCGTCATTTGTCGAGAGAAGAGAAAGCAATTTTTATTTGACTTCGATAACGTATTGTGAATTCCAGGCCGCATGCTGCGCTTTAATATTTGGCTCGCGCATTGTCCTCTATTACCCATAGGCAGCGTTTTCTGACCATGCTCAAAAAGTGTTGCAGGGCCCCTTTAAAGAGAGCTCTTTATGTAGTACTAACGAGAAGGTGTAAAAAGACGTGTCGCAAACTCACTGCAGACTCGGATCTGAGTCTGACTGTGTCTGGGCGTGTAATATTTTGGCGGGTTTGAGTCCGAGTTGGTCCGATTGCAGAGAACTTTTAGTGAGTCTAGTCTGAGCAAGCCCTATGTGCAAAATATATTCCTTGAGTGAGTCTGAGTGAGCTCCGCCTTGTATTGCCAAACTATGGTGATACTTGACGCTTCGATGCGGTACTGTTTCTTTTAACGTATCGTCTTTTTTTTTATATATATACAATGATCCCACTCAGGTTCCAGTTGCAGTGTGAAATGCACCTCATCCAATCCCTAATTTGATTATAAATCTCCCCATGCGTCGAAGCAGACGACCTCCGTGTGCACCGACCCGGAGACTTGGACGACGAGGACAAACCCGAACGAGCCACGCAATACTCTGGGGCA